CTACCGAGAACTAGTGTGGGCTTGTCGATTGGTGATTAGCCTATATACGTCCCCCAAAGGTGTAAGCAGAGTTTCTTCCAGGCATCTCTTCGAAGAAAGTCTACCCCCCCCCCCGAACGTAATGAAATTTATATTGAAAATATATACTTTTAACAGTGTCCGCTATCCCCCCCCCCCCCCCCCGTAAAATTTCAAATGCTCACCCGGAGAAAAAAGTCTGGAAAAAACACTGGGTGTAAGGTGCATTTTGCTGTCGATATTGATTTGCATGGTGTTGCTTATGATGAGTGCTGGACATCTCTCCTTAGACGGGGGCTGTGGCTTGGACTAGTTCCACCATTGTAGCTGCTGCTACCACTAGTGTAGTAGCCGCTGCTCTTCTCAATAGTTAGAACTGAGGGTAGTAGATGTGGGGGCACAACCCCACGGTGATCTTAGGTTATCATTGCTATTTGTTGACCATTTGCTCAACATCCCGGCAATGCTCCACTAGAAGTTTATCTTTATTGGACTAAGTTTATCTACATTCAATTTTCTTCTTTTTTTTTGGATTTTTTTTACAAATGTATTGATTTTTCAAGCTGAACGAAATCTTAGGAATGACTAACCCCACCCTCTCACTATATCAGGGGTCGGCAACTTTTTGACACGGAAGAGCCAAAAGTTACAATCTACAACATTTCCCAATTTTTTAAGAGCCACTAGCATTATTTTTCCAATATTTTGGTATTTGATAACGATTAGATAAATAAAATAGATTTTTTATTTGAAATAAATAGCGTTAAATATGAAGTAATATTGATTCATACATATATAAACAGAGATGTTTCGCACAAAAAGTGTTTTAGCTAGCTCTGGTATGATTAAGTTAGCAATCAAATAATATAACTATAGGACAATCCCAATCCACTTTAGAGGCCAATAACTTTTTTTACTTTCTCTGGAATGTTTCTCCCATAACCAAGCAGGCCTCAACACGACCAACTCCGACTAACTGGCTTGGATATCGGTTTGATTACCCTATCGGTCACTTCTGCCCTTCGGTTCACACCTGACTTACCTTCCACCCTACTCGTGCCCCACCGTCCAGTACCTGGCTCAACCGTAGGATGCTAATAACTGCAATACTACGTCACTCAGATCAAATAAATGCATACTGAACTGTAGATGAATGCATTGTGTATTAAATAACATTCCCCATTTAACGATATTTTAAAAAGTTGGCTCTTGTGCTGTGGCAAACATGGAATAGTTGTCATGGGGCTGCCTACAACACGGCTGTGGGGCTGGGCCTGGTGCCCAACGGCTATCAGCTGTCCGTATATTTTACAACTCACCTACTCACTTTGTTCAATGATGAGTGTTTTTATTCTGTTTAAGTTAACTTTTTACAGTTTTACTGTTTACAGCAGGGGTCTCCAAACTTTTCAGCCCGAGGGCCGCATTAACTATCAAATTTCAGTTCGGGGGCCAGTTTCTTCCAGGCATGTCTTTGATTTTACTGGGCAAAGTTCCTCAGCCATCACCAACAAACGATTTTTCCTTGGACAAAAAGATCACCGCGGGCCGGATGAGAGGACTTCGAGGGCCGCATCCGGCCCGCGGGCCGTAGTTTGGAGACCCCTGATTTACAGCATACTATTTTTTATGAGTTTTGAAAATAAAATAATATAATTATTAATATTTGCGCATGGAACTGAAGAGCCGCATCTTGGCATCGAAAAGAGACGCATGCGGCTCGCGAGCCGCAGGTTGCCGACCCCAGCACTATATGTTACCGGAAAATTAAGTAGAACAATACTTTTTGTTTTACATAAAGATGCTTATTACAAGAACAGTACACATGATGAGAACCATGATGAAGTGTACAACCTGACTATAAATATCTCAGTTTTCTCCTGAACATGATGATAAACACATTTTTACAAGTTTGTGATTGAGTTCAGAATGAAAAGGAAAAAAAAATTATATATATAATAGAACTAAGCAGATTCAGTTGTTTCTGTGGTGCCATTCGATGATTCATTTGCCTTTTTCTTCGGACTTTCATCTTCTGCATCTTCACTTTCTTTTTCATCTACAGATCGCTTTTCTGCTGTTGTTTCTTCTGTTTTTGATTCTGTCTCTTCTGAGCTAGCATTTTCATTTGTATTTTCTTCTGAATCTTCTGTTTTTGTGTTTTCTTCTGTTTGTTCTTCTGCTTCAGCATCAGCCTCATCAGCTTTGCCTTTCACATCTTCAACTGTCTTTGCTACAATTGGCTCTGTGGTCTCTTTTGTTTCTGACTCAACAGCAACATCATCCTTTGTTCCAGGCATTGTGAAATTGTGTGGTTTTCAGCGGACGACGACAGAAACGCTGTTGTTCCTTCACAAAGAACGAGAGTTTCAAAAGCATTACATGTTAGAAAAAGTGCTGGTTGAAATTATTAGGATTACAAAAACATATTAGGATTAGAAAAACATATAGGTTTCTATTTTTAGTTTTTTAGCTATAGTGTTTTTAATAATAGCAAAATTTAGTATATTTCTAAATTAGTGAAATGATAGTTAATGTTGCAGTACATTATAATTACAAATCAATCCATTTTGTTACGTTAACATCAGTATATTTTTTATTTAAATTAGTAAAGTACATTTTATAATTGATTACCTCCCATACAAAATATTAAATTTCGGAATGTTTTTTGAAGATTTTTTAGTATGGAAAAAAATGAAGTATAAATATTTATACAAACTTCATTTATGGAATGTTAATTGATTTTAACTTAAAATCATTTTAATCAAAATATGTAATTTAAGTCAATCTCTATTACGATTGATTATAAAAACAAGTTATATTACCTACAAGCGCAGAGTCCGGCATTAGTATTGTAGTACTTTATACAAAACAAAATTTAGACTACGGAGACTTTACATACAACGTTTATTTCAGATATTTTTACTCCGAAGGGGAGGGGGGTGGGTCGAAACCTTCAGTGTGGGAGGGGGATGACAACACTGGTTAAAGTAGTGTACATATTTTCTAAAAATGATTCTTTTATTTGGAAGAGGAGGGAGGGAGGGGCTGTGCCCCTTACAAAGGGGCGGGCCATGAAGGTGGATATTTGATAAAATAAATATTTCAAAAACCTTTATTGCGCCTCTTCAACCTTATTTTGTTTATCAGTTTCTTGTATATTTTGTTTACACATTTGACATGTTATTTTAACATCTAGTAACTATCTAGTATTGTGCTAATGGATGATAACGTGGTTCTATCCTTATTCTTTCCTTATTCTATCCAGATGTTTTAATCGGAAGGTGTTTATTTTAGTTTGAATGTCATGTGACATGTAGCCCTATACCTGCATTTAATTCGTTTTATATTAAGGTGTTGTGGCTAAAGTTTCTAATAGTGTTTTTGAAAACGAATTCTCTACTGTACTAGTTTGTTTGTTTAATAAATGAGTTGGGCGTTTTAGAGTTTATAGTTGTAATTTTTTTTTTTAATATGTTGAATTCTTTTAATCATGGTTACAGTACAGCAACTCACAACTTGGAAAAGTCAAAATTCGAAAATGTCAAAGGGATAAGGAAAAGATAACATATGACATAAAGGATAACAGGAGCAGATTAAAATCATTGAAGTCATAGTCAACCCTTCTTTAGACCTTCTTTTAAAAGACAATCTTGCCATTATCATGGTATAAAAATACTTAGCCTATCTCTACAACTTTTTATAACTACATTATATACAAGAAGTTTTCAGGTACAAGTGTCAACAACAGTTGAGGCAGAGTAAAAGTAAATGGTAGAGGGGAGAGGAAATGTGGTAAATATTGAAGTGTAGATAGATATAAAAGTTTTAACACAACAGATTAACAGCAAAGATGTGTATAGAAGTGTGTTACAATGGTTAAATAATACCTACAAACAGTTAAATGTAATGTATAATTGGTATATTTTAAAAAAAATCACTAGCTGATTGTAAAGTTCACAATAAAAATGTCTTGTTAGATGAACAGACAGCATTTTAAAATTTACAGTCCACATATTTCAGTGAGTTTACCATGTATATTGTATTATTTTAAATGTATTTTACCTTGCTACTTAAATAGTTCCTTAATTCCAGTTGCATTATTTTCTTTTACATATTAAACAGTAATTAAGAAAAAAAATTAGGAAACTAAAACAAGTTGAGATTTAGGTCTTCTAGTTAACATAAACTACAACTAGTTTTAATAAAATTGTAATAGAAAATGTGATAAAATGTACTAAATAAATATTTTAGAAAAACTAGCTTGTACATCAGTGCCAATATCACAATTATGCAGATATTTCAGGAAACTTACACAATATGAAAATCTAGGTATGATTATGAGCACAACCAGGCCATTTAACCATCATCGTCATCATCAGGTACAAACAGTTCATGGTCCTCCAACCAGGCACCAAACTCTCTACTCAGTGTTGCTCCACCAAGCGGAAAGCGGGTGATGATTAAACCAGACTTAAAAGGCCAAATCTGACTTGACCTGGTTTGGGAAGAATAGCACCACTGTCATTTTTTACAAGATTTCTAGTGGGTGGATTGAAGCTTGCTAAATTAGCTCAATTTGAATCTAGTTCTATTAACAATCTACGAGTTGTATACAGTTATAAATTTTTTTTTTCAATTGTTTTAAACATTTAAATCAGTAATAATAATATATTTGATATATTTTACACAGCATCAAACATGAAACGTTATTGGTCCATCATCTTCAAACGGTGGATGTTTTCTTTAAAATTGTAGAAATGAAAGAAAGATTAAGGTTTTGTTTTTCAGTTACAAAATAATTATTTATCAACGATCAAAGTAACAATAAAATGTTTCTTACATTTGAAATAAGAATATATAGGTTATAGTAAAAGTAATATTGAAAAATTAATTTCTTTTGCTACTTAAATAATATATACATTTGAGTAAGCTATGTACACATTTATTGTTAGTTAGCTCCCTTGCAATTATTAATCGGCATGTTTCATGAAGGCTATGACAATGTCCGTCGGTATCTGTCGGTTGCAGGGAGGAGAATGGTTCTGTAGAATGTTAATTGACTTTTACTTCGTTCGCTCAGTTTGTAAGTGTCAACTAAACATAAGGTACAGAAATACATCAGATAAGTGTAAACACATTGTACACAAATACATCAGATAAATGTAAACTAAACATAATGTACACAAATACATCAGACAAATGTAAACTAAACATAATGTACACAAATACATCAGATAAGTGTATACACATTTTACACAAATACATCAGATAAATGTAAACTAAACATAATGTACACAAATACATGAGACAAGTGTAAACTAAACATAATGTGCACACCTATATTAGATAAATGTAAACTAAACATAATGTACACAAATATAACAGACAAATGAAAACTAAACATAATGTACATACATACATCAGATAAATGTAAACTTAACATAATGTACAAACATACATCAGATAAATGTAAACTAAACATAATGTACACACATACATCAGATAAATGTAAACTAAACATAATGTACAAACATACATCAGATAAATGTAAACTAAACATAATGTACACAAATACATCAGATCAATGTAAACTAAACATAATGTACACAACTACATGAGACAAATGTAAACTAAACATAATGTACACACCTACATTAGATAAATGTAAACTAAACATAATGTACACACCTACATTAGATAAATGTAAACCAATATAAACAGCCACACCAAATAAAATGTTGCTTGCAATATGATACGTGACAGGCTACAGGCCATATGACACCGGATAAAGATGTAAGAATTGTGGTGTGATATATAAGACATATGACAAAATATATGCGAGCAAAAACACTAGACATAAAGATGGGGCCAATGAAAGAATATAACACAGGCGACAAACATAATACAGAAGAACAAGTAATATAACTTATAACACATTCACGTACAGAAATAAAAGGTGATGCTTCCAGGGGATTTCAGTAGGAGTTAGATCCCCCCTCCATCCGCACACACTCCCCGACAGCTCGTCATCCTCCCCAGAGGACCCTAAAGTACAACAACAGCTTCGTTGTAAGCGACAACTATTTCAGATAGTGCGCATGCGTGTATAATTTACATTGTTTTTTCAAACACCCCCAGGACTAATCCTCCCTACGCCACTGAACACTGCATTCTAGTTTGTTAAATGTGGAAGCTCTGTTATGAATATTTATACATTTGAAATACTGACAGAAGGATACAAAAAATATTTATTTTGAATTTCGCTTTTGAACCGTCTTTTTAAATTTGTTAAAAAAAAATTAACAGTAAATATCTGAGGTAATCCACAGTTATAAGTACGTTGATCAGTTCACATCCATTTAATCCACAACGATATTTTTTTTTCTACGTTAACTTTAAAAGCACTAATGAATTCTATTGAATGACAAATACACGGGTCGACGTGACGAATTTAAAATAGACGAAAAATCGAAAATATCCTTGGCGTCGAAATATCACTTTATGTTTATATTGCTATTTTGGTTTTGTTCATAAACTTTGTTGATAATCAACTATAAAATTTAATTGTTTCTTAATATCAAAAGGGAATACTTGCGCCTTTTAAACCATAACATAACATATGAAATATGAGTGAGTAAAGGGCTGGGCTATTGTATGGGAGAGGGAACATGTCCGTATTAGGATAAGTCGAAGTCGGAAATGAATAAAGAGTTAAATCAGTTTTAGGATAAAGTCCGGATTAGGATTGCGGGTAATCAGTTTTAGGATAGAGGCGAATCATTTTAAGGATAGAGTTAAATTAGTTTTAGGATAAAGTCCGGATCAGGATTGGGGGTAATCAGTTTTAGGATAGAGGCGAATCATTTTAAGGATAGAGTTAAATTAGTTTTAGGATAAAGTCAGTATTAAAATTGGGGGAAATCTGTTTTAGGATAGAGGCAAGTCACTGTTAGGATAGAGGAAAATCAGTTTTCTGGTTGAGAGAAGTCACGCAACCGTTATGTACTTAAAACTCATACATGTGTAAAAACAACAATGATCGCTATTTTTATACAGTGTAAGAGCTTATATCAGAGGCGTAGCAAGGGGGGAGGGTGCGGACCGCACCGGGCGACACCATTTAGGGGGTGAAACCAAGGCAAAAAATAACAAAATATATAGAGAAAAACTTGAGGGGGGGTGGGGTGCAAATCGAAAGTTTGGGGGGTGGGGGTGCAAATCGAAAATTTGAGGGGGGGGGGGGGGGTGCAAATCGAAAACTTGAAAGTTTGTCCCCGGGAAGGGTCGCTACGCCTCTGGGGGGTGACACCATTAAGTTGCCGCACCGGGTGACACCCGACCTCGCTACGCCACTGGCTTATATATATATATATATATATATATATATATATATATATATATATATATATGTGTGTGTGTGTGTGTGTGTGTGTGTGTGTGTGTGTGTTCCAACACATCTTTTGTACGTTTTTGTTTCGAAATATAAACATGGTTATGTTTAAATTCCACCGTAGTATCACGGTTAAAATGTGACATTATCTCTTACTCACTCCCCATTTTTACACAAACATTTAATTTCATCAAGTGCTTAATATAGAAACGTTAAGTAAATAAAAACCTTAAGGCCCATTGTGAACATTTTTGAAAAGTGGACAGCCATCATTACTATATATATTCTCTGGTAATTTAAAAAAATATTTTACAGGTAGAAGAAAGGCTAGTGTGGAGTCATAACTGACCCCTCAACCAAAAGTACAAAGGCCTTTGATAAAAGCTTACGTTTGAAATTTAAAGACCCAAAGCCACGTGTTAAGCTAGCCATATTTGGGGCAAGTTCAAGGCTGAACAACAGCTGGCACGGTGTGAGTAGGTCACACAGCTCGCGTGAGACTGGGACGACTGTCAGCTGTTTATTTTACATCTCGCAACAGTTTGGTCAAGGCTTTTTGGGCGAGTGGCTAAAATAAGCCCCACCCTTCCGGTGACGTCACATTCTCGTTCTGAAACTTGGGTGTATGCACTATCAGTTACATGGTGTTTTTTTTTTAAAGCAGACTTGTCTAGTTGTGTCATTCCAAGAAAATTCCTTGAAGTTTGGTAATTTATCAAGTACGTAAGCAATTATTTATTACATTTTTATCAAAACTTGAATCAAAGTTACACAAATATATAATCAATTGTTGTGTTAACACTGTGTGTAATTTGTAAATTGTGTATTAAATACGTTGCCTAGTATCTTTATACTACCCTTGTTGTGACATTAAAACAGATGTTTTGTAAGTAATGTAACACATCTTGTATAGAGTCGTATATATCATTTTTTCAATATTTACGATGAATTCTATTAAAAATATCAAGTTTGTTATCAAATATTTATCATTATTTTATTGAGTTTAGCAATAAGTTAGTTGTTCAAAAATTATTATGCATTACACTTTTTTAAATACAGAAATAGAATATAGATTAAAATTTCAAAATTTTTATAACAAAACATTTCGTTTTCTAAAAATTTACTAAATAAAACAACCCTTTCTTATATTTTAAAATCAAAATATAAAATATATTTCCAACAGTTTTAATTTTAAGTATCTACGAATTGTTCCTAGCTAATTAAAAAAAAATGACGTCACTTAAATCAGAAACCGAAATGGACACACGCAAGACTTCAAAGAGAGGGGCGGTGAGTTGCTGGACTTGATAGCTGATTACATCATCAACATCCGGTCCAAGAGAGTTGCCCCGGATGTCGAGGTGGGTTATTTAAGGAAACTACTTCCGGAAACTGCCCCAGAAAGGGGAGAGAAATGGGAATCCATCATGGCAGACTTCATGAAAGCAATAATGCCGGGGGTTGGTAATTATATTTTAATTAAACAATTTCTTAATTACTGTTTCCATAAGGATTTATCATTCGGAATGTTAGTTTGAAATATTTTTATCTTAATTGTCAAACAAACTAATTAAATTAAAGTGGATATAATATAATATCGTTTATTCCAAAATCGCAGTAGCAATCAGTGAATAGCGAAAGTTTAAAAAAAAAGGTTTTTTAACTTTTAGTTTAAAAAATCAATACTTTCAATGTAATGAATCATTTTGCTAATGCACACACATTTGTGATGATTATTATAAACATTAATAAAGACTAATAAAGATATACTATAAATGTGGTGGTATTGTTTCTGTCCATTTTTTTAAACTATAGGTAAGATGTACTACACATGTGCAGTGGCGTAGCTAGGATTTTTGGGCCCCTATGCAAAAAGTGTTAGTGGGCCCCTCAGAGGCGTAGCGACCCTTCCCGGCGAACGGGGACAAACTTTCGATTTGTACCCCCCCCCCCCTATCAGACTTCCGATTTGCACCCCCCCCCCCTAAGACTTTCGATTTGCAACCCCCCCCCCCTCAAACTTTAGAAAAAGGGCCCCTATTTGCCTTGGGCCTCTATGCCTTGCTTGCGCTAGCTTTACGGTAGCTACGCCACTGCAAATGTGTGTGTACTTATAATGTTAATATAATTCTGAGGTTTATCCTTTTATAATGTCGATGTGTTTCTAATGTTGATGTTATCTTATTTCTAATGCCGATGTGTTTCTAATGTTGATGCATCCAACTTCTGTCTATGAAACATCACTTTTACCTAATCAAATTGTGTAAAAATGTCATTTAAATAAAGCTGGTCCACTGGCAGCATCCAAACTTCCACTCCTAGATGTTTAAAATGTCTTTTATTCCATCCAGCTGGTCCACTGGCAACATCCAAACTTCCACTCCTACATGTTTAAAATATAATTTATTCCACCCAGCTGGTCCACTGGCAACATCCAAACTTCCACTCCTACATGTCGACTGGCTACTCCTTCACCTCTGTCCTTGCAGACATGCTAGCAGACGGGCTAGGCTGTGTGCCGTTTGCTTGGGTAAAGTGGGAAATGGGTGGGGGATTGGTGGGATATTGGTGGGTAATCGGTAAGACATTGGTGGGAATTGGTAGGATATTGGTGGGGAATTGGTGGGAAATCGGTGGGGAATTGGTGGGGAGTTAATGGGGAATTGGTGGGATATTGATGGGGAGTTGGTGGGGTATAGGTGGGGAATTGGTGGGATATTGGTGGGGGATAGGTGGGGAATTGGTGGGGAATTGGTGGGATATTGATGGGGAATTGGTGGGATATTGGTGGGTGATCGATAAGACATTGGTTGGGGATAGGTGGGGAATCGGTGGGAAGATATTAAAACGTGAGTTAATTATCCGTTATGTAACGAAATAATTTAAATATGTTGCTATGCTATTATATAAAAAATCAGATAAATACTTTGCTAATGATTTTAAACTTTTGTTTTTAATCTGTGTAGGCCTCATGTCCGGCTGCCGTTGAACTGGAGTTTTTGGTACTGGACTGGGTCGGTAAGGAACCACAATCCTTCATAGGAAAATTAGATTATAGCCTGTTATTTTTTTTTAATTATGAAAAGTGTTAATTTGTATAGGTTTTTATTATATATATATATATATATATATATATATATATATATATATATATATATATATATATATATATATATATATATACATATATATATATATATATATTGATATATACATATATATAGAGATACATACATACATATATATATATATATATATATATATATATATATATATATATATATATATATATATATACATACACATGCACACACATTATATATATATATATATATATATATATATATATCTATCTATCTATCTATATATATATATATATATATATATATATATATATATATATATATATACTGTACATACATATCGAACATTCAGGAAAAATGATAGGACTGCCAGTACATTTCTTGAATTCAAGCGGCCAAGGAGGTGGTTGTATGCAGGTGAAATAGTATTCAAAAGTTGAATTGTATCTCCACGTTTTAAATACAATTATAATATTGATGGACTCTCATACAGCAGGGGAGGTTACTATAATTATAACTATAATAATTACTATAGTTTATTACGTGTTAATCGTTTTGATATAATCTAGGTTTAGACAAATGAGGTAGGGACTAGGGATTACACTTTTATACACTCGGCTAATTGCCATTCACCTTACCCCGACTCTAGCCTTTGTCGGACATTCACACTTGTGTTATTATCATTCCCCATACTTGTACATTAGCTCTAACCTTCACACTAGTTAGTCCAATATTTTAACGTTGCTCCTTACACTACACCAGAAAACAACAATTACTCTAATAACGATGCTGGTTCGTATGTTAACGTTTTTCCCATGTCCCCCTCCCTCCCCAGGGGTCAGCCAGCGAGTGTGTGCTAGTCACCCTGCTCTCAGCCCGACACCGGACCATACAGGCCCTCAAGTTGACCCACCCCCACAGGGAGGAAGGAGAGCTGCTATCTAAACTTGTGGCTTACACCTCCACACTGGTGAGCTATTGTATTTAAACCATCCATCCTGTTAACAAGTTTCCAAAAACCGTGCGTAAAGTATTTGAAACTTAGCAGAAAGTTTCCTAACGTTACAATGTTCCGAGAACATGCGTAATGTATTCAAAACTTAGCAGTAACGTTATACCCATGGCCTGAACTACCACTATACCATTCTAATTTAATTTGGATTTTTAAAGACAATTTCAAAGTTACCTACAGATTGGTCTTACTTTTTAAAAAAATCTCTGAGACTTTCTAATTTTGACACAATGAAAAACGTGTAGTACCAAGTACAAGCCATAGATAACCATGTTATGCATCTCTTTGGTATATTCAGCAACAAAATAAAAAATTGGGTCAAATTATTTATAGTTTATTTTTTTGCATCATACATTAACCTTCATTTATATGTTGTTTCATAGCTCATATTATGGTAAAAATATATGTGTGTATGAATAATAGATGTTTTTGGCAATTGTTTTCGTCAGTTTTACATTGTCTCTTCCCCATTGAACTAGTAGTAGCTTATAAAACTAATGTAAAATGACAGAAGGGTTTAAAACGAAATAAAAGAAGTAATTCTAAATATATTTTAGTAATCGACGATTTCAAATAAAATTATATATTCTATTTTTAAGGCATGAGATGAAGGGGGTCTTATCCAGATAAGCCCCGCTACTATGCACAGGCGTAAAGTTAAGCCCCGCCACTTTTGAATTCTTTCTGATGTCTAGACATTTGAATATTTAAACACACGCTATAAAACAAGACCTTATCCGTCTCTAGTGTTTTACGGTTAGGTTTAGGGTTTGGGTTGGGATTAGGATTAGGGTTAGGTTTAATTAGAGTTAAAGGTACCAAATATAGAGACCATCTGATTTAAATTATTAATGAGAAGTCCCAATTTCACGGTGTTAATTAAAATGTAAAAGTTCAAGTTTCATAGAATCGTTTTCTTAATCTTTATTTTTTTTTTTTTTTTGAGTGGCGGGGTTTAATTTTTTACCAGTATTTATCTATACAGGATCGGGGTATCTGATAATTTGAAAAAAAAATCGTTCGAGGTTAAATAGATCTGATTTGAATCATCAGAATGACCACACACGAAGAACAATACCGACCCAATGTTTAATCGATTTATTGAATTTTCTCCAGGCTCACTCATGCGTAGAGAAGGCTGCGTTGATCGGGTTCGTCAAACTGAGACAACTGGAGCATGACGTGAACTATTCACTTCGCGGTGAAGTGTTGGAGGCTGCGATACAGGTCACTATGACGCCATCACCTAACACACTATTTACATACAGGTCACCCTTAGGTCTTCCCTTGACACATCTATTTAAACTTGATCAACATAACCTTTTATAATTATCATAGGTCGGTAAAGACATCTCACACATGCTTAGTTAAACTTAATTAAGATTGCCTTTTTATAATTATTATAGGTCACTTATAAGCAATCTCTTTCTCAGAGGCGTAGCGACCCCTCCCAGCGCCCTGGGACAAACTTTCGATTTGCCCCCCCCCTCGAAATTTTCATTTGCCCCCCCCCCCACTCGAGCTTTCGATTTGGCGCCCCCCCCCCCCCAAGGTCGGCGCCCCCAGCCCCTCCCCCCTCGCTACGCCTCTGCTCTTTCTAAACATTAATTTTAATCTGCAAAAACTCATTTTGAATCTAATCCCTACTATTAGCGCCAATCGGCTTTATAATCCCGTTTTTGGGATAATTAAATGATTACGAATCTAAACGGATATTTCCTGACATAAAAGATCAAAAATTGATTATTCAGCAGAAGTATTTATTATTTCGTAAATATTTAAAGTGTTATCTAAAATGCTACGGTTGTTCTATTTCTAATATGCTAATTTCTTCATTTCCATCTTTAGGAAGATATAAGACGCGGTCTGGTACCATTTTATGTAAGTTTTTCTTAAAATCTCAAACTTGTTTGGTTTTATATTGTGTATTTATAAACAAGATCTGTGTGTGTTCTTGATATACATGTATACACATCTACACCAGATTGTATTTACTCTTATCGAAGAATGTAAGTGGAATCGGCTTTGGTACAACTGTAATTAAGCCATCTTCACACCCGTGATTTGTTGCTCCAGTTCCCGTTTTATTGCTTCAGTACAACTGTATATTTAAGCCATCGTCACACCTTCGATGTGTTGCTTCAGTACACCTTAAACTGTTAAGCTATCTTCACACCCTTGATTTGTCGCAGGTTTGCGCCACTCTCGGCACGACAACCTGCTGCTCGTACGACAACCTCCAGGAGGTTGGGGAGGTTTGTACCCGGCACGGCATCTACCTGCACGTCGACGCGGCGTACGCAGGGGGCGCTTTCATCTGTCCAGAGTTTCAGCACTACATGAAGGGCGTAGAGGTGAGACTGTGGCAGAGGCGTAGCGACCCTTCCCGGCGCCCGGGGACATACTTTCGATTTGCACCGCCCCCCCCCCCTCAAACTTTCGATTTGCACCGCCCCCCCCCTCAAACTTTCGATTTGCACACCCCCCCTCAAACTTTCGATTTGTTTTTCCAACCCATTTTGGCGCCCCTAAGGTCGGCGCCCGGGGACATATGCCCCCCCCCCTCACTACGCCTCTGGACTTTGGTGATACAAAGTTGTGTGTGTGGGTGGTGTGGGGGTGATACATAAACTGTGGGTACTTTTGGTAACATAATAAAGACTGAAGTAGTGATAATACAGAGTTTAATGCAATAGTGTAATACCATTATTTTGATGTCTGTCTGTACTTTTATTTAATTTTCTTTTTCTGTACTCAATTTCATAAAATAGGGAGCTCTTTTGTTTAAAGGAAACTCAGTAAATTATAACTACTTGAATTGTATACGTGCATGTAATCAATGTAATTCATATACGTATGTACTATTTTTTAATAATATTTAAATAATCAATTTCTATTTCTAGAACTCCGACTCTTTTTGTCTGAATCCTTATAAATTACTACAAGTCAACGTGGATGGGTCGATGATGTGGTTAGTTGTTGTTTTTTTTGAGGAAAAGATTTTAATTTAAATTTTTGTAGCATAAGAAAAGGTATGATTTATTTATATTTAAAGGCTTTCTATTTTATTATAACGCTTTTGTTTACATTTTGTTTTATTTGTTGTTTTACCTGAAACGTTTTTCCCCCAAATCGATCAGGGTCAAGAATGTCAAGACTTTGACTAGCTCATTAGCCGTTGATGCTTTATACCTGAAACATAAACACGGAGACCAGTCCTTAGATATCAGGGTAGGGACACATTGATTATCAAGTAGTGGAAAACTTGTATGTTTGTGCCATTGATTTGCGGCACGTGAGGTCGGCGTGGTCGAGTCGGTTAAGCTCATGGTTGCTAAACCGATAAGTCTCGAGTTCGAACTTCGGACAGATGAGCCTCAAAATTAAACAACTGCTGCCTTGTTGTTTGTTCTTGGTTGGACAAAGGCTACGAAAGCAAATCAAGGAAAGAAAAGCTGGCTGAAATCGGAGTCGACGAATGGCGCATGACCAGTTGACACGTAAACTTAATTGAGTTCGAGGGGATCCCTTACAACACTAAAAATTAACAACGAATTACAAGTGTGAATGGTTTTTTTAATGGAGTTTTGATACAAACTGACCATTTTTTGAATGGGTGTGTAATTTGCATTGAGTTAAACAAACTGCGACTTCGCATTTTTTTTTCTAACCACACAGAACTGGGGGATCCCTTTGTCCCGGAGATTTCGGGCACTGAAGGTTTGGTTCGTCATAAGGACTTACGGGCTGGAAGGTCTGCAGGCAAGGGTCAGAGAGGTGGGTAGGGACGTTGTCTTACCGGAGGGGTGGGGGTCTAAAACAGTGTTTCTTCCAGACTTTTTTCTCCGGGGGGGGGGGCACTTGAAATTTTCGGGGGGGGGGGGGGGGCGGTAAACTTTCTTCGGGGGTGGGGAGGGGGGGGGGGCGGACACTGTTAAAAGTATATATTTTCTATATAAATTATATAAATTTCATTTCGTTTCGGGGGGGGGGGGGGGGCGGTAAAAATTTTCGGGGTAGGAGTGGTGTGATGTTGTTGAAGGTCTGTAGATAATGGTTTTACAGGATAGCAGAGCTTATGGTTGGGTAGAAGATTTAAGAAAGGATCTAAAGGCAAGAAATGGAGAGAAAATTAGCGACAGATGTTTAGAGGGTAAGGCTACACAAGTAAGGAGAATAGAGGTGAACTGGGACGTAGCTTCAGGTGGTGTATTATCAGGCAGGGCTATTAAGTTAATAGCCTGTAGCATTCGGCAGAAGGGAGGTGTATTTACAGACATTCAGACAGGGGTATGAAGTAAATAGTCAGTAAAAAATTAAAGTTCTCTTTCAAACCTGACGATCTATGGGGCAAGTGAAGTAAAGTTCACTAGTTTCTGTGACCTCGGCATATGAAGAGATAGTGTGGTCAGCACTATGCCCAGCCGCCTTTACTTTCCCTAACGTAATCAGAGTTGGGTGGACTCGGGGACGGTCTACTGACTTGAACCCTGGTTCTAACAAAATAGTCAGTAGCATTCGACAAAAGGGAGTTGTATGCAGAGGCATAGCGATGGGGGGGGGGGGGGGGGTCAGGGGGGTACATATGTCCCCGGGCGCCGACCTTTGAGGACGCCAAAATGGGATGTAAAAACAAATTTAAATGTTATTGTAGCTGTATTTTTGCATTATAAACAGTTTGAGGGGAGGGGGTGCAAATCGAAAGTTTGAGGGGGGGGGGGGTGCAAATTGAAAATTTGCTCCCGAGGGGAGCGCCATATTGAAAGTTTGTCCCCGGGCGCCGGGAAGGGTCGCTACGCCTCTGGGTGTATGCAGTAAGTATCGAGCAGCATTCAGGAGAAAGTCTGACGACAATGGCTAGTGTGGTAGGAGGTGTAGCATCACAGAGATAAAACAGAATGTTGTCCAGAGGTTAGCTAGACAGTTCTGATATGTAAACGTGATTACAGTTTAGATTTAAGCAGTTGCAGACAGCAGAAATAGAATTAATGTAGAGCGTTGCCTTTTAATAAGGTGTTTCCGACTAAGTTTATTTAGATGACCCAACGCGCTAAAATGGGAGCAATCAAACCATAATTAAACGTTTTAATCAGTGCATTCCTACGGTATGTAACCAAGGTACTTATTTATCTCTTCACATACAGCACGTCCGTTTGGGGAAATATTTTGAGAGTAAAGTTTTGGCAGACGAGAGATTTGAAGTCGTTGCTCAGGTGACGCTGGGTCTCGTCTGCTTCAGGATGCGGGTGAATAAATAACATACACCACATACACACTCATACAACACATACACACTCATACAACACATACACACTCATACACCACACACACACTCATAAAACACATATACACTCATAAAATACATACACACTCATAAAACACATACACACTCATAAAACACATACACTCATAAAACACATACACTCATAAAACACATACACACTCATAAAACACATACACACTCATAAAACACATACACACTCATAAAACACATACACACTCATAAAACACATACACACTCACAAAATACATACACACTCATAAAACACATACACACTCATAAAACACATCGAAGTGGACACATACACACTCATAAAACATATCGACGTGGACACATACACACTCATAAAATACATACACACTCATAAAACACATACACACTCATAAAACATATCGACGTCGACACATACACACTCATAAACGTACTCCATAGATATTATACCGATATTTGTAATATTTAAATTTTATTCAAGCTTATAATACACGTCAGATCTATAAGGGCTATAAAAATGTAATGAAACATTGACATTTATTAGTTGTCGCATAAAAAAAAAATATTCACAAAAAAAAATTAACATTAAAGAAACTAAAATACAAAATTTACGCATTATGAAAATAGCAAGAGAAATGGGGATAAAAAAATTAAATGCGTAAAATGAAAAATTCACAGCTAAGTTGTATAGCAAAGAGATTGTGTCATGCTTCTGTTGTTAGGGTGGGAACGACTTAAACGAAAGGTTGCTGGAGAAAATAAACAAAGGTGGAAGGTTGCATATGGTTCCTGGTATGTTGAATCAGAGCTACATCCTCAGGTAGGTCACATGTTTTTGTTAATTTAGAAGGTCTTGTATGATCAATTATAGGAAAGTCATATATTTTAGTTAATTTAGAAGGTCTGGTATGGTCAATTTTAGGAAGGTCATATGTTTTAGTTGTTTTAGAAGGTCTTGTATGGTCAATTATACGAAGATCATATGTTTTAGTTGTTTTAGAAGGTCTGTTATGGTCAATTATACGAAGGTCATATGTTTTAGTTATTTTAGAAGGTCTGGTATGGTCAATTATACGAAGGTCATATGTTTTAGTTGTTTTAGAAGGTCTGAAGTTGTAAGTTCTTGGAAGGGAATATATATTAGCTACCTCGTTTATGAAGGTCTGGTCAGCACTAAGCACAGTAGCTTTAACTTTTCCTAACGTCAGTTAGGTTCCCAATATAGCTGATAGGACCTAAGTATGGCCTACGGTATTGAGCCTGGGATCCGAACACGATACTTTTGGGTTTGCAGTCGTACGCTCTAATATCCGACCAGGCCATTTCCGAAATACGTCAATTATATCACGTTGAAAACAAACATAGGATGGTCACAATGGATATTACATGTCTCATAAAAAAAAGTAAAGTTCCCTTTTCAAACCTGACGGTCTATAGTGCAAGTGAAGTAGAGTTCACCTATTTATGTGACCTCGGCATATGAAGAGATAGTATGGTCAGCACTATGTCCAGCCGCCTTTACTTTCCCTAACGGAGTTAGTTAACCATCAGAGTTGGGTGGACTCAGGGACGGTCTACTGACTTGAAAATGGATTCGAGAGCGAGACTTACGTGTTAGCAGTCCAGGTCTTTATTGCTAGACCACTACGTCCACTACATGTCTGATAGCTCATTAAAAAAAATTCAAGTTGGTCGTATTGAAAATACAAAAGGTCATAAGCCTCATCCTCGGACAGGTGAAGATAAAGTTCCTTCTTGAGCCCTGTGTTTTCGTCAAACTTAACTTACAGAGCTACATTCATGTTATGTCAGTACTTAACTTTAAGTAAAGTTCCTCTAGATTTAGAGACCAATGGGCAGATGAAGTATATTACATGTGTTTCTTGACCTCGGCAGGTGAAGGGATAATGTGGTCAGCACTAAGCCCAGGCGCATTTTACTTTCCCCAACCTAAGTAAGGTACCCGTCAGAGCTGGGTGGACTCTTTGACGTCCTACACTCACAAATCCGAACCCATATCCGAATTGGGACCTTAGGACCAAACGCTCTACCAATTGACCACGCTGTCTTGCATTTTTCTTCAAAGCTTAATCAATTGTTTGCATTATATACGGTTCACCTAACGAAAATACTCATTAGTACTGTTACCATTATCATTGGTCAGCTGACTCTAATACATGAACCAACTCACTAGATTTCTGGTCGGGACACCCCGCACGACAGAAGATGACGTCATGCTCGCATGGGACGTCATCCAGTCGGCGGCTGACTATTAAAGGGGAGACAATGAAGTGATAGTATTCAACAAGACAGCTCTTGATGGGAACATTTTTCTGGTACAGAACTTACAACATCTCTCTCTATATTTGTATACACACGCACACGAGCGCTCACACGCTCTCACATAAACGCACGCACACAACCACTTGCACACACACAAACACCGCACACGCACACGTACACATACACACATACACACAAGGTATGTGTTAATGTAATGATTTAAACATTCCCTTACTTGCTTTATCTCTATCCCTATCCGTTTATAGGAATCTACATCTACATCTACATCTACATCTACATCTACATCTACATCTACATCTACATCTACATCTACATCTACATCTACATCTTCATCTACATCTACATCTACATCTACATCTACATCTACATCTACATCTACATCGACATCGACATCGACATCGACATCGACATCGACATCGACATCGACATCGACATCGACATCGACATCGACATCGACATCGACATCGACATCGACATCGACATCGACATCGACATCGACATCTACATCTACATCTACATCTACATCTACATCTACATCTACATCTACATCTACATCTACATCTACATCTACATCTACATCTACATCTACATCTACATCTACATCTACATCTACATCTACATCTACATCTACATCTACATCTACATCTACATCTACATCTACATCTACATCTACATCTACATCTACATCTACATCTACATCTACATCTACATCTACATCTACATCTACATCTACATCTACATCTACATCTACATCTACATCTACATCTACATCTACATCTACATCTACATCTACATCTACATCTACATCTACATCTACATCTACATCTACATCTACATCTACATCTACATCTACATCTACATCTACATCTACATCTACATCTACATCTACATCTACATCTACAATCTACATCTACATCTACATCTACATCTACATCTACATCTACATCTACATCTACATCTACATCTACATCTACATCTACATCTACATCTACATCTACATCTACATCTCCATCTGCACCTGCACCTGCACCTGCATCTATCTGCATCTACATGTACATCTATATATATATATATATATATATATATATATATATATATATATATATATATATATATATATATATATATATATATATATATGTATATATATATATATATATATATATATATATATATATATATATATATATATATATATATGCTGTATTCGTATATTTAGTGCTTTATATTATTATTCATATATTGAGTTGTGTAAACATTTTATTAACACTTAAGGTTTATTACGAGTTCAATAAACAATTTTACCTTTTCTCCAAGATCGCCATGACTACAGGATGGCGTCAACAGCATCGCAAATATGTGAGGTATATCATACAGAACTAAAGCTACCTCACCTCAAAGTGTTGATTAGAGAACAAGACAGTAGGAGACACAGAGAACAGATCAGAAAATAAGGGGAATAAGTAAACTTGATTTTGGAATTAATTTCAACGTATTTCGTCTTCATCGATTTAAATCAGGGGTCTCCAAACTTTTCAGTCCGAGGACCGAATCAACTATGAAATATCAGTTCGGGGGCCAGAGTTTCTTTAAGGCATCTCTTCGGGGAGGGAGCGGGCCCCCCCCCTCCCGAAGAACGTCTAACAACCCACCCCACCCCCCCCCCTATGAAATATAATTTATATAGAAATATTTGCAAATTTTAAGTGTCCACCCCCTCCCCCCCCCCACCCCACCCCCACGGAGAAAAAAGTCTGGAAGAAACGCTTTCGGGGGTCGATAACACACTCGAGGTCCAAGTTTGCTCTCAAATTGTTCTCAAATGACAAGTTTGAATCTAAAGGCCTTTAGGTGGGTGTATAGATAAGACACTAGATTTCCCTCTCTTGCCGTTTTAGGTTCAGAAAATTAAAATGACTAGTTATGTCTGCAGCAGAGGCCATTTTTCTGTGCAAAGCTCCTCAGTCACCTCCAACAAACATTTATTCAGTGGATAAAAAGATCGTCGCGGGCCGGATAAAATGACCTCGAGGGCCGCATCCGGCCCGCGGGCCGTAGTTTGGAGACCCCTGATTTAAATGGAAAGCAAACTTATAACATGCTTATAAAGAATTGATAGTTAAAAAATAAAACAATGTAATTTACTCTAAAATTATTTTTTTCTAAATAAAAATATTTTCCATACACAAAATCCCCGCATACGTGCGAAATCTGAAGAGGCACTCTGATAGGTAAACATACTAGCATAACCAGCTTCAACACATTTAACTGAAATATTAATTGTTGAATGTAAAAGTGTAAACTGCTTACATTGTTTGACACTGATGGAACAGCATTGTTTCTAGGGACGGCTACAATATTCTTACAGGAATAATCGATATGTTAGCTAAAGTTCCTATGATAAAATGTGTCGACGAGTTTGAGACCCTGTAATTTCTCCACCCACAGATCTAAATGGTAGCTGACTCAAAAAAAAAAAAAAAAAAAAAAAAAAGGGAAAATTATCATTGACCTAAAGAAAATACCTTTATTTTTGGAATCAAGGGAAATAACCTAGAGAATAACTGTCAAATTCAAAATAATAATAAATATATTTCTAATATCAAATAAATTAGCATACTATTATCTATCTATTAATTAAACAAAATACATTTTATTCAAAACATTATTGTAATTAATATGTCTGTTTAATTGATACATCAAAAGCTTATATGCAAAAATTTAAAGCATTTTTATTTTTACTTTTTGCGAACAACAACTTAAAAAAAATTATATAAATCTTATTTAATTCAAGGTAGCGTCTGCATGAAAGAAATAAAATTTAAGAAAAAATTTTTTATCGAACTTTTTCGTTCTTTTAGAATCATGACATGTAAAGAGCCAAATGATTATAATTTAGCAAAAGCTAAGCACATTCACACTGAGGAAGTAGCTAAAGCAAAATGGATAGCTATGAATATTATATCCTACTTGGATCCAACAGGAAAAGAAAGAAAATGGGAAGGTGTTACAAGAACTACAAAATCTAAAACAGAAGCTGATGCTGTTGGTATGATAACACTATTTAAAGATCCAGTACAAAATTGTGATTGTGTTGTACTCATTCGTCAGTATAGGCCTGCTATACATTCAACCACTGTTGAATTTCCTGCAGGATTAATTGATGCTGGTGAAACAGCCGAGGTTGCTGCTATCAGGGAAATGAAAGAAGAGACAGGTTTAACAGTAACGGTGAAGCATGTATCACCAGCTACTGCCACAGATGCTGGTGTGCTGGACACAACTATGAAAATGGTAACTTGTGAGGTGAACTTAAATGATCTCAAAGAGCACAATTTGAAACCAAGTGTTGGAGATCGAATTTTTTTTTCCATGTATTGGCTTAATCTTCGATGGCCACTGGTATTTTTGATAATGAGCAGATTCTGATGAATTTATTGAGGTTTTAATAGAACCACTACATTCTTTATTAAAACGGTTAGATGATTATTCAAATAATGGCGACATTGTTGATTCAAGAGTGTATTCATGGGCTTTAGCTAGAGCATACCTATGAAATAATCCAAATATAGTAAGGAATTATTTGTTTTAAGTTACCAAGCAAACTAATATAGTGAACGTTATGGGGGGGGGGGGGGCTCACACAAGTAGACACAGATGTACAAGAAAATCAAAGAATTCACTTCAACTGAAATATAGTTTATTTTGTTCCCACATTATATTAATTCTAAATAATGAATCAAACTCACTCAACAATAAAATACAATTTTTAAAAAAAAAAAAAAAAAAAAAAAAAAAAAAAAGAAAAAAATTAAGACAAATAACTATTATCTATCTCACTTTCATTAACCATGATGAAAGCCTCTAGTACACGGACCGGCAACCTTTTGGACCGGGAAGTTACAATTTACATAAGTTCCAGTTTTTAAAAAGCCATTAACATTTTATTTCAAAATTTTGGCATTTGATTAGGATTAGATGTACACTTTTGAATTTTGATTTGAAATAAATAGCTTTAAATATGAAAGAATAATTATACTTATAAAAAGTATACTAATATTTCGCACAAAACATATTAAAGTATTTTATCCAGCTCTGATAAATAAAATTAGTAATCAATAATATAACTATAGGACTATCCCAGTCCACTTTAGAAGCCAATAACTTTTTTTTTCTTTCTTTACGGACACCACCGGCTCAGGAGGTATCTCCCATAGCCCGGCAGCCCTAAGCACGGCAAACTCCGACTAACTGGCTTGGGTATCGGTCGCTTCTGTCATCGGTTCTCACCGGGCTTATCTTACTACCCACTGAACGCAGGAAACTCGTACCCCACCGGCTCAACCGTAGGAAGCTAATAACTTTAAAAAAAAACTCGCCACTCTGGTCAAATTAATGCATACTGACCGATAGAGAAATGCATTCTGATTAAAAATAATATTCCCCATTTAACGATATTCGGGGCTGGCTACAGAACGGTTGTGGAGTTTTGAAAATAATATAAAATAATTACTAATATTTGTGCATGGTACTGGAGAGCTGTATCTTAACATCAAAAGTGCCGCATAAGGCTCGCGAGCCGCAGGTTGCTGACCTCTATTCTAGTACTACGGCACGAGGTTGAATGAAAACAATCTACTATTTACACGGACCTATCCAAATAGGTCTGCTGGGACCTAACCTAACAATAACAACAACAATGCAGGATTATACCAACTCAAAATCTCAATCCACACAGTATGAAACAACTTATAAGCAATTTTCCCCCTCATTGACCACAAAATGGCAGATACCTGATACTTTTTCTCCGAAGTATTAGATGTTACAAGTATGAATAAAGCCAAAACACACGGCGTTCTCAATACATTTTATAAAGCACTTGCGTGCACTTCCCAAAAAATAAACAATAAATAACCTCCATGAACTACCCACATGACACGCAGCAACAACAAAAAGACAGCAGGGAAACAAATTTTGCCACCAAACGCCAGACCAAAAAAAGACAGCAGGGAAACAACTTTTGCCACCAAACGCCAGACCAAAAAAAGACAGCAGGGAAACAACTTTTGCCACCAAACGCCAGACCAAAAAAAGACAGCAGGGAAACAACTTTTGCCACCAAACGCCAGACCAAAAAAAAAAACCCACTTGTTTTGTTAAATATCAGTAAACGCAAAGAACATGAAATAATATAATCACATATTTTAAAAAACCCTCACTGTAAAGCCAAAACAAAAACTTATCAAGCAGTTAATAAAATGCATTTACAAAAAAAAAATTCTCAGGGGTGGGGGGGGGGGGGTCATTTGAAGCTTGCGGGGGGGGGGGGGGGGGGCGAGGGGCGAAATAAAATTTCGGATGAGGGGGGGGGGGGGTGGGGGACAATGGTTGAACCGTATATTTTTAAAGACATGTATTTTTTCCTTAAACGTGATAACACAATCAATTACATGTATGGTGATGATGAAACCTAAAGTCACCTATACCTTTCATGGGCAACAGAACAAAATCAGCACACAGACACAACTGTACCGAAGCTCAAGAAGAACCCAAACCTCAGCAATGATCAAGCATATAACATCTCCCTCTACCAAATTGTAAGTGTTGCTGTATATCTTATCATTTATTAATAATCTATATATATATCTATATATATAATTCTCCTCTTCGAGCCGTTAGAAAATAAAATACTTAAAAAAAACTTTTTAAAAAACCACGTTTTTCTTGTGGACTAAAAAGTAGAAAATAACTATTTACATACATTTGATGACAAAAAACGTGGGTACGTTCACCATCAAATTTCCCGACCCATCTGCCCGACCCACGTTTTTTGTCATCAAATGTATGTAAATAGTTATTTTCTACTTTTTAGTCCACAAGAAAAACGTGGTTTTTTAAAAAGTTTTTTTTAAGTATTTTATTTTCTCCTTTTTAGTCCGTTGCTACACATGAAAAACGTGGTTTTTAAAAAAAGTTTTTTATATAGTTTATTTTCTACTATATCCAATGACTTGATTAAGTATGACTTGACTAAGTGTTTATAAATACACGGACTAAAAATCTTGAGCGACCAGGATTCGAACCTGGGTTGTCGCGGCCACAACGCGAAGTACTAACCACTATAAGATCACGGCCAGCGCGCTCACATCGATTGGGGCCGAAGTAACTGTGTCAATAAGTCTTCAGTCTTGTCGGTATCTTTAGAAATCATGTCCTCAATTTTATGGTCCTTAGGGCGTAATTAAATTAAGCTAATTACGGTCTCTAATTGCTAGTTTTTATGATTGCATCTGAAATTGTTAGGCGAAAGTAACCTGCATGCCAAATTTCAGATCTATAGAGCAATCAGAAGTGGGCTAATTTTCGATGTCAATTTTAACAACAAACAAACAAACGCGAAGCTGAGTTAAGAAAAACGTGTTAACAAGCTGCAAACGCTCTCCCTACCTCCCCACCCCTACATGGTTTTAGTGAGCTGTGTTCACTCTAAATGTTTACAAGCAGAGCCAACGATTTTAAACGTGGGGGGGGGGAGGAAGGGGGGGAGGGTTATGGTCCTTAACGAGCTACTTATAGTGTTTTAAAGAAATATTTTCAGTGTCAGCGTTGGTACTGTCGAATTCACAAATTATGAATTATTGAAAATTAGAAACAACTAAATAGCGGCGTATGTTATGCCGCGGGCCGGCTCGTATTTAATAATGTTTTATTAATATTTGTATTTCCCCAGTGAAATTTAATTTTAAATACACAACAAGTACTTCTATAAGATATGCAAAGTAGTAGAGTTGCCTTTTCGAAACTAATGGTAAAAGGTGCTAGACACCTATGTCTGTGACCTCGGCATATAAAGGGACAGTGTTTTCAGCTGGGGTGGATGTTCTATTGATTGGAACCCGGATTAAAACACGATACTTTCTGGTTAGCAGTCTAGCTCTCTACCGCTAGACCACGCCGTCCCATGTACAATAGTAAAAGTGAAAAAATATAAAAGTAAATAAGGTTATGAATGTTTTTATTAATTACATTTTAACAATGCATTACTTTGAAATAATGCAAGAACTTTTTAAAAAATAATTTCTAAAACAAAACTAAGAATTAGAACTCTCACATAAAGATGTAAATAAGCAAATAAAATAAACATTTTATTGAAATTAATGAATATAAAAATTAATTTTAAAAAAAAACTTCAGAAATTACACTTTACTTTCCCGAACCTGAGTCAGGTACCCATTAGAGCTGGGTGGACTCAAGTACTCATCTGGACTCGAGCCCGGGATCCGAACTCCAGCCTTTCAATGAGTTCATGCCACAACAAGTATTACTAGCTGATGATGAAAACTGTAATACCAAAGTGAGCAAAGAAGGCATTCGTTTGAAATATTGCAACATTTTTAAAAAAAATTCTAAAGCAATACTAAGAATCAGAACTCTTCCCTAAAGATAAGCAAATAAAATAAACAAACAACAATCACTTAATTAAAATTAATGAATATAAAAATTAATTTTAAAAAAAGAACAACTTCAGAAATTACACTGAGTCAGGTACCCATCACAGCTGGGTGGACTCAATGACTCCATCGGACTCGAGCCCGGATCCTAGTTCAAGCCTTTCTATTAGAATACATGTCACAAAGATGTATTACTATCGTAAAATTGTATCAGTCCTAAGCATATGGTGAAAACTATAATACCATAGCTAACAAAGAAGGCAAGGCATAACTGACGCTGTAAATTACTTGTCTGAGGCCAAATCAAAGTTCCTAGAATAATTGTGTCAAAAGCAGAACACAGCTCTAAATTTAGAGTTGTATTTGTAATAGATGACAATACTAAAACACGAGTTAAAGATTTGTAAGGCATCCCTGACGATATCCACCCTCTCGTACATCCGTCCGTACCGTCCGTCTACCGAAAACTCGGGGACGGCGAATATCGTCGTGTTGATGCAGATCTTCGGGACGTTGCAGACGATGAAAACAAGGGACAGAACCAACATCTGCCGAATGACCTGCACCTCTCTTCTGGTCAGCTTGACGTTCTCTTGAAGATTATTTGTAGTGCTTTCCCCTTTTTTCGCCTTGACGCGATGGGTGATTCGAGATGAGGACGTATGCTTTTGACGAAACTTCACCGCTTTTCTCAAAAACCGAATCATGACACACACGCAAATAATCAGGATTAGCTGCACGGCAAACGGAACAAAAGATCCTCTAAGCAACCAGATAATATACGTCACTGGTTTTAAATTTGCCGAGAATGAAAGCGTAAGCCTTGTTGTATTGATGCCTTGTTCGAAGACTGGCATAAATTCCATAGAAACGAGAATCGGGATGCTTGTAACTAAACAGAAAGACGAGATAGATATCAAGCAAACTAAGGAAACTGTCGTAGTCCCAAAAATTGATCTAAACCACAGTGGCTTGGCCACGCTTAAACAACGGGCTATAGATAAAAATGTTATGGTCAGCATCGTGTTAGCGTAAAATCCGCTCCCACAGTTTATGAAATATGTGTTTAGGCCGTACGGGTCCACGGGGAAGTAAACGGCGAAATGGGATAGCAGCTCGATGCTTAGAAATATGTAAGAGACGGAGGCGGCGGTGATGGATATGAGGTACAAGAGATCTGAGACAGAGAGAAACAGGAAGGACAAGGTCACTCCGTCTTTTAGTCCCATGGCCACGAATGTCCGGATGGCGAAGGCGTGTCCGACAGCACCAAGGAATGAGACAACTCCACGACAAAAGCAGAATGCTGAGATGTCCACGGTGAACTCAGTTCTCATCGTTGTGTTCAGGTGAAATTATGTGAGACACTTGAATAAATTGTCCTGTTAGAATGTATTCATAACTGGTTTTTTTCTTCAACAGTACGTCCTTTGAAAGGGGTGTATTAGATAGTTATTTAAAATTATTTTCAATATCAGGTGCTTAAAATCATCCGTTTATGTTATAAAGAATATACATTTTTAAAAAATCTGGTTATAAATTGAGGGCAAATAAAAATATTCTTTAATCTTTTAGTCAGAGTAATTATCATATATAAATAGTTACGAGCTGTATCAGTACGTGCCGGTCGATTTGATCGATACTATTATGTTTAAAGTAATTTCATATTTGATACTAAAAAATTAATATTAAAAAAATAATGTTTCTGTTTCCATGTGGTAAGTCATAATGAATTAAACTATGCTATTAAAATGTACTAATATACACTGATGTCGTTACTATGCTATTGATTTTTAATGCTGTTATTAAATTTTTGTTTTCATTTGTTTATTTTAATACGGCCAATGTGAAAAAAGGCCTACGTGCCTACTATTGTTACCGTAATTGAATAAATTGAAATTGATTTTGTTTCACTCATATAACACAAGTTATATGCTTGTGATAGTATTTAGCTTGAAGATTAGATGCATTAAATACGTTTTTATAATTACTTTAATGAATAAATCCCGTCCTGTTAGTCATACTCCTTAAGTAAATATGTACATGAAAAAAAGTCCTAATTATGTTAATTTTCTTTCAAATTACAAAAATTGAAGGTATTGGGTAATCACAACGTGTCAAGTGAAACTATACAGATATCCAAATCCAATCAAAGGCTGCTCCTGTTCACATTTAAATCATTTACATTTTTTAGTATTGTCAAAGAATTCGGCTTGTTCATATAGATTTTATTTTACTTTTTTTGCACTGGAATAACAGCATTCATGCTAGACCATTATATTTCACATGTTCTGTATATTAGTGTAAAATACATAATATTACATATAATATATTCTTAATTTATTTTAAAAATCTAATAGAATTAAAACCACTAGATTGCTTCAGTTTTTACACTCATTAGTTAGATAAGTAATTTTTCACAAGTGAATCACAATTCTTTTAGGAAGTGGAGTGTCGCACTAAGCAAAACTCACGTTTAATTGAAAAGTCAAACACGAATTACTTCCCTTTAAGTCAAAAGTTTTGTCATTTATAGACTTTATCTGACACAGTTTTTATTATTATCTTTTTTTTATCTTTTTTTTATTTTAATATCTCCACCAAACAACACACACTATTATAACTTTTGTGAACCGAAATAAAACTTTAAAGAAAAACCCAGAAAGGTCAAGTAGTAATGAACTGGTGGATCATTACAATTTTCACACAAAATAAAGCTTTTTCTACAAACACCGCCACCTATTGTTTCAGCAATTAACTGTTGATTACTTTGTTTGAAGGGGACACAACTACACCAGTTTCTGTGAATCGATGAGTTGAATGAAAACAGCCAAAGACAACAATGGATGTTTGTTCTCAGTGTGAACCCCGAGCTGCCAGTACAGAGAGATGTTTGTTCTCAGCAGTTTTCAAAATATTTTTACAAGATTTCCGTGGGTAACATGAGAAAAAGATTTGTTTTTGTTTCATTTCACATGAAAATACTTTATTAAACGTGATTGTTTTTCTTTCTAAAATATTTTTTTATAATTAAAAAAAAAATCAGTCAACACAAAAATACAGATTTAAATTTTTATTGTTGTAAGAGACTTTTTCATTAACTTCAGTACAGTCATACTAGCCCTAACATACAACAATTATAGCAAGTAGAAAATGTACTTGTATCTTGTAACCACAACAGCCATTGCTGTTGTTCGGTCTTCCAATGGAGAAAACAAATCCAGGACAGTTTTAAATAATAGTTCTCGACTCTTAGTGGTCTAGCGGTAGAGCGCTTGACTGCTAACCCGTAGGTCTCGAGTTCGAACCCGGGTTTAAGTCAGTAGACCGTCCCTGAGTCCACACAACTCTGATGTGGTACTCATGTTAAGGAAAGTGAAGGAGGCTGGGCATAGTGCTGACCACACTATCTCTTCATATGCCGAGGTCACAGAAACAAGTGAAATCTACTTCACTTGCCCCATAAACCGTCAGGTTTGAAAGGGAACTTTACTTTTACTTTACTGATCATCTACTGTTCAGAGCTGGGTCCTATCAATGATGTTACCACAAGACCCGCGTATATTTGAGAATATTTGTATTCATCTCTGTGGAGGAAGTCATTAGTTTGTTACCGTCGCTTGGTTCCGTCAGATACACGTAACTGATCTTAAGGTAAAACCGTTGGTAATATTAATAACGAAGACCCGAGCTCAGAGGCGTAGCGAGAGAGGGGGGGGGGGGGCGGGGGGCGCGGACCGCACCAGGTGACACCATTTAGAGGGGTGAAACCAAGGCAAAAAATAGCAATATATATAGAGAAAAATGATAATTTTACTTAATTAAGTGATTAATTCGAGTGTTAAATAGTGTTTTAAGAGGTGCAAATCGAAAGTCTGAGGGGGGGGGGGGGGTGCAAATTGAAAATTTGTCCCCGGGAAGGGTCGCTACACCTCTGGGGGGGGTGTCACCATTAAGTGCCGCACCGGGTGATACCCGACCTCGCTACGCCACTGCCCGGGCTATAAGCATAGATGTCCCTTTGTCTGCATGTTACAAAATTAACCTGGACAATAAATATTTTTGGAAAAAAAAATACAAATAACAGCAAATCTAATAATTAATTCAAATTACGAAATCCTATATGATATCATTTTAAGGACATAAAAATCGCATCAAATGCCCAGGGAATATGAGGCTGTATCAATGCAACAAAATACCTCATATGTAAATAATAAAGGAAATCTTATTTTTTTAAAAATAAAGTGCTTGATATAATGGGAAATGGTTCCCTCTCGTATTGCTTTATAAGAAAATAAAATGTTTCAAGGGAAACAACTTAAAATAAAAATAAAAAGGTTATTAAATTTTAAAGGAATCCAAGAGCAAAAAACAAATTCCAATCAAATTGTAGTTACACAAATTATCTAAGTTTTTAAAATAGAAATAAAAATAAATATTGTATATCCATTCATAATTTTTATTAAATTATATTTAAATAAAATTGCATACTAAAGCACACAGCGTTATAAAAGCTACATTATTATTTCTAAAAATACATTTGTACTCATTCTCATCCAATTTGTAAAATATAAACAATTTTAGCTTTATGCTACACCAAAACAAAATTGAAAATAAAGTTGGTTTCAGAGAAAATAACAGGAAAAGAATAAGATAAAAATACGTCAAAGAACTAATTATACTATCGGCTAAAGCTAAATATAAACCAAAAACTTGAAAGACGCTTAGAAAAATACCTATACAAGTATCACTGAAACAACACACTGCAACAGAACACATCATAGCACAGCTATGCTAACCAAAATACACTCTCATGGAATTATTAAAAAATAAATAAACTACAGCACAATCAAGCACCCACATTTACAGGGGAGCCGGACGTTTTCCCGTAAGACACTTGCCCGAATACCGTTTGCCCGAAGGCCGATTTCCCGATGGACACTTGCCCGAATGCGACAAACGCCCGAATGGACACTTGCCCGAATGCGACAAATGCCCGAATGCCACTTGCCCGAAGGCCATTTGCCGGAAAAATGATAATATTAAATAATATTACCAAATAGAGATTCTTTATCAATTAAAGTTTAAAATTTTGATAATAAACACAATCCTAAGCATAAAAATAAAGTTGTTCATATTTTTAAAAATTTAGCTTTTATTTGTTTTCAAAATTGAGAAATGGCTGTAAAAAAATATTTATTCTTTATAAGGTGATGTCCTGGCATTCTTTTGATGTAAGTTTTGAACACCTTGTTTAGCCGACGTGTTTGGGTGGCTTTATAGCGCTTATGACATGGTGTAGGCGGCGCGGCGTCTCGCAACATTGAACAGAGGCGCGTTTGTTTAATTTATTTTGTTATGCTAAACTTGTGGGGTGATCATTTCACAACAAAACGAGGCGTGGTCTAGGCGGCGAATTTAAAAACAAAAGGTAGTCAAATACGTTTGATCTCCATTTAATGCACCTTGTTTAGACAATGTTTTGAGGCGATTACTTAATAAAGAAAGCAAAATTCATTTTAAAAACATGTGATAGCGAAAATGGTATTTTTTGTCGTGTTTTATAGATGGAAGACAAAGTATGTTTCTACACTTTTTATATAGCAAATACAAATAAATTTAAAATGTCTGCGTAGTAATATATAATATTATTTTTTTTTCCTTTCTTTTTGCATAGATACGTTTTGTGTATCAACTTTTCAAATTTAAATTGATTACGAATGATTATTTGGTAATATACAATGTTAACATTTTTCGGGCAAACGGCCTTCGGGTAAGTGGCATTCGGGCATTTGTCGCATTCGGGCAAGTGTCCATTCGGGCATTTGTCGCATTCGGGCAAGTGTCCATTCGGGCATTTGTCGCATTCGGGCAAGTGTCCATTCGGGCATTTGTCGCATTCGGGCAAGTGTCCATTCGGGCATTCGTCACATTCGGGCAAGTGTCCATTCGGGAAATCGGCCTTCGGGCAAACGACATTCGGGCAAGTGTCCATTCGGGAATTTGTCTTAGACCCCATTTACAGATCACAAAATACTTACACTTCAGTTACAAAAAAAAAATGGATCTACATATCATGGCAGATGGCTTCAGCATTAGCAAGGATAAAACAATTTTATATTATATAATCAAATACACTTCAACAAGATACAAGACCAATAATTTAATTATTTAACAAGACTATTGACTGATTAAAACAATAAAGCTCTAAGACTAGATGGACAAACCAGTGTGTTGTATAAAACGTGTTAAAATGACATAATATCTATTTTAGAAGCTGCATTTCAAGATATAATATATAAAAGAGAGCAACGTGTTACAGATTTAGACAAAGCATAAATGAACTTATTCATAAACATGACAGTTATTATAAATTGCTGAACTATGATTGTAAAATACTGACAAAAACATTAGTTAAGAAACTTGATCTTACATCCCTAAATTAATACACTCAATCAGCAATATAGAATACCAGGATAAAACATAAAACCACACGCACTTAATTAGAAATATCATACAGTATAGCTCTCAAGGAGAAAAACAGTTCCTAGTATTGTTAACATTCTAGGACCCTAGTTTTAAGCAAGGACTGAAATAATGTAGAACAAAGCACGCATCAGCACTTCATATTACACACCAATTCAGTTTGAGAGAGTTCTTATTCATTCCCCCTCTCCTTCAGTACATTCTTATCTTAGAACTTAAACTAGAAAATATGAATAAACATAGCAATGCTGCATACATGTTCTTTGTAAATCAATTACATTATCAGACGGAGATAATTCTACATAAATTACATTTTTTCTATTTCGTTTGAAGTGTCGGTAGGGTGCTTCTGGGAGAGGGATAGAAGCCAGCATCCCTAAAAAAATGCCGGAAAGAAGCTCTTTAAATCAAGTTTTCTGCTAGCTATTTATCCTAAGAGAGATTGTCACCAAAAACAGCATACACTGCTTGGCAAAGATTTTATAATTAAAATACGAAAGAACAAATTGTGGATCGAATGTTGAAGAGTTTAACATAAATTGCAGCTATTATTTCTAGAATTGTGTGATAATTTTAAAATCACGTGCAGGCGTTCTCAACTAATTTGATTTTTTTGTTTGTTTTCCCCAGACATATAATTCACAACATCAGTGTGCATTGTCATTACATTACATTTATCATCATCGGCAGCCTGGAATAGTTAAGGCATGGGATTATCTAAAATCGCCCAGGTTGTCTGTAACTAGTTTTTAACTAAAACGTGTAACTAAAATTGTCACCGGCAGGTAGGCCTATTCAGTCTGTTGGCAATCGTTACAAGGCGCATATGTTTTTACTAAGAATTCCAATAACACACCTTTAAACTAATATTGACTATAAGAAAAATAAGTTTTTATCGTTTAAAAAAAATAGGTAGTGTCACATTTCTTATCTCTATCCTTCTATCTAATGGCATTTACAGACGGCCGTGGCACAATATGTCGACTCACTTTTAATTTAATTACCTCTGATTTTATTGAGTTTAATTTTCATTTTTTTTCAAAACCATTTAATTTGAAGTCCTCAATAAACAAGTCATCAACAAACCAATATGGTATCAAGACCTACTCGTTAAATAAAAACCTAATACCACAGCTGTTTACTATTGAAAATCTCATTCAGTGTTTCTTCCAGACTTTTTTTTCCGTGGGGCGAGGGGGGGGGGGGGGGGGGAACTTACAATTTTTGGGGGGGCGGGGCACGAACTAAATTTTCCGGGGTGGCGGACACTATTAAAAGTATATATTTCCTATATAACTTCCATTTCGTTCGGGGGAGCGGTAGACTTCCTACTGTGAGGGGGCGGGGGGGGGGGGGGGGGGGGTGAGCTGTGCCCCCCGAAGAGATGCCTGGAATTAACTCTTTTCTCATTTCATTTTGTTGCATTGTATTCTTTCACGAATAAATTAAAATATCTAATTGTTGTTACTGTGAACAATGTGTTAATTATCATTCTGATGTAAATAAAGTTTATGTTGTTAAAACTGTACTTTTAAAAAAATGTGTTTCCTAATGTTTGTTTAGTTTCTTGGTAATTCTTGATGTTCTTGTGTGTGTTGCATGATATCCGAGATGTATCCGTTCCATGATTTTCATTCCAGTTGGTAGGTTCGAACCTTAGCTTGAGTTTGCTCTTTTATAAGTCGCCTTCTTCGACACAAAAAGAAAGACATACTTCGAGAACTTTTATTTTAAACTAACAAAAAATAAACCGGGAGTGATCTCCCCTAAACTTTCTCGAATATTCTTATATAACTTGGAATATAGACATGATTTTTAATTGCTTAAACTTTTAAAAATAGAATAAAATCTCATAGAAAAAAGAATTGCGCACCAAGCGAACGCCAAAAAAAAATGTGCATAATAGTGCGCAATATTATTAGTACTTTATAAATTTACATGCGTTATTTGAGAAATCGAAAATAGCATAAATTAGTACTTCCGGTCAACGGAAATTACTCAAATTTTGACAGAAGCTAGAGATTTAGATCTTTTACTTAAATGTGAAATTTCATTTATCAATCCTAAATACTACTCAAGTTATAGGCTTTTGAAAACTTCAAAGTTAAAAAAGTACCACTTCCGGTTATCGGAAATCGCTCAAACGTTGCCACGGATCTACAATTTTGATAAAATACTTATATATGAAATTTCATCAACCTAGCTGCAACGGTACTCAAGTTATCGTGTTTACACACAGACACACACACACACAGACACAGACATACGGACAAGATTCCAATATTATGTTTTTCCGTATCAGTGAGGTGTAAAACGTCGAGATTTGTAAAAATCTTGATTATTATTTTTTGCACGATTACAAGACTTTCTCTATATTTCGTATATACGAGAAATTAAAAAACAACTGAGTAATCAGGGGAATGTACTCTTTTAATAAATCTGAACACAATTTTAATTGAGTTACTGCCCCTGATAGTTTAACGATACCTTGCATGTTTCTACGAAAGATAAACACGGACATCTAACCGATGTAGTGGTTAACTCCATAGAGCTCAGCTTGACTGCAGCGCTCACATATGATCAACTATCATTGTTTAACAACAGATGAAGTAACGCCTGGCTAACAACTGAATATTCATTATTTTTGTTATCGCTATAAAAACTGTGTTCATAGTCATCATTACATTTTTAGCCTCGGAGTTAAAACAATGTGTTGTTTTTGGTCCTCCATTTACTAGATCTAAAATGTTTACATAAGAGTATACTAACGTTGCGCCTAACCTTAACTCTACCTCTGCATCTAACCCTGCACCTAACCATAACTCTACATCTAGTCCTAAACCCTGTATCTAACCCTGACCCAGAACCTAAAACTAACCTACCTAACTCTAACCCACCACTTAATCTTGACCCTAACCCTAACACTGTCTCTAACCCAAAATCTGTGCCTAACCCTTACCCTGAACCTGTCTCTAACCCTTTACTTAATCCTAACCCAAACCCTGCACCAAACCCTAACACTATGCCTAACCGTAATACTGTAACTAGCCCTAAACCTTTACCTAACCCTAACACTGTAACTAACCATAAACCTTTACCTAAACTCACCTATTAATGTTATATTACGACCACGCCTACCTCAGATGTAACACCACACACACAAAAAACACCGAACCAGTCAATTTGTGTGCATATGTTGACGCCACCGTACCCGACCACATACCTAGCTAAATCAAGTTGGAACAATGAGATTTAATTCGCCCATCAATTAATATAATAGATTTCACATGTATTCCCAAGTACACCAAACACAGTTACACCATTATTGTTTTAATTTTATGCCGGCTTGTTTATTATAAAAACAATAGTGATTGATATATCAATAAGAAATAAAATAAGCAGATTGTGAACATGTGGCAATTGTTTAAAAGTTGGTCAAATTAAAAAACTAAAATGTTGTCTTAAAAAAAACAAATAAATCGGCTTTCAATAAAAAAAATCTTACTATTCAGCTCTGTGGGATAAACGTCCTGATATCGATTTAGTCAAAGACTATACAGAATGTTGCAGACTCTATACTCTATATCCTAACAATTTGTTTTATTATAGATAAAATCTAAATTAACACAAACTAGCATGGAACTAGATTAATAAGACTAGTGCAATTACACGAAATTTTTTATTTATGTAATCTGTAGATTATTTAATTCCAATTTACAGCAGATAATTTTAAAATTTTAATTTAAAAATGTTTGCGTGATCGTAAAAAAATTTAACGCCTTTAAAAATTCGAATACGAATACTAAAAAAACAATCTGCAACCGTTTTACATTTTTTTCCGATTCTATTAAATTTTGTTTACATTAGTTTTTACAAATGCAAAACGGTTTTATATAGTTCGTGCACTTTTTTATCACTTTATGTAATCCTTCAAGCTGTAGAAATCTGAATTATGCTAAGATATATTTAGAAAAAAACTAATACACTTTGGCATTTATAGAAATTCTTATCAATTATTTTACATCATCATAATTACAATTCTTGCTTTTGAAATTGCATGTATTTGATATTAAAAAGTATTGGTTGATTTGTAAATAATATTTTTTTTCTTCTGTGCATGTAGGCCTGCATCTTAATCCCCTATACAAAATTTTATAATAGACCTTGAGTCCTGCCTGTATGCCTCTTCCACAAGTGGGCATGTATAATATATTCCTAATACAAACTTAACATTACTTTTCTACATGAGGTATTTTCTTTTACCTGATGCGTGATGGTGCTGCTTACGTTTATCAAGCTTTAGGTGGCATGTTGTGTTTAACGTCTCAAGTAGAAATAACCCGAAATAACTGTAGTTTATACTGGTTAGTTTCGACACTATTTCCGCAATTAAACGGACGGCTTTTCGTGCAGTTCAAGATAGTTGCTTTTGCTTTACCTAGTTATACAACGTGAATTCATAAAAGAAAAAAATTGGAATAAGCAAAACATTAATGGCTAATTTCGCCAATACAACCGCCGTTTTACTTCTAATCCTAGACAACGTATCATTTGAAGTCTCAATCTTCGGGTTTACCCGGGGAGTCATATCTACCCTGGGAGCCATCGGGCACTCACTCACTATCGGGACCTTCGTCTCCATGGGGTTAAAAGACGGCATCAACCTGGCCTTTCTGTTTCTCTCACTGTCTGACCTGCTGTACCTGATCTCCATCACAGCCGGGTCGTTCTCCTACGTGTTCATTACCACAGAACTACTCACCAACTTCAAGGTGTGTTTTCTCATCGACGCCTACGGTGTTACCGTTTTCTTCGTTAACATCGCCAGTGGATTCTACACGAGCGTCATGCTGGTGACGACGTTTCTGTCCATCGCTCGCTGCCTGAGCGTGGCTAGCCCGGTGTGGTTCAGACAACATGTGAGCCGGAAAAACATAGTCGGTACCTTCATGGTCGTGTCATGTTGCTTCTGTTTATGCACGGCAGTTCCGGTGCTTGTCTTTATGGGGATTAGTCCAGCTTTTGATTCCAGAACCAATACAACCAGACCGATGTTATGGATCTCGCCAATACGGAAGTTCGTCACAAATATTACCTGGACACTTATTGGATCTGTAATTCCATTGGCTGTTCAATTTATCCTCACTTTATGCGTTTTTGTGATGACATCGTATTTAAAAAAGTCTTTACAGTTCCGCGTCATGCACGCTGTTGTTCCAGCAAACACGAATCCAAACGGAAACATCAGCGAGAATACGGAAGTAAATACAGAGGTTAAAGAAAAGTTTAAATTTAGCGGCAAAGAACTTCAGATCATCAAACAGCTGATCATAATCTCAATAGTTTTCATTGTCTGCAACGTCCCAAAAATTTCTTTAAACATCGCGAAATTTGCAGTTCCCGAGTTCATCACAAATGGAAAATTTGGAAAACTGTATGAAATTTTGGACATTGTTAGGGACACTTTCCAGATAATTAACTCCAGTTGTAATGTATTCGTGTATTATAATTACAACTCCAAGTTCCGATCGATGTTTTGGAAATGGTATCGTTAAAACTAATCAAATCAATGCTTGTTACATAACTCTAAAATAAATATTGTAGAATACAACATTTGAAATATTGCATAATATATTTTAATTTTGACTTTTATATAAGCTGTGTGAATACTAATATGTTATAAATACGGCATTTTATTCTATTACAATTTTTTTAAATATTTATAAATATTTTTTCAGCTCTAGTATTTTATTAATGCTGCACTATGAAATATATCTTTTAGCACAGGGTTTCCCAACCCTGTGTCCGCGGGTGCCATGTGCGCCCGCTGAACGATTCGAATGTGCCCGCCTCTCACTATTTGACAGAGAAAGAATTTTTTTCATAAACATTATTTTAAAATATGATTTAGTTTTATTCATTTGTTACAGTTTTAATTTTTTGGACTGCCTAGGTTTATTAAATATGTTTGATACTTGTCGCAACTTGTCTAGCGGCGAGCCAGACTGCACTAATTTCGTTAGCCTGGAGCGGTTAGTGCCATTTGCACATCACACCTTGTACACGCAGAAAACCCTAAGTGAACGAATGGAACGAATGCCACGAACTGATCCGATAAACGCCGAAAGCGCCAAATCACAAGGCACATAACTCTGATTGCTTCGGATATCATCGGCTTACTTCGGGTTTTCCGCGTGTACATGGAGTGATGTGCAAAAAGCAATCCCCGCCTGTAACCGCGTTGTTGTCATTGTGATTGCTGCCCTGTTCGGGTCGCGACAGATAGATTCAACAGGAGTATCGTCATACGCTCCTAATTATGAAGCTCTGCCCAATGAAATGCAATGCCAAAGATCACTTTGACTTTATTATATTTTTTAATAAAATATTTTCTTTGTATTTATGTGTTTTGTTTACTTTCTTTACGTTTTGTAAATACATTTCCCTGTGTGTATGCAATTTGAAAAAAAAAATAATATTATTATTTTGAAACATTTTTGTTTATTATTTATTAATACATTATGACTATAAGAAAATAAGAAAATAAATTATGGGAAAATGACAAGTTATAAAAGGAGTTTATCGATTTAAAATAGGTGGTGCCCGCCACCCTACCGATATTTTAGAATGTGCTCTAGAGTAAAATAAACCGGGAGTAATCTCCCCTAAACTTTCTCGAATATTCTTATATAAAACAACAAGGGATGGGAACTCGGGCTGTAGACATGATTTTTAATCCATTTTAAATACTAAAAGTTTTAAAAATAGAATAAAATGTCGTAGACAAAAGAATTGCACACCAAGTGAACGCCAAATAAAAAAGTCCACAATAGTGCGCAATATTATTAGTACTTTATAAATTAACATGCGTTTTTTGAGAATTCGGAAATTGCGTAAATTAGTACTTCCAATCAACGGAAATTACTCAAAATTTAACAGAAGGTAGAAAATAATATCTTATACTTACAAGTGAAATTTTATTTATCTATCTGAAATAGTACTCAAGTTATAGTCTTTTGAAAAATTCAAAGTAGAAAAAGTACCAATTCCGGTCATCGTAAATCGCCCAAAAGTTGATTTCATCAACCTAGCTGTAACGGTACTCAAGTTATCGTGTTTACACACAGACAGACAGACAGACACACACACACACAGACATACGGACAAGATTGCAAAATTATGTTTTTCCGTTTCAGTGAGGTGTAAAACGTCGAGATTTGTAAAAATCTCGATTTTTTTTTGCACGATTACAAGACTTTCTCTATATACGAGAAAGTAAAAAAGGTTTTGGAACCCCTGCTTTAGTACAACAAAATTTAAAATGTTGAGACTCAGCCTCAGCGATATCAAAATAAATATGTTGTACTGGAAATTACTAGACATACGGTGTAGTGTTACATGTGGGAGGTGGAGGTGGAGGGGGGGGGGGGTCACCGAGTGATACCATTAACAGGGTGAAATGAAATCAATTATCTGTCCAAACAATGGTGTAGCCTGTTAAAATATTACGATAGCAGGAAAATTGGGTGAGAGCAAACGAAACCTGCGATGTCGTCGAATGGGCGTGTGGTGACACCCTTCGTTACCACACCGGGTGACACCATTAACAGGGTGACATAAAAACATTATCTGTCAAAACAATGTTTTATCCAGTTAAAATATTAAGAAATGGGGTGACACCGAACTAAAACTTCGATATCACCAAAAGGGGTGTTGTGACACCCTTAGTTACCGAGCTGGTAACACCACTACGTAAGAACATAATGATAACTGTTTATTATTATGCCTTGATAACTGTATTTCTGGCACGATTAGGTTCAGCCATGACGTGTTTTATCATCGTGAAGTGGTTTAGTGTTAGGCTTAATCCGGTAATAAAGTGGGACAAACGATGTACATACAAATTCAAGTGGTTTTTTCGTTGCTATTTTAAAATCCATGTATGTTTTTCACGACTTTCTAAAATAAGATCAGGATGTTAATAGTATAATGATTTTATTTTGTTTAGATGCATCTCTGTTTTCATAATATCTTTACATCTGCACATCTCGTAATTTGTTACAAGCTTTTATTTAACTTGCTTTTTCTGTCAGTCGTCAGTCTGTCGACAGTGTGTATGTCGTCATAAATCGAAACGTTTGAGCTAAATTTTGGGCACTTTTAACAGACAGATTCGTTTCAAAGTTGGCACGTGGGTCAAGACATAAATCCAATGCAATCTAACATTTTCTGAAATTAGTAGGCTGCTTTGTACTACTCTTTCGGCACTATTATTCGTGCATTTTCGTGTTCATTTGGTGCGCAATAGTTTTAGTCATGCAACCCTATTATAATTTTTTGTTAAAAATAATTACTAAAAAAAAAATCATCATTACATAAAGGCTTGTTATTAAATAGTTTTTTTATGCAAATAGTTTTTCTAAATATTTGTATTGTGAACCAAAACTATCTCTAAATTAAAATGTTTTACTTTCACAAATTATATTACGTTATAGAGTTAATATTTTACATTGTATACAGAGTGTATTGTTATCAAAAAGCAAAAGGTATCATACAATATTTAAAAGGTCCCCTGAAAATCTGTGTTTTATAATATTATATTTGTTTATAGTTTTTTACAACATTTTTATAGCAGCAGAATCCGTTTGGATTATGATTTGGGTTGGGATTAAAATAGGAACGGAAGAGGGCTAAAATTTTTATAGGATAAACTTTGCCAATTTTCTTGTAGGCTTCTCTTATTTCAATCTTAACTGTAACCAACTATATATTTATACCAGCCACCGATCCTAGCGGGAATCAACGTCGTCATGTTAAGGGCCGCGTAGAAAGGGTTAAAACATCTTTTCTTTTCTCCTTTCAAGTTAATCATTGTACATATTTTAATTTTTGTCAATGATCTGTTAGTAGCCATTTGCTTCCGCTTCTCTTACCCAGGTACATGGAATGTTGACAAAAAGTATACATTTGTTTTGTGCGCTGATCATTATCTTTTCCCTTTCGTGCCGAAGACACATAAGGCAGATGAAATAGTTCATGTGTTTCAGATATATCAGCATATGAAGGGATAGTGGGATCAGCATGATTCCCAGCCGCTAAATAAAAAAATAGTGTATCTTATCCCAGTAGAGTTGACAACAGATACAGACAAACAATTTCACAAAGACAGCAATAACCATAGTCACTGATGCTTTATAGTGCTACCACAGTCATATCACTAATATACATCTAGCATTGATGTTGTCGTTGCTATTAACTGTTGGTATATATTTGTTATAAATGTATTACTAGTTAGAGTAAGGCGGTCTTGCCCTTTTTGACCAAACGGAAGTAGGCCTACTGACAGTTTAGTTTTTTCCTTACATGCGAAATTCGTTTTCGAGTTTCAAAAAAATCAAATATTTAATCTAGTTTCAAACTTAAACCTAACCCTAGATGTTTGATTCCTTAAACATACTTATGCTTAATTCGCCAGTACGGATAATATTATAATTTTTACTACTTTTTTATTTGCCACTAAGGGCGAATTCGGAGAAAGCTGGTGTCGCCAGCTAGTAAAACGCTCGCCTTAATTAACAAAAGTAGTGTGGTAAACAAACTCAACAATGGAAGATTGTATCCAATCTTAAAGTCACCAGTTCGTGCGTAAACAAAGAATACCAACTCGAATACAAACTGCACAGCTTTTGTTGTTCTATATCACCAAAGGCGATGTTTAACATTTAAGGTCAGTTGCTAAATAAATTGCGAACACTTCACAATCTCGGAAAGACAAAAAAGTAAATAAGTACCTTAATTAAATACATAGGTTGTATAGTGATACCCAAGATAGATTGCTCATGCATAAGAATGTCATGGTCAAATGTGCACGGAGATACGATGCTAAAACGTTCAGTAAATCACTACGTTTATTTTTATTCAAGCATATTAAATGTCCTGATATCAACTTCATAATTAACAAAAATAAATATTTTTTATCTACACAAATCTATTAGAAGCTGTATAAACGATGCTTGATTAAGTTTCTAAATACTTGAGTGTGAAAGATATATGTTTAGGTATTTAGAATTTTATTTAGGTAAATCAATTACATGGCAAATTAGGATTTGGATACTTAAATAGAAGCTACTAAATGATGGAAGTAATCGAAAAAATTCTAAAACCAAGAGTTAGGTTAGGTTCCCTGAACAACTAACATTTAGCAGAACAAAGTAATTTCACTTCCTTTTTGCTTTAAAATAGGACATGACACAAAAATATTAACTTTACTCAAAACATACGAAAAGAAGGCACGTTTTTTGGGAGTGGGAGATCAAGTGGACTAAAGAGCAATGTTTCAGATTCATACTTGTATATGTAAATTAATTTTATTATTACATCTCTAAATAGTTAAATAATCGTATTATATAGTTCTTGCAAATAAGAGAAATTTAAGGTAATTTCAAGCAGGGGTGACCAGACAGAAGCGCAACGGAAAAAAGCGCAAACAGAAAAAAAGCGCAAACTGAAAAAAGCGCAACGGAAAAAAGCGCAAACGGAAAAAAAACGTAAACAGAAAAAACCGCAAACGAAAAAAGCGCAAACAGAAAAAAAGCGTAAACGGTAAAAAGCGCAAACAGAAAAAAGCGCACACAGAAAAAAGCGTAAAAGGGAAAAAGCGCAAAAGGAAAAAAGTGCAAACAGAAAAAAGCGCAACAGAAAAAAGCGCACACAGATAAAAGCGCAAAGGGAAAAAAGCGCAAACAGTAAAAAGCGCAAACAGAAAAAAGCACAAACGGAAAAAGCGCAAACAGAAAAAAAGCGCAAACGGTAAAAAGCGCAAACAGAAAAAAAGTGCACACAGAAAAAAGCGCAAACGGAAAAAAGCGCAAACAGAAAAAAGCGGAAACAGGAAATGCGCAAACAGAAAAAACAACGAAAAATGTGCAAAAGAGCAATTTAGCACAAAGACCAATATGGACTAGATGACACATTTATACATGTCTGCTGTTATAGAGTCGTGTTTGATCACATGATCTACTACCATTTAAAGCATACCACTACCATGTACATTCCCATCACCACGATACAGGCGATAATCGCTTTACACAATGCCTATTATTTTCTTGGTCAATAATTATTCAACTACTATTCTCGTATAAATAAACATAAAACTATCCTTGATATCGACATTACACGAAGTATCTCTCACATTCTCCCTAGTCCGAACTACCTAGCTTGCATACCATAACAACCCGTTCCAATGGCAAATCTTGAGTCTCTTTCATCCACGTCATCAAACATACATTCGTCATATCTCTCGCACCAACATTCATTCGCACTAAAAGACCCCTTTTTTCCTTTTGCGCTTTTTTCTGTGTGCGCTTTTTTCTGTTTACGCTTTTTTCTGTTGCGCTTCGTTCTGGGAACCTCAAGCAGGATATATATAGTATCCTAGATAACAAATGCTGACACGGATTTGCGTAACAGCCGTGAAGTCAAGTGGTTTGTTGTTAGACGTAAGTACACCAAGACAATGGTAAAACTTTAGTTTCGTGCTTTTATTTGTTAGTTACTGAATTGTTGAATTGTCGTATTACACAGGTTTTGTTAGGTTGCTTGTTATTTATGTAGGACAGAAAGTGTTTTATTAATGCAAACATTTTTGTCATTCCATTAACATTTTACATAACAATTATTTATTTATTTTTAAAACTAAAAATAATTTTAATGGTCATCTGTATTTCAGTGTATTGATATACTTTGCTATGGATTTCTGTTTATTAACTGTTTTTATGATAATGATATCAGGTAACTATAAAAATATGAATTCATTATTTTAAATGTATGAATCTATTGATAATACTAAATCACTCAAGCTTTCAATGACAATCAACGACAATTAAAACAAAATTTGAGGACATTAAACGAGTTTAGTGTTTTGAGTCTAAAGATAAATAATGCAGTTATAATATTAATTTAGGTAGATTTGTAAGCGGCAACTACTTTAGACTGGACATACGTGGGTCAGAAAACAGTTACCAGTTGGAAGTAGGCAACACTACACAAGGATGTTGGGAGGAGGAGTATACGGGAATGCTGGTGGAGAACGTAGACATAGATTATCGGGTATGAACTATTGTAATAACATTGTCAATAAGTCATTTTTTTTACTATCTATCTACAATTAAAGGATATTATCAAAAAAAGCAAAGAAACATAAGAACTGCCTATTGCAATTAGATATAAACAATTTAAAAATGTAACGAGCTATCATACTCGTTATTTCAAATGTTTGATTTTAATGTTAAATTGTGACGTTAAAATCCAATATTTTACAAACAATTTGCAGCTAACTCCATCCCCTACCTGCGATGTCATTTTAATATCGGCATTGTAAAACATTACATTTCCTTATAACGACAAACTCTCTAATGTTTTTTTCTACATTTACAGCCATTTCCTTTTTTTCGCCGTTCTATGGCTGACTTGACAAAGACAGAAAGAAGAAGAGTGGAGTTGTACATCAGAGACACATGCAACGGTCTCAGGAATTGTAGTCTTATAAAAGAAAAGCTTCAGTTGAAAAGCAAATACATTCACATTAATGAAATTAAAATTAAATACTCGTGCCATCCTGTCGGTAAGTACTGAGGAGTCGGCGTGGTCAAGTTGGTAAAGCTCATGGTTGCTAAACCGAAAAGTCTCGAGTTCTAACCCTCGGGCAGATGAGGCTCGTTAGCTGGGGACAGCCACTCTCCTAGGAGAGACAACTCCAAAATCAAACAACTGCTGCCTTTTAGTTTGTTCTTGGTTGGACAAAGGCTATGGAAGCAAATCCAAAAAGAAAAGCAGGCTGAAATCGGAGTCAATGGCCTCAACGGCGCATAACCAGTTGAAACATAATCCTTAATTTTGATGGAAGCATGGTCGAGTCGGCAAAAAGCTAATGGTTGATACATTCGAAATAATTCTCGAGTTCAAACCCTCTGGCAGATAAGGCTCGATCCCTCCCAACATTAAAAATTAAGAACGAAGAAGAAGAAGAAGAAGGCTGAGGAGCAGAGGCGTAGCGACCCTTCCCGGCGCCCGGGGACAAACTTTCAATTTTGGCGCCCCCTCGGGAGCAAATTTTCAATTTACACCCCTCACCCTCAACGTTTCAATTTGCACCCCCCCCCCTCAAACTTTCGATTTGCACCCCCCCCCCCCTCAAACTGCAAACATGGCAGCTAAATTGACAATTAAATTTGTTTTTACAACTAATTTTGGCACACCCTAACGTGGACGCCCGGGGACATATGTTCCCCCTGCCCCCCCCCCCCCCCCATCGCTACCCTTTGCTAAGGAGTAAGTTACAATATTTTTCTTACATGGAATGTAAATCAGTTTTAACTTTAGACACGAAGACCATCAGATGAAATTAATTACTGTGGTAGACTAGCCTTCCAGTTCTTAGAAATCGTTAGAATTAATGTCTTTCATTTACACATTAAAGCTTGAGAGAAAAAAAACCCAATAATATCACTCACTCTTCCTTATTTTTAGTTATAATTTTAAACGAAATTCCCTCAAACACTATTAAGTATTACGTGTCAAAATGTTATCCGCTACTGGCTCCGATTTTATTCTGGATTTTCTTCCATAACCTTTATCCATTCAAAAACGAATTACAAGGCAACAGTTGTTTGATTTTGGAGTATTTTTTGATAGGCTGCTTTTCTCAGCTATCGAACCTTACCAGCCAGGTGTTCGAACTCGGGACTTTTCGGTTTAGCAACCATGAGCTTTTCACAGACCCATTAAATGAGCTGCCAATTTGTTTAAAAGAATTGATTGTTTCTAGTTTTTGAAACGCTTCCTTTATTTAAATTGTTGTGCAATACAAGGACAAATTACAAAGTTACTGTAAACCTCTTTTTTAATGTAGTTCCAGACAATAAAATCATTTTCGACATGGCGAAGGACTTCAGCACTTTACTTGATCTAGCTAATGCCAGTAGTATTTACCTGGTGCTCCAGAGGCAAATACTAGACGAAAAACGAACATGTTGTATAGAGGCGAACAACATGTCTATCGATGTCAGACTGATGAACAAGCCCTCTGCATTAATAGTACAGTATAATGGTGAACCTCGATGCCTCGATGACACATATTATTTTCATAATAACAGGTACTTGTTCCACAATGACAATGGTATTCTTGTAAAAAGCGGCATATATATATATATATATATATATATATATATATATATATATATATATATATATATATATATATATATATATATATATAACTGCGTGCCAACACCCTAAGAGTTGATAAAAATTATATTATATTGTTTTAATGCCAAAATGACAAAACAGATTTTTTTTTATTCTTTGGGAAGATATTTATTTTTTTAGATTTTGAGTGTAGGGATGATGTACTGTTTATTATATGTAAACCAATGAGTTAAATTTTTGTAGGTTTTATAAAATGGACGAACTGTGTTTTCTGCAGAACAATTTTATGGAGCACATTTGGGTTGAGCTCAATGCTGGTAATTGTTGTTTTTTATCATATAATTCAACATAATTTAAAATAAACTGGGAGTGGTCTTAACTAAACTTTTTCAAATATTCTTATATAAAACAACGGGGGATGGCAACTCGGGATATAGACATGATTTTAAATTAATTTTTAATTACTTAAGTTTTTTAAATATAATTAAATCTCGTAGAAAAAAGAATTGCACACCAAGTGAACGCCAAGCATTATGTGTATAATAGTGCGGAACATTTTTAGTACTATATAAATTCTAATTCAACCCTGGATTTTAATTTAGTTATATATTAATTACATTTTAACGAATAATCTAATGTTTTAGTTTGCAAATTATATAATCTTTCATTGTCATCGGAGACAAATGTATGTATAAAATGAATTAAATTGCTGCATGCATTACAGGTTCGTCAAAATTGAGTTACAGGATTTGACACAAACCTAGAAATAGATTTTGTGAACTAAATAACATAAATCTCTATTTCAGCCAATGAAAGCCGTAGCATCACACTTTCATGCAGGGACAGAAACAATGTCGTCACATCTATGGACAATTGTATGTTGAAACTTTACATTTTTTAACAGTAGTAAATCACAAACATAGACTCTATAATCATCAGGTGTTTTGTATATGTATGTAGAGAGGTTAGCTAAAGTGTGTATTTGCCTTTTCTTTTTAAAATGACTGAAATACACTATTGCAGTGTCTAACAGCTTGGTGAGACTATTCTCTATTCTCTCTTATAAATTGACCAAGGAATATTACCTAATATAGAAATGCACCCGCCGTAAATCACGTACACTATCTCCAGAAGAGCTCTACATTTAACTTTCACGTAGAAAAACTTTACTAATAACACATGCACTGACTTACTTATAGAACTGCAACGTAATTAAGATTAATACATTGCATTAAACCAGTGGTGTAGCGAGGTGGAGTGTGGGACCTCATTGTGTCATTCACCCTCCACGAAAACATCTGTTATATGTATATGTATATACATATATATATATATATATATATATATATATATATATATATATATATATATATATATATATGTCGCAATTGGCGACATCCCTTTACCATTTAGCCTAATGGCATTGATTTGTACACACGGTTCACCTATTAATGAATGTGGAAAAAGCATCGTTTTTATCGTAAGTCATTGGATTTTGGTTTCACCCCTCTGCTGTCGTTGATTGACTTATCTATTAATCAAAATACACTACATGCCTTTATCCCTTTTTAAATTCTTCATTTGGTATCACCCCCACCCTCCGGAAGAAAGCTTTAAAGTGTCCACAGTAAAATGTAAAGATTATTATCTGTAGTCAGTTACGAACACAGGTGGATGCACTTTTATTAAACATTAATTGAAGTGGCAAGAAGCATTTTTATTTTATATATTTTGCAGGTTTTGGTCATGGTGTCACCCCCTAAATGTTGTTACCTGTGCGGTCCTCATCCCCCGTCCCCCCCTCCCCCCTTCGCGACGCCTCTGCATTGAACTTGAAACTGTTATTCTAACCTAAGAAATCTTATAAATTATTTGCTTAAATCCTTAAATATCTGCATAATACATTGAACTACACAAAAAGAAACTGTTGAAATCTTAGTTTGGCATTATATTTTTTTTTAAAAAACAAGAAGTATAATATGCGAAAGTAAGTAATTGTTTATTATTTAATTTACAGCTTTAGCGCATTTAGAAAACCAAGAAACTGACCAATCAAGAGTTATAGAACAACAAAAGATCGCCTTGATTTGTGTTTCGGTCTTTGCTGTCGTATTGATTATTATCAATACCATCACGTGTTTCATTTTTGGTTGTCGTCAGTGAGTATAGCTCTAAAAAATGTGTGGCCCTTTATTGGTTAGTGATTGCATTGTTATTTTAAATATCAACAACAGGCAAAGCTAGTCTGCTCGAAATTATATTTGTTATTGTTTCCTAAAAACACCTTCAAAGATTAAAAGCGAATTTATAAAGAAACGTTATATTCTTTTACCCATTCATTTGAATTACGATTTTAGGATAAGTCATGCTAGTATTTTATATTTCTTAGTAAAATCATGAATCGGTCTTATAAATTTAATTCTTTCAATCGTTGCAAGCAAGTAACACAGTGAATTCAACGGCAAATACACAATACCCGACATATATATATATATATATATATATATATATATATATATATATACTCTCCCTCTCTCACTCTATTAATGTGTGTGTATATAAATATGCATAAATATAAAATGGACTAATTATTCTACACGAACTGTAGACTAACGTGTAAAAGACGCCACAACGCTGATGACTCGCTGTATACTTATGATCTTCCTTATAACAGCCCAAATAGGACAGACACAAAACACGAAGATGAACATCCTTATCAGCAAGCGAGCTCTGGTGAACATTTTAACCATTCCATAAAATTGTGTATATATAAATTGAAAATATTCTAAATAGAAAACTGCTTAAATGTATTTGAATCACAACTCCCATTTAATATATTATCTATATATATAATTCTCTTCTTCGAGCCGTTAGAAAACAAGCTGCAAACGCTCTCCCTACCTCCCCACCCCTACATGGTTTTAGTGAGCTGTGTTCACTCTAAATGTTTACAAGCAGAGCCAACGATTTTAAACGTAGGGGGGGGGGGGAGGAGGGGGGGAGGGAAGGAAGGGGGGGGGGGGGGGTTATGGTCCTTAACGAGCTACTTATAGTGTTTTAAAGAAATATTTTCAGTGTCAGCGTTGGTACTGTCGAATTCACAAATTATGAATTATTGAAAATTAGAAACAACTAAATAGCGGCGTATGTTATGCCGCGGGCCGGCTCGTTATCTATAAAGCAGATGTTTAAATAAAATGTGTATATATATATATATATATATATATATATATATATATATATATATATATATATATATATATATAATTGACAAAGATACTTATTCCACAGTGTCAGCAACAGCCGGAAAAGGCATATATCACAAAAAATAGAGGATTAAAAACATTCCTACAGACACATTACTCCAATTTATGATGAAGATAATTGTGTACAATAAAAATCTTCATTATTGAATTTGTAATCAAGTATGTGTAATGATGGGGCTACGTTACAGCTGTATATTGTATGCCCACTTATCTTAAATTACTCTATTGAATTTTTATTTAAAATCATATTACTTGTACTTAAAGCCTGTTCTTGATTAGAGACAGAACATTTTCTATGAGTTTTTAGCCGTATTTGAAAATAGCTTCTAACTAGTTATTCTCCCAATACAATTTTTTTTTAATTATTCGGGGATTTTGTCTTCTGACAAAATATTTATGAACAAAATATATCAATACAAAGTATCAAAGACACATAATTTCAAGGCAAATAAATTAAGTATAGGAAGATAAAAATATAAAAAAAAGCTTTATTTAGTTTAAAATAAATTTTATTGTTTTGATAATTTTGTCAAATTCATTAAAAGTTTTGTATTTTATATATGTTTTTACTTTTAATTTACAACTAGTAGTTTACTCTATGAAGGATAGAATATAATGAAAAAGGTGATGAAACTCATGCAATTTTCACGTTATGAACACAATTTTAATAGCTCAGTTAAACGTCGTGGTCTTTTCGGTTTAAAAGCTCATGGCTGCTAAACCGAAAAGTCTCGAACCCTCGGGCTCGTTAACTGGAGGCAGCCACTCTTCTTGGACAGACAACTCAAAAATCAAACAAATGCTGTCTTGTAGTTTGTTCTTGGAAGCAAATCCAAAACGATAACCAGGCTGAAATCGGAGTCAAGGGCCATAATGGCGCATAACCAGTAGACGCATATACTTAATTGTGTTGAAGGCGTGGTTTGTCGGCAAAAGCACATAGTTGTTAAATTCGAAAGTCTCAGGTACTTACCCTCTGACCAGATAAGGCGGTCAACCAATTCCAACACTAAAAATTAATAAGGAAGAAGAAGAAGATAGCTCAGTTGAGTTTGTCGAACTTGAAACAATCAGACGGATAAAATTGGATGAAAGAAGATTGCTCATCTAGTAAAGGTTGGACAACAAAGAAACCTGTGTGCTAGGGTATATGGTCTATAATAAACCTACTGCACACTATAATGTATTATTTGGGTATTTACAAATGATTATCAAGAACAATATATAAAGACCATGTGCGCACTTCTCTCTCTCTCTCTCTCTCTCTCTCTCTCTCTCTCTCTCTCTCTCTCTCTCTCTGTCCGCAAAATATTTTCGCAGGATATCACATCAAAATCTTCAGCGATATATGGGGAACATGATACGGACTTTTGTTGAAAATAATATTGTAGATGTTTTAAATGTATAAACAGAATTTTTTTAAAGAAGAAAAATAAAAAAATAAAAGTATATTCGAATGTAGAAAAACAGTTTTCATTATGCAACTGGAAAAGTGTTTATAGTTGAAACAAGAACGTCGAAATCGATGACGTTACATTTCATATGTTTGAAGTACGGAAAGTACACAAAACCAATTTCGTTATCTTCCAATTTAAGATTACGAAGAAATGAACTATTTTTTTATTTAGATCTATACATTTACTTATCAAGACGTAATTTATAACATGTATACAATTTCCCCGGCCAAAACTAATATAAATTACTTTTAAAAAACAACAAAATACCATTGAAAAGCCAGGTTTTTAATTATTGGTTATATATATATATATATATATATATATATATATATATATATATATATATATATATATATATATATATATATATAAGTATGTATTTACGCATGTGTATATGTATTCACATATTTTGTATGTATTTATTTTTTTACCTCCCCCTCCTCCATACATGAATTAACATATAAGTTATTACGATTCTTAACCAAACCGTTTACTTCAGGCATATTTTGCAACAATGATTTAATGTAACTTCCTCCCACTCACCCCATCCCCAAGGCGATTGCTTTAAACTGTGCTCATAAATAATACTAACGATTTTCATCTATAGACGGATATAAATACAGCTTGAATGCAGCTTAATTAATCACTTAATTAATTGGAATTATCATTTTTCTATATGTATTTTTCTATTTTTCGCCTTGGTGTCACCCCCCTAAATGGTGTCACACGGTGCGGTCTGCCCCGACCCCCCCCCCCCCCCCTCAAGGGAGGTAGTTTAAAAATAAATTCAACTCATGCTAATACAAAAATATGAATGCAAAATCTCCAAGAGGGAATTATTGTTTGTATTATATAATTAGCAAAATGTGAATGCAAATCTGCAGCGGACATTATTGTAAGTGGACATTATTTTTGGAATATTAAACTAGCATGGATTGCTAAAAGGCGGTCTTTTATTTCTTTTATATACTAAACGTCTTGTTTACTAATTATAATTTTTATCAACTATTCCTCACTGTTATAGACGCGTCATCACGTTCATTTGATGCGTAATGGTGTTAGTCATGAAACTGTATTGTAATTTTTAAAAATTTAAATTACTGAAAAACAATGCATGAATTGATAAAGTACTATATAGTTGGTTAAACACGGATATTTTAAATACTGCCTGTTATTCATTTTATACAATTAAAAGTACTGTTTACTAATTAGTAATCTATCTTCCGGTTTACGGACAAGTTGGGTTTTTTATAGTCATTCACTGAATCAGGCGCGTCCTCCGGCGTTTGGACAGGGTGCGATTTGGCGCCACGGGCTAGAATGTGAGCACTATGCGTTTATGTTTGCATTTCAGTTGTGTTTATGTTATGAGTGTTGTGTTTGTTTTTTTCGTTAGTGTTTTTTCTTTAGTGTTTGTGTGTTGCATTTGTGTTTTCGTTTGTGTTTGCATTGTGTTTGTGTTTTCGTTTGTGTTGTGTTTGTGGGTTCTTTTGTGTTTGTGTTATGTTTGTGTTGTGTTTAGTTTTGTTCTGTTCCCAAGTTGTTACATTTAAAAAAGATATACCGTGGCGGAGCACGGGTATGCAGCTAGTTTAGACTTATCCGCGACGTGTTTCTTCTGTGTTGTTTTTTTCCGTCTCGTAATTTAGTTGGCCCAGCGACGTACTTAAACATTCAAGTATGTATTTCCTCTTGTTATGTTGTGTATGTGTTGAGTGTTGCCTACCACTACATCGTGCGTACAGGATCTGATTACTTTCTTGCTCATCTGTATATCTTCAAATGTAACGGACAGATATTTTATGGTATTCATTAGATTGCATCTTTCCAAGTAAGTCTATTAGACTATTTGATGTTTTATTCTGAATTCACATTATATTTTAGTGTCTTTGATTTACGAAAGTATTATGTTACGTTAGTGTATTGCATTTGTAAGAGTATGCATTATTTTTTAAAGCCGTAATGTTTGATTACAACAACACATTTTAAATTAAAATGAACACTGTTTTGATTATATAATTTATACTTAAATTCTGTTAAAATGACGTTTTACCAGCTTTTCTTCCGTTATTTTTTATGGTTTGAGTTAAGATTAGGCTTAGAGGTTGGGCTCGTGTCGGAGATGGTATCAGGATTACGGATTAGGTCATGAATCACTTTATTGCAATAACTGTAGCCAAAGTTAAACTTATAGCTCCATTGGTCACAATGACACTAAATTCGTCTTATTGACGTATTATTAAGCACCAAAAAATAATCTTAAAAATAGAAAAAAAACTTAATCGTCCATTAAAAATAATTTGTTTCTCGGAAACCAGATTTAAAAAAAAAAATTCTTTTAGTGAGTGAAGTAAGCCGTGGGAAACATAAGTTTACTGTTGTTAAATTACCCCTCCCCCTCCTTTCCCCCTTGTTAACATCCTGCATAGGTTTAATAAGCTTACTAGCTTTTGTTTTTAGAGGAACTTTATTTTTCTTACGTGAAATATTAAACGAAATAATTATTTTGGAAAACTGTTAAATTAAATGCAGTTCTTAATTCAAGAAAGTAAATAATGCTTGAAGAACACAATACTTCAACAACATAAACTATGAAAGAATGTACACAATTTAAAGCACACGTTTTGCATGTTTGTTTCCTGTAAATATAAACTGATAAGTTAAACAAAATCGTTGGAGAAATTAAATTGATTCTATTGAAAACAACCGGACTTTACATTTTTTTCAAAAAATACTTTACTTAAAATATTACTAGATCTAGCCAGCACAATTTTTTTTTAATTTGGTTTAAAATCAGTTTTGTTGTAATAAAAATAGTTAACTGCCTTGTTAAACACATTTTCAGATGATTTAAAATTAAAACTTAGCAAATAATGGCACTCTTCATCTGATACAATAGAGTAAATTAAATTAAAATTAAAAAAAACTCTTAGCCCTCCCGAGACTAGACGGTTGTTTGTGCCACGGTAGATTATGTGAGACGTTAAAAATATTTTGTCATTTACCTCTCTCTGACAATTGGCTTCTGCGGAATTCATACATTTGTTGAGATCTGACTCGGTGAATACAGAAGGGTAGAAGAAGAGAGAGGAGGATTCAAACAACAAGTCCAACTACATGGACGAACTCAACGGTGGTCTCAAGATCTCCAGTCACCCCTTATAATTTTATTTCTGAGTAAGGTGTGTTGGGACCAGAGGTCACAAGGGTCAAAAGCAGTCAACTAAAGCTGTCAGGGCTACTTAAACTTCTTTTTTTTTCTGTCGTCTACATCATTTTCTTGTGTCTTTTACTTCACTTCCCAGAGATATTATATGCTGACGTCAACAGTTTGAATCCTCAAGTATCAACCAAAATAGGCGCGCAGAACCTCACTCACCAACTTTCCAATCATCTGTATTCCAGTTCGTTCCCTAAATGACATAGGGACTCTGTTTAAACTCTCCATCCCCCTTCCCACCCCCACCCCCCACTCCACCCCTCCTCGCGAAGTCCTGCCATTATTTTTGGCTTTTCGTAGCTCCATACATACCAATGGCTGTGAATAAAAAGGTATAAAACATTAGTCATAGATCTACCATCCTCTCTAAGATTTAGCCCACTAGGATGTACATTGTTTTCGCTTTGGAGTTTCCAGCTTGGCGCACTTAACATAGTGTTGAAGTACAAGTAGGGGCTTGTCATTTTCTCTATCTGACTCGTGACAAAGATTGTGATCTGTTATGCTGAATCGGTATTTACACATAGTAAAGTAAGGGAAGTCAAAACGTCGAACCTGTAATCATAGTGGTTAAACGTACTCTTTTTTTCATTTTCACAAAAAAAAGTCTGTTTTAGAATAAATTGTATACTAATTATAATCTAAACCGCACATCGATTTTTTTCTACAATTAACTGAATATGATTTATAAAAAAATAAATACGTATGTTTCTCATATAAATGGAAAGCCATCAAGCCAATTGCAGCGACACTTGAGATTTAGCCGCTTTTTTGTGTTTATACTAAAGCTAGAAAACTCTTTAATGACTAAGGCAAAAACTAGAACGCACAGATAACAACATTTAAATACACTTGATGTTAAAGAGTAGACAAATTTGTGTCAATACAAGAAACTAATTTTAAAAAAATAAAATAAACAAATAGGACCCATGAGTAATAGTTATGCTCCAGAATTTGTCTAAGACAACAAATTATTAATAACCAACGATGGCATAAAGCAACTTCATTCTGTATGTTATAGTTAAACACTAACGTAACACTACAACCTAAAATATTAAGTAAAGATATTCCAGACCAAGTTTTGGTAAGATGTAGTTACATGGAACAAATAATTTTAATCCTCCTTAAGATCTTCATGATTAAAAGTCTAAATCGTGCACTTACAATCTGTTTTAAGAACCTACGCTTAAAAATAGAAATTTAAATTCATTTTGGCCATGTGTTAAAACGATCACATATTTTATATGTGTACTGGTGAGGTCCTGTAAGTTGAGTTTTTTTTTAATTGCATTAAGAAAATTATTTTCTAAAGTTTGTGGTTGAATCTAAATATAATAGAAAAGTTTATGAATTGAATTAATATTTGTCTGTTTTACTTAAGTCACAAATTGTCTTAAGGGGATATGCGCGTTTTTTCCAATTTTTTCCAATTCAATATCTAAAGCCTTTTAAATACTTTTATCATATTTGGTATATGAAACTTAGTATTAAACAGCAAAAAAAGGGTTGAAAACAATTTTGGTTGTCATGGAAACCAAAACAAATCTTCGCCATTTTGAATTTTTTGGTACTTTTAAAAATGCTAAGGCTTTTTTATTTATGCACCTATAGCAATCAAATTTAAACTGCTTATATTTCAGTATATTTTAAAACTTTTGTCACGAAAACCTTTTGAAACAGCTACTAGTAAGAAATTTTACCATTTTTAGTGTTCACAAAATTCAAAATTTGCATATTAATTACCAAATACTTTTTTCTATAAAACTCATCACAATTCCCTCGTGACAAAAGTTAAGCTGTATTTTTGCAATGAAGAACAATTACTGAAAATATGGTGGCGATTATTTAATAAATCAAAAAATAGAAGGCTTTACAGTGTTAAAATCCTTCGAACTGAGAAAAACAGCCAAAGTAACGAAAAGTAGGTCACGAAATTGCAAAGCCGATTGTAAGCGTCGGATGTTTCCGCGATGCTGGAAATTAAGATTATCAAATAAAGGAGAAATCCCGCTTTCTAATGATGCCAAATTCAAAATGATGACGAATATAAAACTTTTCATAGAGAGCATGTAAGATTGGGAAAAATTGATTATTTTTTAGTTAATAGAGTCATAAAAATTGTAATTTAAATACCTAACATTTTTTTAGCGCAATTTCCATTCTGGAGAATTGCATTTATTAACCCGTCATTTCTGGATGTATGAATGTATGAATGAATGGATGGATGGATGGATGTGTGTCCGCAGCTTTAAGTCGTATCTCCTCCTCAACGAAGCAATATCGATGACTAGTTCCAAAAGCATTTATGTTAAGCAAGTTACGAGGATGAACATAGGCCATAAAAATTCCGGGTTTCTTTCTTGGATTTCCCGGAAAAGCCAAAAATCCTCGAAAAAAGCAGTTTTTGGCCCATATCTCGACAACCAGACCACTTAGCGACTTGAAACATGTACCAATCGATTCCTGTCCTAATTTAGAACAATATTGCCGAAGAAAGTTTTCAAAAATATCCTTTCGTTCGGTCACAAAAATTTTTTTGAATTAATTAAAATTTGTCCGAATTAGTAGGCATATTTATCCAACCACACCACATGCGTCATCACGTTCAATAGCTGCGCCATCACGTTCAATGGCTGCGTCATCACGTTCAGTAGGCGCGCAATGGTTTTTAGCCATGTAACGTTTGTAAATAAAACATGTAAAATACTGAAAAAAAATTAATAAAAAACGTTTTAATAACTAACCAATGGTTTTACTAACCCTGATCTTGATTTACGCTACGACAGAGCTATTTTTAGATAACATAAGGAAATTGCGCTTAAATGTCACTAGACTTTTTAATTAACTTGTTTCTCTTCAAAGTTATTATTTTCTTAATTAATACAAAAATGCCCAAAGTGTCCAAAAGTGCAACAAACACATCATGACGAAAAACAAGAAATTTTGTGATTTTTTTGCCGCGCATATCCCCTTTATATGAAAAATATTCCATCTTGCTGAATGACACTAATATAATTATGGTCTGGTTATAAAATGCATAATATGTAGAGTTGAGATGATTCAAAAATTTAAAAACCACATCCAGGTATAACATGGAGCAACATTTTTTATCAAGTGTTACGTGGGTTCCTAATGCCTGTTTATTAGCAGTGTCCGTTTGTAAGCCTGTGTTTATTTTATCATTCTTTATCCTTGTTGATTATAAAAGTCTAGTGATTCAAAACATGGTTTTAAATATATCTACACGCATAGTGATATTTAGTTATGCCCATCTTAGGCTAAGAAAGACTCGATAGTTGTCACAAGAGGGACAATTCAATTTTTAAATTTAGAACTTCTAAGTGTCTGGCGAAGGCAATTTAAAATAGTTAAAAATTGGTTCCAAAGTACTTAAATCATTAAAGCACTTAATACAAAATATATGTACGTAATATGGCCGTTAGTAAATTTTACTTGCTTTTCCCTGATTGTATTGTACAAACAAAACTAAATATAATTCTACATTAACAATTAATCTTTATATTTATTTCAGTGCTGTTATATAGTTTGCTATGGATCTCCGTTTATTAACTGTGTTTTCTATAGTACTATCAGGTAACTATAAAACACGTTTACTTTCATTTATCAGCATAAAGAATATAGCATAACAACATTACTTTAGATATGTACATTCATAAAGTGAAAAAATGCACCTGATTTTGTAATTTAATAATTTTATTGCTCTGTCTTAAAACTACAGAAAAATAACAGGCTTGTTATAATTTACTTCAGGTACACTGGTGAATTCTTCTTATTTTAGAGTGAATTTAATTGAATTTAAAAATAGCTACCTGATGCAAATAAACAGCTCTACACAAGGATGTGGAGAGAATGAGAAAGCAGGAATGCTAATCGGGAACGTATTTATAATTTATTCGGTCTGTACCGAAACATTTTCTTTTTAAACATTTTCTATTAACCAGACAAAGTAAGAGTTAGAACTTCAACGTTGTTAAATTTGTGCATGAAAATACATGAAGTTGATATGAATTACGCAAACATTTAATTAAAATAAATATTATAAGATAAAATTGACAACGTAAATATTCACATGGTTAACAGTCATTTATAAATGATGATAAACAATTAAATTTAATTGGTTTTTCTAAAATAATGACGACATTCTATTAATTTTATTATAAAACTACACAAGTATAATGTGCTATTATACTAAATAATAAAAAGAATTAAACATGTGCGTCTCTTCATTTTGGTTTTAAAAATCTAAATTTACAGCCGCAATGTTCTACTTTAAGTTCGCCTACTATGGCTAACTTGTCCAATTTAGATGAAAGACAACTTGTGATGTATATCAGAAATACATGTAATGGTCTGAGTAGTTGTCTTCTGGTAAAAGAAAATCTGCAGCTGAAAACAACATGTGGCAACTTTTGTACTTGCCTAGTGATGTATTATGATATATATTACTCGTGCTATCCTGTTGGTAAGTGTTTCTATTTGATCTTCGTTTTAATAATATAGAAAGAAGTTTAATTCAGTAGTTTAGGTTCTTTTTTATATAGGTTGAATATAGATTTAGTCGTCTATATAAGGCATTGCCGTTTCATTTATCAAATCTTCTTGATATCTACTATATAAAATGATCGGCCATGTTTGTAAACTATAGTTAACCAGAACTTCTTTTTCTTCTTCGTTCTTAATTTTAGTGTTGGAAAGGATCTCCCTCCAACACAATTAAGGTTACGTGTCAACTGGTTATGCGCCATTGAGGCCATTGACTCCGATTTCAGCCTGCTTTTCTTTTTGGATTTGCTTCCATAGCCTTTGTCCAACCAAGAACATACTACAAGGCAGCAGTTGTTTGATTTTGGAGTTGTGTCTCCTTGAAGAGTGGCTGTCCCCAGCTAACGAGAGCCTCATCTACCCGAGGGTTCGAACTCGAGACTTTTCGGTTTAGCAAAACCAGAACTAAAAACGTCCTTTTTTTTTTACCTTTCGAGAAAAAACAACTTTAAAAAATTAACATAAATAAGTTATTAATTACACTTAGATAATTTTGCAAAAGTTAAAATTGATATTTTTTTCTTTATGGATAAGTTTTTATTTACTTATATATTTACTTATATGTCACCAGAACTTTTTAACATATTTTAATTTTATATGTATGTATATATATATCTATCTATCTATCTCTCTCTTTCTCTCTCTCTCTCTCTCTCTCTCTCTCTCTCTCTCTCTCTCTCTCTCTCTCTCTCTCTCTCTCTCTCTCTATATATATATATATATATATATATATATATATATATATATATATATATATATATATATATATATTTATATATATATATATATATATATATATATTTATATATATATAATATATATATATATATATATATATATATATATATATATATATATATATATATATATATATATGATGGTTCACCTTATAAAAATTCAGTTCCAGATAACAAGAAAACTTTTGACATGTCCAAGGACTTCAACACCACTTTTGACACACATACGGCGGACATTAATGTTTACCTGGTGCTCCAGAGACAGCATCTTGTATATAATCGAACATGCTGTGTAGAGGCGAACGGAATTAGCATTAACGTTAGATTCATGAACATGCCATCTGCTTTAACAGTGCAGTTTAATGGCGCTACCGAAATCCTAGATGACAGACTCTATAACCTTTCTAAGAGGTACGCGTTTCTTTCTATTTTTACTTTCTCGTAGAGAAAGTAATGTAATCGTGCAAAAAAATCACGATTTTTGCAAATCTAGACGTTTTACACCTCACTGAGTCTGAAAAACATAATTCTGCAATCTTGTCCGTATGTCTGTGTGTGTATGTGTGTATGTGTGTTTGTGAACACGATAACTTGAGTAAAGTTACAGCTAGGTTGATGAAATTTCATATATAAGTATTATATCAAATTTGTAGTTCTATGTCAACGTTTCAGCGATTTCCGGTAAACGAAATTGGCCCTTATTATACTTTTGTAAATGGTTTGTATTCTTGCAGGTTTTTTGATGTTGTTAAGCTGTGTTTTACACAGAAGACTCTTATGGAGCCTCTTTGGTTTCATCTCACAGATGGTAAGATGTTGACTAATGTAAATAAGGCTGACACAGCTAACAACTATTCTTTAGAGTGCTGTGGCTATTACTTTAAGAATTAATTATTTCAACTAAGCCTACTTCTTTGTTTCAAATTTGAACTTCAATATCTTATAGGTGGTGTGATTTAATATAGATCTACAAAGTATTAAAGGATAAAAGTTTTTTTTTTTTCAGCGAGTGCAAACCAAATCTTTAGAATCAGCTGCCGAGGAGAGAAAAGCAACATCACAGGGACTGATATAGAGGATTATTCAGGTATAACAATAGTTTCTCTGTTCTGTCATTCTGTCACTCTCTCTCTCTCTCTCTCTATCTGTCACTCTGTCATTTAGGAACAATATAGAAAAAACACAACCAAGTAAAATATTTCGAAATCAAGCGGAAAACGAAACAGACGTCAACATGGAACATATATGAAATACAAGCCGTCCCGGCCTGGCCCTGCACTGGCGTCTGTGAAAAACCTTTCTGTTAAAGACCATTACCTGTGTGTTTAGTAATCATTATATACCCGGCATTGCCACCCTAACTACAACCAACCAAAACAAAAACAAAAAAAACGAAAACATAACGCAAACACAACCACAACCACAAACACCAATACAAACACAAAGAAAAAACAAACGAAAAAGCAAACGAAAACAAACCAAGTCCAAACGCAAACCCAACCACAACACAATACAAACACAACACAACACAATACAAACACAACACAAACGCAATACGAACACAATACAAGTATTATATCAAATGGTATATCTTCTTGTAGTTTGGTGCAGGTGCCTTTAAAAGAGCTTTCTGGTGCGACCGACAAAAACAAACTCCCCTTCGTGAGCAAAAAAGAACAGACAAAATGAATACGCAAAAAAAGACACAAATTATAACGTGCTGGAATTCCCATTCCCGAATAAAGATGTCTTTTGTTACTTCCCCTGTTTTTTTATTAAAAGTAATAATAAGAAAACAGTACGTTCAGTGTATGGAATAAATAAAAGGCAGTATTAAAAATATCAACAACATTGCACTTAATCAATCACCGCTAATTATGTAATTATTTTTTTCCCTACACCAAAACAAAGTAATAAAAAGTAAATTCTTTTCTCCCCAATTTTTCCTTTTAAAGTGAACTAACTGTGTTTTCCTAATCAAGGGACGTAATAAGCGATAAACGACTAAATGCAAATACTTTTCAGACACAATTATACATTTTATAAACGTTGATAAATAGTTATCTGCTGCTAATACCTAGGCGGTACATAAGTAAATCTGTAACTACCTGACTCAAACAAGGGCACATGTTGCTGTACATCAGAGCAATACAAATCGAATAAAAATAATTGTTGTATAACGAAAATAAACCGGTCATTTGATGTCTTCAATGACCACAATGTGCTACATGTTTGTTTTCTTCATTGGATTACAGTGGTGTTTTTCTTTAAAAGGTTTATTCATCGTGTTACAAGAGAGACAACCTTGTCGCTCTTGAGATTGGTTTGTATTTATTAAGTTACTGTTAGTTTTCCCGTTTCTTTTGTTATTTCTTTCGGATTTATGTGCCGGTCTTTCTCCTTGTACAACATGTGCTCATGAAGGGAATGAACGGAATTTATTTCGAGGTAGAAGATGATGTGTTCGAGGTAGGTACACATCCTCCCAAACCCTTGGAAGTGACCATTATAGATGCTGCCATTGTGGCTGGAATACCCCACGAAGTTTTCCCAAGGCATTTTGCCACATTGACAAATGTGCCTGTCACTGAGATTGTCAAAGTATACAATTACGGCGACGTAAAACAATGGTTTGTAACTTTGGCATCAAATGTAATCTACTAAAAAATGAATATGATGGAGTACGGCAGACGACGATCAGAATTCTCAGCAATGGGAAGATTCCACATTTTCCTGATTCAGACCCTGCATCGGGATATAAAAGGGATTCCTTCCGGGTATAAAATGGAAGACATAAAAACCTCGTTATGGAAAATGAGCAAACCTGACACTGAACCACACGTACGTATGGTGGACGAGGGAAATGCTGCATAATTCATGATAACCCCCAAAGTCACCAATGACGAGCTTCCTCATTACCTGAGATTAAGAAAAAGGGGGGTGGGGCTGTCCATTTGTGTTCAATGCAAATTTAGGGAGAAGGTCTATTTGCTGCAATTGTGACACAGACAGGCATCTGCCAAAGCAATGTGACAACTTATAAAGTAGAATTGTGGACGGGGTAAAACTAAAAGAAGGAAAGTATACAACAGTAGATGGCTGGATAGAGGAAGACATACAGCAGATGCGGGATGAAATAAATATGAAAGGTATTCGCTACTTTCAGAAGTGGGACGATTGGGCCTTTCGATCAACGGATTTCGAAGACAGTGTAAGGCAACAAGAAAGAAACCAAAGAATGGAAGAAGAGGAACAAGAGAGGGAAAGAGGAGCAAAAAGGAAAAGAACACGAAATGAAGCTTTAGGTAGGAAAGAAACCAAATTAACCCCCCCCCCAACAAGCACCGCTGCCGGAAGATTTATCAGACAATGAGGACTAAACAGAAGAGGGCAATAAGGCCTCACACGGACAACACATCAGTGGATGATACGAATAATATAGACTCTGACAATGACACAAGCTCAGCTACACTACAAATTGTTATGTCGCAGACAGTAGGATCAGAGGAGGAATACGACTCTGACCCACAACAGGAGAGAGCAAAAACTGGACCAAAGGTCTTCGCTCCCTTTCCTTTGTACCCAAACGAAATCCAGGCTGTCGAAGGTGACAGACTAAAAGAAAGTAGGCCTACAGGGAGCAGGCCAAGCTCAGAGGCACCAACAACCACAAACCTACCGAAAAGTGACTTGAAAGGCCCGTCTAACCTATCAACTCTAGAAATACTACAAGCAATGCAGCTCTAACATCCACCTAACCCACTGCCCTCCAACCGAAATACAAATGAAGTCCTGCCCAATAAACTACAATGAGTCGACTCAACATCACCACTCGAAACATAAGGGGTGCGGGAGACAAAACCAAACCCCTAGCACACACACTAGATCTATACAAAACAAACATCCTACTTTTACAAGAAACGAACTTTGCAACCAATCAGCAAGCATAAGCATTCTTCAAAACACTAGACATCAGTAACGCAATATACAGTTTAGGCCAAAACTGCAGAGGAACCAGCATATTGAACATTTCAAACAAATACAACCTAAAAGACATGAAATCAGACAACAACGGAAGACTAACTAGTGCCACGATACGAGATAACACATTAACTACAACTATAATCAACATTTACGCTCCGACACGTAGAAAAGAACAAAAAACATTCTACAAAAATCTACACAGAAAAATAAATACAGAATTTAGGGACAAAAACATACTATCAGGAGACTTTAATATGGTATTAGAACACAAAGACATGACGGGACCTTTACTAAAAATGAAAAAAAGAATCAGGATAGACAGAGAACAGATAGAGACATTGACAGACATTATTAGTGCAAAAAGACTCAAAGACGCCTACAATAGGAAAAGTTATAGAAACACTGAAGTATCACGTCACAGCACTACACACCAGAGCTCTGCCAGAATTGACAGAATCTACGTACACGACAACATCAAAGTAGCCAAATATAAAACATCTTGTACAAACACTAATCTACACAGATCATAAAGCCATCTTAGCCTAGTTAGACATCACCCCACATTAAACAAAAAACATTCATATCGGAAATTTAACAATACTTTATTAATACTTTATTTATCTGATATACTATAGAAATCAAGAGGACTACACATTCACTAGAAAACATACAAAGGAGCTTTAGTTAGAAGTAGAATAGACATTGTAGGTGTAGAAGAACCATCCTACCACTGTAACACGCTAGAACAAATAAACCCCCACAATAAACAAATTTAAAAAATAAAGAAAGAAGACGGAACAGAAACGACCGACTCAGACGAAATACAAACATGCTTTACAAACTATTACCAACAACTCTTTGACAAAGAAGACGCCAACAATGACATCCAAGACAAATTTTTGGTACACACAACTAGACTTAGGGACGAAGACAGAGACGCCCTATCTAACCACATTCCGAAATGTGGGTGGGTGGGCGGTTAGGCAGGTAGGAAGGTAGGCAGGTAGGCAGGTAGGTAGGTAGGTAGACAGCGAAACTATTACCTTACAGCAGGGTTTCCTCGCGTTACAAAGTTATTTTAGAAGTGTGACTGTTTCGGAAATATCACATTTTCAAAATGCAGAAAATATTTATAACCCTAAACATAAGTATTAAATATGGATGTGGATGTGGATGTGGTTGTGTATTTGGATGTGGGTGTGGATGTGGATGTGGACTTAATACAGAATATAGAATACAAAGTACAAAGTACAAAGTACAAAGTAAAAGAAAATTCAAAATACAAAATACAAAATATCGATACAGATACAGATTTTCTAAAGCTATAACATAAACCCCAATATACGATTTTGTTCTATAGGTAAACAGTTTTAAAATGGTACATGGAAGGTAACTTGTTGGTTGATTCTATTCTACAGGGTACATTTGTTTTTTGCAGCTTAGATAGAAACAATTAAACCTAAAGAAATATTTTAAAACAAACAAACAATGTTGAATTAATACGTGTTCTTATAGGTACATTCATTAGGATTGCTGTAAGCCTTATTATTGGTCTTCTATTCTTCGCGTGTCTTGTGCTTGTTTTTCACAAGTAAGTAGAAAACTTTATTATTAAATGTCAAAATTAAGCAGTCATCTATTTTTACCACCTCAATTTTATATAATACGCAAAACACTAACACAAGCACAAACAAAAACACAAAAATAAACGCAAAATGAAACATAAACGCTAACCATTACCACAACCCATAAAACATAAACATAAACAAAAACACAAACCAACCCTCGACACAACCTCAACCTCTCTTAATTACGAAATTCAGCCTTACGTAGTGATGAAATGAATAATAATTAATAAACAAAGCAGATTTGAAGGTCTTTAAAAAAAATATTTAATTTTCTTATATTAGAACTTCTAAAGTTTTAGAATGTTAAAAAAAATACAGAAGTCTATAAATAATAAACAACATAGCACAGGCGTTAAACGCAGCGCAAATTATTTAAATTATGAGACATAAAAATGGCGGTCTTGAGTTCGTCTATATGGCCTATACAAATATTTTAAAAATTTAAAACAGTTTTAAATTTCACAGAATTTAGCCAGAAAGTATCCACGAACACTTCCAGTGTTATAATGCACATGTGTGGCAAAAATGAACCAGATCCGTACAGGCGTTTGAACTTCTATACGACACAAACCGTTTAATATTTTAAATATAATGTACGACAAATGTCTTTGTTATATCTACTTATTTTTACATATTTTTTTCATATTGATATTTTTATTTGAATTTTTTTTTCTTGTACATAAACTTGTAATATTAGACAAGTAAAGTCGGAGGTAATATTAGTGTACTTTTATCCATTATCAGTAACGTCATTATTATTGTGTACTTTTCATACTTATAAGTTTAGTTTACTCTGATTTTATACGATTATTTCTTTGTAGTTTCATGAGACGTCACCCTCTCTTGCTGTGAAAGTTTTTAATTTTTAAGGTTTTTTTTTACTGTATGCATGTCTTCAACGTACATGCATTTTACATACATACATACAGAGAGACAGAGTCCATTTGAGCTTTATATATATTTTATATATATTATATATTTATTTAACAACAGAAAGAGCGGGTATATTATATGTATGTTTATGTGATTCTATAATATCTTTCGTCCTGAGATAAGTTTTCTGAAATCTGTTGTCTTGTTCTCGTTTTTGTATATATATATATATATATATATATATATATATATATATATATATATATATATATATATATATATATATATATATATATACATATATATATATATATATATATATATATATATATATATATATATATATATATATATATCTTTTTAAGGGTGCAATTTCATGGAAATATCAGGCATAAAAGAGAAACAAATGATAGATTTAGCTTCATTAAATATATATATATATATATATATATATATATATATATATATATATATAACATAACTTTTATATATTATTGCCAAATAAACTTCAGACAAATTTGTAAAAGACGCTGCGACATTGTAGAATCTATGCATTCTTACGATTTACACTATAATAGTGCCAACTGGACAGACACAACACATGAAGACGAGCATCTGTATGGACAAGTGATCTCTGGTGAATTCATTCTTCTAATCTTCTAATTTCATTCACAACCTAGTAACTCTCAGATTAAATTGTTTTAATAGATGAAATATTTTACATATAATTTCTAGTTTATGTGCTTAAGAAAATCATTATTTCTTTAAATTTTTTTATTAAATAAAATTGTGTTTTAATATTGTTAAATGTATCATGCACTATAATATTCCTTATATAAAATAATTTTAGTGGCTGGAGCCCCCGGTGATGACACATCTAACTACACTGAGTTGACGGAATAGTGGATAAGATGTCAGTTGTGAAAGATTTGTCGAGTCACATTTGAACCAGCATACATCTTTTTCATCTCCTGATGTCATACTGTGTAAATTTTCATTAGTGTAATATTTTGAATTGTTGGATCTCATCTTGTCTTGGGAAATATAATTGTAAAAATAATGCTAGATCTTCACGGTTCTTTTCGACACGAATCTGCGTGTTCGTGTATTTGGGAGGGGTGGGGCGGGGGCTACGATTTTGAGAATATAAATAACATGAACATGAACATGAACATAACCACAACCTCAACCCTAACGTAATCACAAACATAAACAAAACCCACTATAAACACAAATTTGGATTTGTTTTTAAAATGTGATTTTAATTTTTAATACTGTTTATAGGCAAAATGAACTCGCCGGTGGAAGCACCCGATTCGGGTTAGTGAACGATTATATTAGCTCGTCTTATCCTCTCCTTAGTACGATAAGACAAAGACTGCCCTAACTTTCAACAACATCACTACACTAAAACGTCACATTCTTGATTTCTGAGTCAAAAACTCCACTCTTTTATTAAAGCAAACCCTTTCACAACACACATACTCTCGTACCCTTGCAATACTCTAGTACTATTCGTATCCCCATATCCCTCAATCTAATATCATTTTTATGTGCTAATTATAGTCGTCTGTATTAATGCACTTAAATGATTTCTTTTTGTGCACTTATGTAGAGAAAATTGACGCTTGATCTGACTTTCTTATTAAAAAATAAAGATAATAAAACAATATTGTCGTCATCATTTTTTAAATTATTAGACTGTTATAAACGCCAAATAGTCCACCCGCCTGGGTGACTGGGGACGCTCCTGATACGATTTAATGAATGATTAGAATAGCTTACGTATCCATAGTGTGTCGTACTCTTTGAAACGAACGTGTCTCAGTGCTTACTTGCGAGTCCGTGGTGCAATATAACCCTCTGTCGGGGCGCCGATGGAAGCTCTTGATTCGTTTTGTCGAACGATAATAATAACCCATCCTATCCATAGTGTATACTATGGAAAATCAGATTGCCTGAAAAATATGAATAAAAAATGGACAAGACGCTAATGGCAAAGAAATACAAAAATACAAAAGGGGGTTAACTGGACAAAAACTTGCGTAAACCAACTAGCAACCCCGCCAGCCTGCCATTTTATTAGAATCCCAAAAGAAAATAGGAAAGCAGATAAGCCAAAAACAAACATGGAAACGGTCAGCTGTGCGATAAAAGCGTCTGTTGTTTGTCTTGCACCTTACTTGGAGTAATCGCCCCCAACAGACTACGATGGAAAGGTTAGGTTGCGTCTCTATGTTCCACAAAGACTCCACAAAAAATGATGATAGAAATTATGCTAAAATTAAGCATAGGGCAGCGTTAATAACATCCAAATGACACTGAATTCTTCACACTGGCAATTTATTAAGCACCCAAAAAATTCACTTGACAGATAGAAATTAAAACTTTATAGTCCGTTTAAAAAAAGCATTTTTTTTTCTCGGAAATCAGATAAAAAACTTTTCTCTTTAAGTTAGTGGAAGTCAAGTAAGCCGTGGAAAACACACGTTTACCGGATGTTAAGTACCCACCCCTCCCAAAACACACAATTTAAACTGGTAACTTATACGACAGCTGAGCACTCAACGACCATTTATGTTCGATTATGACGTAGGGCCTACTTGTCTGTAAAAGTTATAAGTGGTTTTTTTTTGTTATGTATTTTTAACATTTAAACTTTTATTTCTCAAAACTTAAAATTCCTTATGTTTTTTAAAGGAACTATTGATCATGATAAAGTGACTAATCATATAATAAATAACAATGTTTACATTAAGATGAAATATCCAAAGACGAGAGCTCAATAAACTACAAATTTAGGGCCAGAATTGGGAAACAAAATGAAAGTACACATTAATGAATTTTAATAGATGACATTGGATTATGGTAACAGGCAGAATGCTCAGCAAAAACCATATGGGGCAACTGAGATTGAAAAACTTGTGTTATCAATTTCCTTGATAGTCTTTATATTATCATTAAAAATACTTAACATGCAAGAAAAAATGTCCTGGCCGGCTTAGATTTGAGAAAATATTTACACCGTACAACACACTTCTACAGTTCAATCAGGAATTATTTAGCTTTCATTCCAATCTCAATTGTTGTAGCAAGTTTCGTCTACCATGTCAGATACAAGCAACTTCATTAGGCTGTTAAAAACATCAAGAGAATCTCCATCTTTCAATCATTGCTGGAGTGTCCTTATTATTTAACAGATTTCCATTCAATCAAAATCTTACAACTCCTGTTTTCATTCCAACCCAATACCCACCATTTAACTCCCACAGAGATGTAGCCTATTCTGCTTAATTGTAGAATGCACTACGTTACCATCTTCGTCAGTTACTTTTAGATAAATGTGTTCACTTTCTATATGGTCCTCATTTTTCTGGCTTGGTTGGTCTTTCATTCTCTCCGCTTAAAATGTTCTTAAAATGGGTAAAAAATATCTATGCACAACTTAAGCGTTGTCTTGGTAATAAGACCTATCCACACTTAAGCATACGTCTTGCACGTTTTTTCCTATAAATATAAAATGAAATATTCAAAACAAAACGTGTCATAGTGAATGAGTAGGACTCAACATATGAAAGTCGTTTGTCATATGATTAAAGTTTCTTTGTTAACAATATTACTAGATAGTGAGAAATGTTTTGTTTCAGTTTTGTTATAGACCATTACTGTAGTAATAGAACAAGTTCCCCACCCAGCTTAGACCATTTGAAATAATTGTTAGCAAACAATTTAATTACACATTGCATTGCATCTGATAGAATTAAGTGCAATAAAAAGGAAACAGATGTTCAACTACGTTAAATCAAAAAACACTTAGCTATCTCCTTTCGTGCCATGACAAATCAAGATTTTTTTATACTTTTTCCTCACTCATAGTCAGCTTTAGCAGAAATAGTTAGTTTAGGATCTGATTCGGAAAATGACAAGTAGATGACTACAAAAGGTTGTGTGTATTGAGGGGGGGGGGGGAATTGTTAACATAACATTTATGGTGAAGTTTCGATGTCAGCTGAATTCCGACTTAAAACCTATTGTAAGAACGTAAGATAAATATTATGGTATGTACTTTATATATATATATATATATATATATATATATATATATATATATATATATATATATATATATATATATATATACAGTATACAGAGGGGTAGCGAGGGGGGGCGGGGGGGGGGCGGACCGCACCGGGTGACACCATTTAGGGGGGTGACACCAAGGCAAAAAATAGCAAAATATATAGGGAAAAACGTGACGGGGGGGGTGCAAATCGAAAGTTCGAGGGGGGGGGGGGTTGCAAATCGAAAACTTGAGGGGGGGGGGGGGTTGCAAATCGAAAACTTGAGGGGGAAAGGGTGCAAATCGAAAGTTTGAGGTGGTTTCAAATCGATAAAGTGTCCTCGGGAAGGGTCGCTACGCCTTTGGGGGGTGACACCATCAAGTGCCGCACCGGTTGACACCCGACCTCGCTACGCCACTGTATATAGCAACAAGCTAGCAACAATTTTCAACAAGTTTTACGTACATTACTAATTAGCATATCTATGTGATTGTTAAAGGCGGTCGCAATATGTTAAAAGGATTACATCAATGCGTTACCAATCGTATAGTTGTTTAGATTGTGTTTTCTAAATCTGAGTTATTTAAATGTAAATATAGCAGAAACCTTCCTAGGACTATTCTTATTAACTTTCCTACGTTTCATGACGATGGGATGTAAGGTATAGTAAAACATTAAAGACAAGCACACAGTTTCATATATAAATGTAAAAACCTAATATCTGGCCTAAGTACATACTTAACATTCAAGTGCGTGTTTCCTATTGTTACAGTGTAGTTGTATTTTGTGTTGTCCGCCTTACTTTTTGCGGTCAGGATCTTAGTACTGTCGTCTTCTCTGGCTGCTCATCTGTTTAACAAATCTTCAATGTAACTGGCTGTCATTTTATGGATTTCTCGTTATTTTTTAATGCATCTTTTTAAGTAAGTCTATTAGACTATTAGATGTTTTATTCTGAATTCATATTATATTTTAGTTTCTTTGATTAACGAATGTATTATTAGATTTTAGTGTTCCACATTTATAAGAGTATGCATTTTTTTCATGCCGTAATGTTTAGTTATAAATACACATTTTATATTAAAATAAACACTGTATTTAAATACTTAATTTTTTACTTAAATTGTGTTACTATTATGTTTTACCAGATTTGGTTTATGGTTTGAGTTAAGATTAGGCTTAGAGGTTGAGCTCGGGTCAGAGATGGTATCAGGATTACGGATTAGGTCATGAATAAGATTAATGCTACAACCGTAGCCAGAGTTAAACTTATAGCTCCAATGGCTTTAAATTCGTCTCATTGACGTATTTTTAAGCACTCAAAACAACACTTAAAAATAGAAAAAAAAACTTACCCTTACATTAAAAATACATTTGTTTCTCTGAGATTCGATTTTAAAACAACAGTTTCCTTTAATTGAGAGTAAGTCCAAGAAAGTCGAGGAAAGCATAAATTTACCGGATGTTAAATACCCACTACCCCCCACCCGTCCCATTTGTTAACATCCTGTATATGTTTAACAAGCTTGCTAGCTTTTGTTTTTACGGATTCTTACTTTTCTTGCGTGAAATATTAAGCGAAATAATTATTTTTTTTTGAACACTCTTAAATTAAATGCTGTTTTCAACTCAAGAAAGGAAATCATGCTTAAAGAACACAACAAATCGATGTATGTTATCTAACCTTAAAGATGACGAAACACTACGCCTTTCTTGTCTCTTGGACTTCTTCGATTTTTACTTTCTCGTATATACGAAGTATAGAGAAAGTCTTGTAATCGTGCAAAAAATAATCGAGGTTTTTACAAATCTCGACGTTCTACACCTCACTGATACGGAAAAACATAATTTTGCAATCTTGTCCGTATGTGTCTGTGTGTGTGTCAGTGTGTGTGTAAACACGATAACTTGAGTACCGTTACAGCTAGGTTGATGAAATTTCATATATAATTAGATCCGTATCAACTTTTGAGCGATTTCCGATAACCGGAAGTGATTTGAATTTTTCAAAAGACTATAACTTGAGTACTATTTCAGATAGATAAATGAAATTTCACATGTAAGTAGAAGATCTACTTCACTACCTTCTGTCAAATTTTGATTAATTTCCGTTGAACGGAAATACTAATTTACGCTATTTTTGATTTCTCAAAAAACGCATGTAAATTTATAAAGTACTAATAATATTGCGCACTATTATGCACATTTTGTTTTGGCGTTCGCTTGGTGCGCAATTCTTGTTTCTATGAGATTTTATTCTATTTTAAAAACTTTAAGTATTTAAAATGGAGTTCCCATCCCCTGTTGTTTTATATATGAATATTCGAGAAAGTTTAGGGGAGATCACTCCCGGTTTATTTATATCTATATCGGAGGATCCAAACAACAAGTCCAACGTCATGGACGAGTTGAACAGTGGTCTCAAGATCTGTAGTCACCCCTTATAATTTTTTTTTCTGAGTGGGGTGTGTTGGGACCAGAGGTCACAAGGGTCAAAAGCAGTCAACTAAAGCTGTCAAGGCACTTACACTTCTTTTTCTTTCCGTCACCTACATCCAATTTAATTTTTTTTTTGTCTTTTACTTCACTTCGCAGATATATTAGTTGCCGGCGTGAACAGTTTGATTTCTTAAGTATCGACTATAAAAAAAATTTGGGTAAATCTTACATTACAAACTAGGCAGAACCTCAATCATAAACTTTCCATTTATCGGTATTTCTTTTCGCTCGTTGAAGGGACATTAGGATTCTGTTAAAGCTCTTCACCCACCTTAACCCCATCCTCTCCACGGTGAACTGCTATCTTTTTGGCTTTGCCTAGCTTCACACATACCAACGGCTGGGTATAAAAAAAAGGTATAAACGTTAGACATAGATCTACCATCCTCTGTAAGATTTACCCTATAAGGATGTACTTTGTTATCGCTTTGAAGTTTCCAGCTTGACGTACTTAAATTAGTGTTTAAGTTGAAGTAGGGGCTAGTCATCTTCTCTATCTGACTCGTGAAAAAGATTGTGATCTGTTTAGCTGAATCGGTATTTAAACATAGTAAAGTTAGGGAAGTTAAAATTTCGAACCCGGATCTGGTTAAACGTACTTTTTCATTTTTACAAAAACGTCTGTTTAAGAATAAATTGTATAATACTTAGAATCCAAATCACACATCGTTTTTTTTCTCCTATTAACGGAAAATAATGTATACAAATAAATACTTTTGTCTCTCACATACAAGGAAAGTCGTCAAGTCAATTAATGCGACACTTGATAGTTAGCTTTGTCGTTGTGTCCATACACAAGCTATAAAACTCTTAAATAACTTAAGGCAAAACCTAGAACACGCAGATTACAACATTTCAAATACATCTGATGTTAAAATTTGTCTTAGACAACACATTATTAATAACAAACTATGGGATTAAGCAGCTTTATTCTTTAGTATATAGTTAAACACTAACGTAACACTAACGTAACACTACAAACCTAAAACATAAAGTTAAGACATTCCAATCCAAGTTTAGGTAAAGTTGTCTCAACACTTAAGAAGTATTTACACGGATCAAATCATTTTACATCCTCGTTACGATCTTCATCATATAAAAGTCTAAATCGTGCTGTTACAGTCTGTTTTTATCACCTACGCTTAAAATAGAGATTTAAACGCATTTGGCCATCTGTTTAAATGATAACAAATTTCAAATGTCTTAACCGGTGAGGTTCTGTAAGTTCAGTTGTTTTTTAATTGTATTAAGGAAATTATTTTCTAAACTTTGTGATTGAAACTAAATATAATAGAAAATTTTGTAAATGGAATTAATCTGTTTTACGTAAGTCACAAATTGTAATATTCCATGATCATAGTCAATTTAAAAGTAAATGAATGACACTAATACACACGAGGAAGAATGACGGTCTTGGTATTAAATAGATAATGTATATTCTTGAGATGAACCAAAAATTGTAAAACCACATCTAGGCTTAAAATCGAGAACCACTTCTTAACAAGGCTTATATGCCTGTTCAATAGAAGCGTTCGATTTGAAGCCTGTATTTATTTTATTATTTCTTATCCTTGTTAATTATGACAGGCTAGTGATTCAAAATATTGTTTTCAATATCTTTGCATTCATAGTGATATTTTGTTATGCCTACCTTAAACTATGAATAACTCGACAAATACTTTAGACGTCACAAGAGGGACAATTCAATTTTTAACTTTAGAACGTCAAACTTTCTGGCAGTTTTAAATAGTTAAAAAGATGCTACAAAGTATTCATATCATTTAAGCTCCTAATTTAAAACATATCGACGTAATGCGTCTGTAAAGAAATTATTATTTGACTTGTTTTTCTTTGATTGTACAAATATAAACAGATATGCTTCTGAATAAACAATTCATCTTTATATTTATTTCAGTACTGCTATATAGTTTGCTATGGATCTACGTTTATTAAGTGTGTTTTCTATAATAGTATCAGGTAAATATAAAACACTTTTACTTTCACTAAATAGCACAAAGAAGCTAAAATAAATACAAAATTTCTTTTTATAATTATGTGCATACATAAAGTGAAAAAATGCACCTGATTTTGCAATTGATTTTTATTTCTCAGTCTTAAACTAAAAAAAAAAACATAACAAGCTTTTAATAATTTCTTTAGGTACTCTGGGGAATTTTTCTTATTTTAGAGTGAATTTAAGTGATTCTAAAGATAGTTACTTGATACAAGTACACAGCTCTACACAAGGATGTGGAGAGAATGAGAAAGCAGGAATGCTTACCGGGAACGTATTTATATTTTTTTCGGTCAGTACGTTTTTAAAAACATCTTCTACTAACTAAACAAAGTTAGGGTTATAACTTGAACGTTGTTAAATGTGTGCATGCAAATAAATAAAGTTTATATGAATTACGCAAACATTTAATTAGAATACATATTTTAAGATAAAATTGACAATGGAACTATTTACTTAAGTAATAGTCTCCTCCTAAATATATAGCTAAGGTATCCAATAGATAATATAGTGACACACGCTTTTCTCTGTGGTTATTCAAATATTAGTGTAGTATTATATATTTAAATAACATTAGTTTTTTTAGTCCATTATTACATAAAAACTTGTGATTAAAACAATTATTTATAAAATAATGCCGTTATTCCAAATTAAATTTTTCGCGTTTATTTTAATATAAAACTATACATAAATGTTGCACTATCCAAAAAATAAGCATTAAAATTGTCTTTTATTCATTCGTCTTCTGAGTTTTATATAAAACAAACATACAAAATCTAACAAGCATTTTCTTCGAATCTAAATTTACAGTCGCAATGTTCTACTGTAAGTTCGCCTATTATGGCTAACTTGTCTAATACAAATGAAAGACAACGTGTGATGTACATCAGAAATACATGCAACGGTCTGAGAAGTTGTCATCTGGTAAAAGAAAATCTGCAGCTTGAAAAAAAATGTGGCGACAATTGTATTTGCCCAGCGGTATATTATGATATATACTACTCGTGCCATCCTGTTGGTAAGTGTTCCTACAAATGCAGACAATTTGAAATTATATTTTTTTCCTTTAAGGCTAGGTTTCTATTACTTATATTACCCAGAGATTTTAAAATATTTTAATTATACATACATACATATATATATATATATATATATATATATATATATATATATATATATATATATATATATATATATATATATATATATATATATATATATATATATAATAGTTCACCTTATAAATATTTAGTTCCAGATGACAAAATAATTTTTGACATGTCCAAGGACTTCAACACCACCTTTGACACACATACGGCGGCCAATAATGTTTACCTGGTGCTCCAGAGACAGCATCTTGTATATAATCGAACATGCTGTATACAGGCGAATAAAATTGGTATTAACATTAGATTCATGAACACACCATCCGCTTTAACAGTGCAGTATAATGGAGCTACCGAAATCTTAGACGACAGACAGTATAACCTTCCTAAGAGGTGCGTATTTGTTTTTGGTTGTTGTTTTTTTCTCGATTTTTAAAAACAAGAAATAAACTTTTCAAACTAGTCAATTAACCAACACTTTGTTAAGGGATAAACATTTTAACATTGATGTGAGTTAGTTAAACACCCCCACCGCGCTCCCGCTATAAAACTATAGTGCAATAGTGAAGTTCTAGCCGTTGAGGACATACATTACTATCACGATCAGCGATAGCCTTGATGTACTTTTCTTTAACAAATTAAAGATAACATTTCAATTTGCTTAGCATCTTTCATATACTAAAAGTTCAGTATCTAAATAAGTTATTTAGAATGATTTTGCATTCATAAACTAATAGCCTACTCAGTAATGCTGTTCACATTTTAACTCGAGAAAATAGTAACGCCCAAATACGATAATGTGTTTAATGATAAAGTGTGTGCTTGTTTGTTGGTTGTAATATAGAAAGTCAGAAGAAATAAACATAACTATTTGTTTTTAAAAAGCCATGTTTTTCTTTAACCGCAAGGATAATATATATATATTTTTTGTTCGTGTGCAAAATCTTCTTTGTGATCGAAAGATCTATAACCTGCTTTTAAATGGTTTGTATTATTGCAGGTTTTATGATGTTGATAAGCTGTGTTTTACACAGAACACTCTTTTGGAACCTATTTGGTTTCATCTTACAGATGGTAAGCTGTTGACTAATGTAATTAAGGCTGAAACAACTAACAACTATTCTTTAAAACTTCAATATGTTAGAGGTGGTGTGTGTTAATATACAAAGTATTAAATCATAAAAGTTTTGTTTTTTCAAGGTGGTGTGTGTTAATATACAAAGTATTAAATAATAAAAGTTTTGTTTTTTCAAGGTGGTGTGTGTTAATATACAAAATATTAAATCATAAAAGTTTTGTTTTTTCAGCGAGTGCAAACCAAGTCTTTACAATCAGCTGCCGAGGAGAGAAAAGCAACATCACAGCGACGGATACATGTACGTTATGAAAAACAACTCACATAATCGTAACTTGTGCTGGCCTACTGATTAAAAAACAGGATAATAGAATTATAAAATATCTTTATATTCGTGATTTTTACTTTCTCGTATTTACGAAGTATAGAGAAAGTATTGTAATCGTGCAAAAAAAAAAATCGAGATTTTTACAAATCTCGACGTTTTACACCTCACTGATACGGAAAAACATAATTTTGCAATCTTGTCCGTATGTCTGTGTGTGTGTGTCTGTGTGTCCGTTTGTAAACACGATTACTTGAGTACCGTTACAGCTAGGTTGATGAAATTTCATATATAAGTATTTTATCAAAATCGTAGATCCGTATCAACTTTTGAGCGATTTTCGATAACCGGAAGTGGTACTTTTCGTACTTTGAATTTTTCAAAAGCCTATAACTTGAGTACTATTTCAGATAGATACATGAAATGTCACATGTAAGTAAAAGATCTAATTCTCTACCTTCTGTTAAATTTTGAGTAATTTCCGTTGACTGAAAGTAGTAATTTACGCTACTTTCGATTTCTCAAAAAACTAATGTAAATTTTAGAAGTACTAATAATATTGCGCACTATTATAAGCTTTTTTATTTGGCGTTCACTTGGTGTGCAATTAATTTGTCTACGAGATTTTATTCTATTTTTAAAACTTTAAGTATTTAAAATGGATTAAAAACCATGTCTATAGCCCGAGTTCCCATCCCCTGTTATTTTATACGAGAAAAATGGCTCGTTGAGGAAGGATACACCGGGCGCTAGGTTGATAGTGCTGTCTCTTTTCTCTAAACTAAAACCAACCCACCCCCCCCCCCACACACACACACACCACCCCCCCCCACACCCACCCCACACCCCACACACCACCCCCACCCACCCCCCTACCCCCACCCCACCCCCACCCCCCAAAAAAACATGTCTACCGTCCCATTCAACGAAATATAATTATATACTTTTTCCAGTGTCCGCCCCCTCCCAGAAAATTTTACCCCCGCCCCCGAAAATTTCAAGTACCCCCACCGCTCTCCGGGGAGGAAAAAGTCTGAAAGAAACACTGGTGTTGCGCTTAGCCACTACGCGAAGAATTGCATTAAAGAAATTGCGAGAAAACCACTTTTTAGATTAGACACATTAATTAGGCGGTAATTTTATTATAGAGTATCGATGAAGAAATTTCTTTTGAGTTGGGGAGGGGGGGGGGGGCTCAGACGTTCTTACGCGGGGGGTGGGGCTTCGCCCCTACACGAAGAACTGTATGCAAGAAACTCTTCACGCAAACCATTAAGATTAGACAACATTTCCTTTTTATTCAATGTTAACGCGAAAATCAATGACGTCATATAACTGTGAGCACTCTCTGGGTTTGAGATTATTTTCTACTCTATGCTAAATGTGTCGACGTCATACTTCGTTTTTCGAATTACTATGCAGGTTTTTAAATTCCTTGTGTTTTCTCTAGAGCGTTCTTGTCAGACAGATAGATACATAGAGAGACTATTAGAGAAACTATTAGTATTAACGAGAAAAATGGCCCGTTGAGGAAGGATACACCGGGCGCTAGGTTGATAGTGCTGTCTCTTTTCTCTAAACTAAAACCAACCCACCCCCCCCCACACACACACACCACCCCCCCCCACCCCCCACCCCACACCCACCCCACACACCAGCCCCCCCACCACCCCACCCACCGCCACCCACCCCCACCCCACCCCCACCCCCCAAAAAACATGTCTACCGTCCCATTCAACGAAATATAATTATATACTTTTTCCAGTGTCCGCCCCCTCCCCGAAAATTTTACCCCCGCCCCCGAAAATTTCAAGTACCCCCACCGCTCTCCGGGGAGGAAAAAGTCTGAAAGAAACACTGGTGTCGCGCTTAGCCACTACGCGAAGAATTGCATTAAAGAAATTGCGAGAAAACCACTTTTTAGATTAGACACATTAATTAGGCGGTAATTTTATTATAGAGTATCGATGAGGAAACCACCGCCCCCCCACCCCCCCACTCACACCTCCCCCCCCCCCACCCCCCCCCCCACTCCCAAAAAAAACATGTCTACCGTCCCATTCAACGAAATATAATTATATACTTTTTCCAGTGTCCGCCCCCCCTCCCCGTAAATTCTAACCCCGCCCTCGAAAATTTCAATTACCCCCACCTTTCTCTGGGGAGGAAAAAGTCTGAAAGAAACACTGGTGTCGCGCTTAGCCACTACCCGAAGAATTGCATTAAAGAAATTGCAAGCAAACCACTTTTTAGATTAGACACATTAATTAGGCGGTAATTTTATTATAGATTATCAATGAAGAAATTTCTTTTGAGTTGGGGAGGGGGGGGGGCTCAGACGTTCTTACGCGGGGGGTGGGGCTTCGCCCCTACCCGAAGAATTGTATGCAAGAAACTCTTCACGCAAACCATTAAGATTAGACAACATTTCCTTTTTATTCAATGTTAACGCGAAAATCAATGACGTCATATAACTGTGAGCACTCTCTGGGTTTGAGATTATTTTCTACTCTGTGCTAAATGTGTCGACGTCATACTTCGTTTTTCGAATTACTGTGCATGTTTTTAAATTGCTTGTCTTTTCTCTAGAGCGTTCTTGTCAGACAGATAGATAGATAGATAGAGAGACAGCGAAACTATTATTATAGACGAGAAAAATGGCCCGTTGAGGAAGGGTACAACGGGCGCTAGGCTGATAGTGCTGTCTCTTTTCTCTAAACTAAAACCAACCCACCCCCCCACACACCACCCCCACCCCCACACACCACCCCCACCCCCACCCCCCCACCACCCCCACCCCCACCCCTCACCCCCACACACCACCCCCACCCCCCACCCCCCCACCCCCCCACCCCCACCCCTCACCCCCACACACCACCCCCTCCACACACCGCCCCCACCCCCCACCCCCCCCCCCCCCAAAAAAAAAACATGTCTACCGTCCCATTCAACGAAATATAATTATATACTTTTTCCAGTGTCCGCCCCCTCCCAGAAAATTCTATCCCCGCCCCCAAAAATTTCAAGTACCCCCACCCCTCTCCGGGGAGGAAAAAGTCTGAAAGAAACACTGAAACCAACCCACCCCCCACCCCCCACCCCCCCATACCCCCCACCCCACCCCCCCACACCCCACCCCCCACCCCCACCCCTCCACCACCCCCCACCCCCAAAAAAAACATGTCTACCGTCCCATTCAACGAAATATAATTATATACTTTTTCCAGTGTCCGCCCCCTCCCAGAAAATTCTACCCCCGCCCCCGAAAATTTCAAGTACCCACACCCCTCTCCGGGGAGGAAAAAGTCTGAAAGAAACACTGAAACCAACCCACCCCCCCACACACCCCCCACCCACACACACCACCCCCCCCCCACACACACTCCCCCCCCCAACCCCTACCCCCCCCCCCCCCCCCAAAAAAATCATGTCTACCGTCCCATTGCAAGAAAACCACTTTTTAGATTAGACACATTAATTAGGCGGTAATTTTATTATAGAGTATCGATGAGGAAATTTCTTTTGAGTTGGGGAGGGGGAGGGGCTCAGACGTTCTTACGCGGGGGGTGGGGCTTCGCCCCTACCCGAAGAATTGTATGCAAGAAACTCTTCACGCAAACCACTTAGATTAGACAACATTTCCTCTTTATTCAATATTTACGCCAGAATCAATGACGTCATTATATTACTGTGAGATTATTTTCTACTCTGTGCGCTAAATGTGTCGACGTCATGCTTCGTTTTTCGAATTACTATGCATGTTTTTAAATTGCTTGTCTTTTCTCTAGAGCGTTCTTGTCAGACAGATAGATAGATAGATAGATAGACAGACAGCGAAACTATTAGTATTAATAAGAATATTCGAGAAAGTTTAGGGGAGATCACTCCCGGTTTATTTCAATGAGATTCTATTTTATTTTTAAAAGTTTACGTATTTAAAATGGATTAAAAATCATAACTATATCCGAGTTCCCATCCCCTGTTTTTTTATATAAGAATATTCGAGAAAGTTTAGGGGAGATCACTCCCGGTTTATTTTTTCATATTAATCAACTAAAGCTAAAATGAAGAATTCTACTTAAGAGTCGTTCATAAATGGCGTAATACATTTAGGAGGTGGGGTTTCTTTGTTGTAATGTTGTGCAACGTAATGATAGAGAGAGGGCGGTTTTAATAAGAAATGTGATATCAATAGAAATCTTGAGAATATGGGAGGGAATGGGGTGATAATTTTATTGTGCGCAAATTAATTTAACTTAATGTAATTATTTATTTATTTGTTTTTTTTTGTGTGTTTGGAATTGTGTTTGTTTTAATAATCTTCAGTCGTGAAAATTATAGATTGATCTATAGATGCCCTTTCCCGTTAATCAGTTAGGGTAGACGCAGCAGAGCTCTCCTGTTTATGTTGATTTTCAATACAGTAAAATCGAAAGATTTATTCCATAACCCTCCGTGATAATGCCCCCAAAACCTGAACACACTCCACGACTTGATTTTGTTTTCTATTATTGGTAAACAATTAAAGGACTGATAGTATTAACTCTAAGTTACAGGGCACAATTATTTTTTTAAAGTTTTGATAGATACGGATACATTGAAAGCGATATTTTGTGTACATGATTTAAACTGCTAAAGCTTGTTGTTGCAGCTCACCTTTCAGTCGATACACCAGTGCTAGCTGTTGCTGTGGCTGCTGGCTGTCTAGCTATAATTGCTGCGGTTATGTGTATAGTATTTCTTTGTCGCAGGCAAGTAGAAAATAATAAAATATTTATTTGTATCCAAACTTAGCAGTCACTTGTTTGATCACCATCATTTATTATTACATCCATTCTTCACCCCAGCTTATATATGTGCACATTTGAATATACCTTCAATCCTTTTCTAAAAGATATTTATTTAGTAAATAAAAACTACTGGAAAAGAAGATGTGCCTAATATTTTCCATCATATTTAGTGGGGTAATATTTTTATAAATATACTTTCCAATGACATGTTTTATCTTCCCAACACATTCTTATATTACATTTTAAATGTGGAATTCTTTCTTCACCTGTATCTGTTTATATTATTATATTAAATTACCCGTTTCACTTTTGAATGCTTAAATATTTTACTTTAGAAATGTATTTTCTTTTGGTAGAAACTCAAGTTTTTGTCGACGTCAAAATGTGGTATCTAAGAAACATCTCAACAAATCCCAGCTACGAACTGAATACGTTAACATAGACCTAAATGGTGAAGTGGTAAATTGACTTTATTGATTTTACACGCACAATGACAAAGGCAATACTTTCTCGGCTTTTGTAACTTCGTCTCTATGGGTTCTTGGATTAAGCTAGTGTTTATTTACAATTGTGTTTTCCATAATATGTTCTTAATATAAAGTGAAGTTGATTTTAAATCGTAATCTCTATAGGTTTCTAGATAACCTAGTATTAAAATACAATCTTATTCCCTATATGCTCATTCGGTAACGTTAGTGTTCATGTAAAATATTTATCTCTATATGTTTCTAAATATTGTGGTGTTGATAAACAATCTCAATCCCTTTAATATTATATAATAAAGTGTATTAATATAAAATTCGAATCTCTATACATTCATAGGATGAAACTGGTGTTGACAAAATAACAGATCGGAACGTTGTAAGTGAAACGAAACCAAGTTACAAAGGGTACAGTAGTGAATACGACGTGTATAATGTAATCCAGACCACAGACCTATCAGACAAACCTGCAACAGAAGATATGGTGGGCCAAAGTTCAAATCCCGCAGAAACCTACGCGACGATTTGCAAACAGCCAGCGGATAATGAGATCAATGTACCCAGCAGCTCTTCTCGCGTTATAGGTCCAGTAGGAGAATCGACGTCATGTGACGTATACAGCACACCAAAGTAAACTTTTATTTACATTTTAAAGAAAATGTACCTATCATAAATTATAAACTTTCAGACCAGACCCTGTAGATGAAGTAGAGTTCATCTGTTGTTTTAGACTGCGTGGTCAGCATTGTATCAATTTATATTTTCACGACTGGTACTGGTAAGAGCTGAGTGGACTCTGATATGTACTTCAGAATCTGGTCAAGGGCAAAGTTTCTTCCAGGCATCTCTATGGGAGTGGGGGGGGGGGGGCGAAGCTCCCCCGAAAAAATTCTACCCCCCCCCCCCCCCCGAACGAAATGAAATTTCTATAATTTATATAAAAAATATATACTTTTAACAGTGTCCGCCCCCCCCCCACCCCGAAGAAAGTCTACCGCCCCCCCCCCCCCCGAAAATTTCAAGTGCCTTCCCGGAGAAAAAAGTCTGGAAGAAACACTGGTCAAGGGTGTGAACTCGAGATTACCCTGATAGCAGGCGTGAGATGTAAACAAGGTTAACCGCGAAATTGTAGCATGTGCTACCACTCTGAACAAGCTTTGGTTTAACCCTTAGATCACACAAAGTTAAACCTGATGGTGCTTGTTAAAGGGGTAAATGCTGTAAAAAAGTAAAAAGTTCCTTTTCAAACCTGACGGTCTATGGGGCAGGTGAAGAAGAGTGCACTTGTTTCTGCGACCTCGACAAATGAAGAGATAATGTGGTCAGCAATATGTCTAGCCGTCTTTACATCAGAGTTGGGTAGACTCTAGGACGGTCTAATGACTTGAACACGGATTCGAACTCAAGACTTACGGGTTAGCAGTCCAGCTCCTACCGCTAGCCCACTCCGTCTCCTGTTCTTTGAATATAAACTTCTTAAAATCGATAATATTTATTTAAATTTATTTTAGTCAATGACTAACTTGTTATACGAATTTTTAATGAATTAATCATTTGCTGCTTTTTTCTTTAACCTCATTATTTATTTTCGTCAAGACCTTTAATCCATAATCTTTCCACAGTAAAGTAAAGAAAAACAAAGACGTTGTAGCTCCGCCCACACAAGTCAACCAGTACTCACACCTGTCACACCTGAGACAGGGTCAAGATGACCTAAGCAACACCTACGACGGTTAACCTGGAACTGATATACCTGTGTTGGCAGACAGAGACGGTTGCTCTTTGATGTGATCATCTTTTAATAACGACCTTATTCAAGTGGAATATTTTTAACATAAGATATTCCTTTAAATTAAATACAATATAGAGTCTAGAGTTAATAAAAAATATTGCAGATTATGTTAATAATCTGCAAATAATGAAATAATTTGAAATCAAAAAAGTAATGTCAAAGATTTTTTAAAATTTGATTGCTTCCCCTACTACATATACTTGAAAAAGAGAGAAAACTCCTAGTTGATGCCGTAATGAGAGTACTGTACCTTTGCCGCACAGTTTTAAATACAAAATTGTATAGATTTTCCTTATAGTTTTCCTTCACTAATACTTCTGTTAAAGAAATTCCAGCTACCGATATACATTTTTGCACCGAATCATGTGAAATTGTCTTTGGTGGTGTTTTTTTTTATAAAACAAATTGGTGGTAATTTAAAGAGGAACTCTCTCAGAGACTATTACTATGAACATAGCAAGCATTAACGACTCATATCCTAGTATGATGATTGGCAAACTACTATTACATGATAACATTGGGTGCCCAGCTTCATATAAAAAAAAACAAAAATATTCTAAAAATAAATACAAACTTACCAACATTATTATGCATATGGGAAGCAGTAGGTTTGTTTGTGAATGGTGTTTTGATGTGTTTCTCTTCGTGTTTTCTATGAATAACATACTCTTATAGCATAAAAAAATAAATTATGAGAGAAAGACATTTGTTATCTATTTTCTTAGTTTAATAAAACTGATAAGGCCATAACAATGAATTCTACTTAAAAGGGGGTGTTAGGGTAGTGGTAGTTGATTGAACACTGACAACTTGCTGATGTCATGCTAACCCTATCTATCCCTAACCAAAACCTTAGCCATACCACAGCACTAACCTAATTTCTGACCCTAACACAACACATGATAATACGGTATAATAATATGGCTCCTTAATCTTAATAGACCATTGGAAGATTGCGAATTGGAAAGTCCAAGCACAAAGCCCGGGCCTTAAGTTGAGAACAGCCAGTTGTTTCTCGTCTATATGGTTCCGTCGCTTCACACAGCTGATGGACTCAAGGGTCAGGAAAGTTACCTGTACAGCTTGGAATCAGCAGTGTCGCAGGAGCAGTCCCGAGCTGACGTGCCTCATTTGCCCGAGGCTTCAAACTCGGGGCTTTTGGGTTAGCAACCATGTGCTTACCCACCCGACCACAATAGGACTACTACACACACACACTAACAGTCTAACACACATCTTTTGATAAGAGACTATTGTCAGACACAAGTAAAAAGAGTAGTCCAAACTTTGGAATAGTTTGTTTCAACTGCTGTTGTCTGGGGGCGGTGTCCGGGAAATTAACATCTTCATTTAATATCCGCCCATATAATCTTTCATCATCTTTTAAATATCATCATCACAGTAGCGTAGCGATGGGAGGGGCGGGTGGGGACATATGTCCCCGGGCGCCGACCTCAGGGGGCGCCAAAATGGGTTGGAAAAATAAATTGAAAGGTTGAGGGGTGCTGCAAATCGAAAGTTTGAGGGAGGGGGGTGCAAATCGAAAAATTTGTCCCCGGGCGCCGGGAAGGGTCGCTACGCCTCTGCATCATCAACATAATCATCATCATCTTCACAATTATCTTCTTCATCATCATCATCTTTCGTCATCATCTTTATTTATCATCATCATCATCATCATCATTATTATCATCATCTTTTATCATAATTGTTCATCATCATATTTCTTCATTAGCATCACCATCAACATCACTATTATCATCATCAATCTCAATTAAACCTTTTTCCGGTAATATTTTGTATTTGACGGATCTTAGAAACACTTTTGGAAAAATATTTGAAACTTATACACAAAGCAGTGCATGTATTAAAACGAATATCGTTCAACAAATCATTTGCCTCGTGGACTGAGTAGTCGTGAGGTGCAGCATTGAACATGTAACTTAAAAGTCACGGGTTCGAGACCCAGCGCAATGTAACCTCACTTGCTCACAAAATCTATCCGCACAAAATACAACAAATTTTTCGACTTCTGTCTGAAGATATATGTTTTTTTTTTTTTTGTTTTTTTTTTTGGAACCCGATAGAAATTGTACACAGATCATAGAACGCTTATACTGTGTTATACTTATATAACACAAGTTATACTTGAAGCTGTGTTATATTCCATTTGTGGTGGTATTCTAGACATAGGCAAGTCGAGGTGGGGTGAAAGGGGGGGGGGGAATTATGGCTCAGAGTAAACCACGTGTCTAATCATAGAGGTTGATCTAGGGCAGTTGCTCCTTGAGGCCGCTTAATCTGAAAGTGTGAAATTTGTAGTTTTATACGGCAGAGATAATTTAGTGCTATTGAAACGTGTAGGCTAAATGTTACTCATATATGAATTAAATAAACCGGGAGTGATCTCCCCTAAACTTCCTCGAGTATTCTTATAATAAAACAACAGGGAATGGCAACTCGGGATATAGACAATATTTTTAATCCATTTTAAAAACTTCAACTTTTAAAAATGGAATAAAATCTCGTGGGAAAAGAATTGCACACCAAGTGAACGCCAAATAAAATGTGCATTATAATGCGGAATATTATTAGTACTTTATGAATTCACATGCGTTTTTTTTGAGAAATCTGAAACAGCGAACACTACTACTTCCGATCAACGGAAATTACTCAAAATTCGACATAAGGTAGAAAATTAGATCTTTTACTTACATATGAAACTTCATTTATCTATCTGAAATAGTACTCAAGTTATAGGCTTTTGGGGAGCAAATCATCACACCCTGAAAAAAACCTACACCAGCTATGTGAGACCTACGTTAGAATTTGGTGGTTCGGCTTGAGGTTTAGCAGCTAAAACAAATATTAGCAAAATAGATACCATAGAAAAAAATCTGACCACGATCAAGAAGAACTAAAGAAAATAACATATAAGCAAATTAAGCATCAGTACTCCAGCATTACCTGGGTTAGAGTATTCACGGCTCAGCTGAAGATGCTACAAAAAATGGCGGGGCTGGAGTCCTTATTGAATGGCCAAACGGAGAAAGCCTGGAAAAGTCAATAGCCACAGGCAGCCTATCCGACAATTTTAGAGCAGAGAAAGAAGCCTTAGAGCATGCAGCAAACCTCCTGTCAGAACACCCTGAATCACCAAATAGTCAGATAGTCTTTCTTACAGATGCTAAATCTGTCCTGCAGTCCCTAAAAATTTCAGAATCCTATACTCAATCACTCAGGACACCACTTGAAAGGCAAAAAAATACCTGCAGCAAGATTGTGCTGCAGTGGATCCCGGGCCACTGCCAGATACAAGGAAACGAGATTGCAGACTAGCTGGCAAAAAATTAGTGGAAAGGAAAAACAACCAGAAATCTCGCTATATCCAAAACAAGCTAAAAGAATCATAAAAAATAAACACACACAAATGTGATCTAACACACACCCACACTACAAAAAAGACCATAGATATTACAGTTTGATACGAAAACAACAAGACATAATCTTTAGACTCAGCACAAGCAACAACAGACTAAAACAGCACATACATTAAAAACTCAAAATTGGGTGTGGCGAAATGTGCCCTTGTGGCAAGGCCCCGGAGAATACGGAGCACGTCCTTCAAGAATGTTCATTATATAGCCAAGTACGATCCAAACACTGGCCCCTACAAACCCCACTCAAGGAAAAACTATATGGGGCACCCGCTGATCTGGAGACCACAGTCCAGTTCATACACGAGGTTGGGCTTATTGTTTAATTAAATCCTCCATTATATACTAAATTAAGAACGAAGAAGAAAGAAGACTCCAGTCAGTGAGCGATATCCAAAAGGCAAGAAACACAATAGTTGATCTCATACCAATTAAGTTGGCCAGATATTCAACTGCCACACTCGATTCACTCGAAACACAATCTATATATATAATTCTCTTCTGGGAGCCGCTTGAAAACAAGCTGTAAACGCGCTCCCTACCACCCCCACCCTTACATGGTCTTAGTGAGCTGTGTTCACTCTAAATGTTTACAAGCAGAGCCGAGTTTAGTGACGACTATTAGGGGCAGATAATTTAGTTTGAAACGATTTTAAACGTAGGGGGCGGGGGGATAGGGGGAAGAAAAGGGGGGGGGGGGGGGTTATGGTCCTTAACGAGCTATTTATAATGTTTTAAAGAAATATTTTCAGTGGCAGCGTTGGTACTGTCGAATTCACAAATTATGAATTACTGAAAAGTAGAAAAAACAACAACTAAATAGCGGCGTATGTTATGCCGCGGGCCGGCTCGTACACAATAATACAGCATGTTACAAGTAGAAAGAAATAATTACGCACCAATAACTAAACACAAGCAGTGGAAAATTAGTACTTTCTAGCTTTTTTTTTGCAGAAATCATAGAAAGCGTAAAGTAGGTCCTACGACTTTCGGTAATCTGAAATCACTTAAGACTTTATAGAATCAAAATAATAAGATTTTATTACAATTTGAATAAAATTCGGTCTACCGAAATAAAGCGGTACTCAAATTATGGGAACGATAAAAAAAAACACTGAAATCGCGTAATGTACCACTTCAGTTTATCTGAGGTCGCTAAACCTAAATCATGCAGACAGTGTTTCTTTCAGACTTTGTTTTGCTCGGGGGTGGGGGGATGCTGGGGAAGTTGAAATTTTCGCGGGGACGGATTTAATTCTCCGTGGATGGGGATGACACTGGTAAAAGTATATATTTTCTATAAAAATCTGATTTCGTTTGGCGGGGGGGGGGGGGGGGTGAAGAGGTGAGTGTAGACGTTCTAAAGCTCGATAGCTTGGGACAACTCCATAGCTGGAGACACCCTCCCATCTAACCACGACCGAGACCATGACAATGACGATAGTTCTAACTTCATGCTATAATCACAGTCATATGGACCTCCATTCTATTATTGTAGAACAGCTTGCTTCCATGCTATAGATCTTTAAGGTATCAAAAAACCACCAAAACCAGCGTCACGTGACCTTTTCATAAATCCAAAACAATTTCTTCATATAACGCTCCTTTCAAGTTTTAAATCGTATAATTAAACGAATGTATTTTTCAGAGGAAATGAAAAAATCAGAAACGAATGTGCACAACATTGTTTTACTACCTATAAAAAAAAAACATTCGCGAACCGGTCCAACATGGTGAACTCTCCTGAACTCACCAGCCGTGTCAGACTGACCAGTTTTATTCATTTTGAACGTTCAGTGTGAGGTCACATGACGATAGACATCGCCTCATGGCAGCTCTGATGGCCAGCATGTACATCTCTACGTTATCACTCACATCAAAGGTCAAGCCTAGCGACAAGGTGTCCAGATTTGTGCACGGCTGTAAACTGTGGATACACAGGTAGCACATAAATTAAAACATAACATACATGTATGACACACATCATAACCTTACGTCGTATTACAGCTACAGAGCTGTTGTACATGTGCTATTGACAAGCACTGTTCTAACCCTGACTCGGAGCGTCCTGACTCGGAGCGTCCTGACTCGGAGCGTCCTGACTCGGAGCGTCCTGACTCAGAGCGTCCTGACTCGGAGCGTCCTGACTCGGAGCGTCCTGACTCGGGGTTCTTAAACATTCCTGAGTCCGCCCAGCTCTAATGCGTACCTGACTCTAGTCCACACAGCTATGATGGGTACCTGACTGTAGTCCACACAGCTATGATGGGTACCTGACTCTAGTCCACACAGCTATGATGGGTACCTGACTGTAGTCCACACAGCTATGATGGCTACCTGACTCTAGTCCACACAGCTATGATGGGTACCTGACTCTAGTCCACACAGCTATGATGGGTACCTGACTCTAGTCCACACAGCTATGATGGGTACTTGACTCTAGTCCACACAGCTATGATGGGTACCTGACTCTAGTTCACACAGCTCTGATGGGTACCTGACTGTAGTCCACACAGCTATGATGGGTACCTGACTCTAGTCCACACAGCTATGATGGGTACCTGACTCTAGTCCACACAGCTATGATGGGTACCTGACTCTAGTCCACACAGCTATGATGGGTACCTGACTGTAGTCCACACAGCTATGATGGCTACCTGACTCTAGTCCACACAGCTATGATGGGTACCTGACTCTAGTCCACACAGCTATGATGGGTACCTGACTCTAGTCCACACAGCTCTGATGGGTACCTGACTCTAGTCCACACAGCTCTGATGGGTACCTGACTCTAGTCCACACAGCTATGATGTGTACCTGACTCTAGTCCACACAGCTATGATGGGTACCTGACTCTAGTCCACACAGCTCTGATGGGTACCTGACTCTAGTCCACCCAGCTCTGATGGGTACCTGACTCTAGTCCACCCAGCTCTGATGGGTACCTGACTCTAGTCCACACAGCTATGATGGGTACCTGAGTCTAGTCCACACAGCTCTGATGGGTACCTGACTCTACTTTAACCATTACCTTACTATTATACGAATATCTCATAGAATAATTACTTAATTTAAAAAACATTTCCAACATTTCATATACATTTATTAGAATTTGTGCATATAATCTTGCTACACCGTAGGCAATATATTATACTCCTTACATAGCTAACATGTAATACATTTTGAAACAAAAAAACATATATTAAATAGTTTCAAAACAAATACAAGAACAAGACAGTTCACCTACCTTTTGAACAAAACTTTAAAGCGTTTCATGTCTAGGCGGACACCAGTTTGAAACTCTAGATGGTGTAAAGTTTGCTGTAAACACAGACGATTATATGAGTACAAATAACGAGTATTATTTTATTAGGCACCCCGTCAAAAGAGCGCACGACAAAAGAGCGCCGACATAAGAGCGCAGACAAAAGAGCGCCGACAAAAGAGCGCAGACATAAGAGCGCAGACAAAAGAGCGCAGACATAAGAGCGCAGACAAAAGAGCGCCGACATAAGAGCGCCGACAAAAGAGCGCGGTCAATTATAAAAACACATGTTGTAAGCTAAACAAATATGGCATTAAAAAATCGGCGGCACGATAAAACGACATGTGTTTATTTATATATTGTGGTTGATATGGTATAAATGCAGTTTGAAAATATTTCTAGCCCAAGTAACATGGAGAAGATCGAATCACAGAAAGGGAAGGTAATTATTTTGGTCGAAGGCTACAGATATCGAAAGGACAGAGTAAATGCTGATGGAAGTACGACATGGAGATGCTGCAAGAAAGATGGCTGCCGAGGACGGATGAAAATGATGAACGATGTTGTTCTGTCATCATCGGAACACAATCACGCTCCTGATCCAGCTAAAAACGAAGCAGCGAAAGTCGTTTCTCGGCTATACGAAAGCGGGCGGTTGAAGGGGTGGAAAAATCAAGCCAGAAAAGTGCAAGATTTAGGCTTATCGCAACTGTATCACGACAACGAGGAATGTCGAATGGCAGTGAAGATGCTGCTTGCCTTAAGTTTTGTTCCTGTCAATGATGTCTGTACTGCATTCGAGCATTTAGTAGAAGCTAGTCCTGTAGAAATTATGCCACTGGTAGATTATTGGGAGGATAGTTACATAGGGAGGCGAAGGAGAAACCACCGAGGTGACCCACGCTTCGCTCTTGCTATTTGGAATGTCCATAATCGTGTCTCTGAAAATCTACCACGTACAAACAACTCAGTCGAGGCATGGCATCGCGCATTCCAACAAACGGTAGATTGCAATCATCCTTCCGTCTTTAAATTGATCAACCAGTTTCGTCTGGAACAAGATCACATCGAAAACGAACTGGAACGTCATCTTGCTGGAGTTAATCAACCAGAAGCTTCAAAGAACAAATATGTTCAGCTGAACCGAAGATTGCAGACAATTGCTTCAACCTATGCTAATGATTCAATGATGGACTACCTACGGGGTATAGCCCACAACTTAGCTTTATAAATGCAACTATAAAGAAACATTTTATTAATCTGAACTTATTTTCATTTTGTTACATTTCATTTCAGTTTATATTCTCACTTTAGGCCTAACAAAGGCCTAAAATCTTTGTATGTGTTACTACTTTGCGTTTTGAATAATTCGACTTCATGTTAATTATATCAGTTTTCTAGTTAAAAAGAAACTGAACAATTAGTTTTTTAATGAAACAATAAAGAGTTAGCTTCAAACGATGACGTTTGATCTGAGTTAATTTTCTTGTTCCTATTTATTAAATATGGTTTTTCGATTTTTAGTTTGCGCTCTTATGTCGGCGCTCTTTTGTCGGCAAATTGATGCGCTCTTATGTCGGCGCTCTTATGTCGGCGCTCTTTTGTCTGCGCTCTTATGTCGGCGCTCTTTTGTCGTGCGCTCTTTTGACGGGTCACCATTTTATTAAAGCTCCATTGGTCTCAATTAGTTAGCTTAACGCTGACTCCGCGCAAACAAATTTTCTGAATGGACAATGACTCGGTACTTTAAACAAATTTGTGTGTTTTTCTAATTCGAGCACGTTTTTTAGCTAAATACAAACCCGTAAACAAATTTCATAAAAAACGTTTTAATAGCAAGATTTTATGTAATAATGCACTAAAAAGTAGAAAATAAATTATTCATTACTATTTAAATAACTTTAAAGAAAAGCGTGGGTCTCTTTAGTAACTATTGGATACCTTTACTAATATTTGCCAATAGATCCACGCTTTTCTTTATAGTTATTTAAATAGTAGTGTATAATTTATTTTCTACTTTTTAGTGCCTTATTACTTAAAAGCTTGTTATTAAAACGTTTTTATGAAAAAAATGTTAGAATCTTACATGTTTTTATTTACATAAGAGGTACATGACTAATAAAAGCTTGTTATTAAAACGTTTTTTTCTGAATTTTTTTAGTACTTTACATGTTTGTATTTACAATAGTCAATAGAGTGTCATGACTAAAAACCATTGCGCAGCTATTGAACGTGATGACGCGCTAAAAACCATTGCGATGACGCGTGTGAATAGAAAGCCTACTAATTCAGTCCAAATTTAAATGAATTTATAAAAAAATTAATTTGGCATCCAATTAAGTCAAATTTAATGTCACGATGCATTGCCTTCATGTATTGACCCACGTACAAATTAAGAACAGTATCTGTCAAGTAGAAGTGTCTGCAATTTCGCTCCGGCGTTTCGATCTAGACTGACGACAGAGTGACGACTGACGACAGACAGAGGAAGTGAGTTAAATAAAAGCTTGTAAAAACAACTAGTTTGACTACTACCCCCGTCACTCCCATCCCCTTCACCTGAAAGTTCTGTGCCACATATTGAAAGAACTTTTCTATGTTCTCTATAGCGATGACACTGCCAGCTCTCCACTGGACTAGATAGAGCGGCATGGATGGTGTGAGAATTGTTGTCGCGTCTTGGAAGTAGGACTCCTAAATGAGAGTTTCTGAGTTAGTTTCAAGACTTTACACTTCTGTATTAAATTATAATTATTACTAAAATAATAAGCATAACGTAGCAGTTTGTTTAGCTACTATAGTAAAGTTGTCAGTGTGTTAAAAGTTTACCAATTAAATATCAAAATTAAATTTATATTTATATTTCTTTTGCTGTTTATAAAATATTGTTATACTGAAAGTATTTCTGCATTTTGTTAAACATAAGCTCACATATTTGGGTTTGATGAAAAACAGGGTTCTGAGCTCCGGACATGCCGCTGTAAGCTTCTCCCATGCTGAAGGAGTTGTTCCACTTTCTAACTTTGGGATTTTTTCTGATCGAATTGTGATCACCTTCAGGCTACTTGTCGTGGCTAAGCTTAGCAACAGGTCATCATTTAAATAGCCGTAGCTAATGTCCAGGTCTGAAAGTCAAAATGTCTCTTGTTATGTGACATATGGTGAGTTTACTAGATAATAAAATATGTTATATATTACGGACGTATAGCGTCAGTCTTAAGACAACTGAGCAATCATGTTCTTATAAGACCTAGGTGTTCAAGTTCTTGTCAGTGATGTGTAGTTAACAGCTTATCTTAGCTATGTGGTCATGATCTTATCAGAGCTATGTGGTCAAGTTCTTGTCAGTGATGTGTAGTTAACAGCTTATCTTAGCTATGTGGTCATGATCTTATCAGAGCTATGTGGTCAAGTTCTTGTCAGTGATGTGTAGTTAACATCTTAGCTATGTGGTCATGATCTTATCAGAGCTATGTGGTCAAGTTCTTGTCAGTGATGTGTAGTTAACAGCTTATCTTAGCTATGTGGTCATGATCTTATCAGAGCTATGTGGTCAAGTTCTTGTCAGTGATGTGTAGTTAACAGCTTATCTTAGCTATGTGGTCATGATCTTATCAGAGCTATGTGGTCAAGTTCTTGTTAGAGTTGGGTGGTCTAGCTTTTTACCAAAGCTGGCAGGTCAATTTCATTTTAAAACTTCTACACTGAAGAGTGTCTACTATCCAGACTAAATAGCTAGTGAGGAAACACTAGAGATAACCAGTGCTCACTTCCATGTATATTTATAACCGTAAATATTAGCTAGCATACTACTTCATAATAAAACGAATGTTTGTTTATTACTGAAAGTATTATTAATTTACTTGTTTTTAAAATGTACAAGAGGGGACAAAATTAAACTATTCCTTTAAATGAAAAATGACATAGTTCAACAAACATGACAATTTGCTGAAACCAGAGATGGCGCTTCGAAATTGTGGAAGAAGACCCAATTCATCTTTGATAATAATGATAACCAGCCTGGCGATCATAAGTATCTTAAGCGTGTTGGCGCAGTTTTTACCAGCAGCAGTCAACAGTTTCATACCTTGAAATATATAAACAAAGTTTCCAATTTTATTGTTTAATAGTTTAATCATGCTAGGAGATTCTTGAGAAGTATAATAATGCTTAGCCCACCATCCCCTTCTTGACTAGATACACTCACAAATAGATCTACCTAAAGACAAACACTGTCCACTGTCTTGGAAACATCCAACGTCTGGTCTTGGAAACATACGACGTCTTTTAAACACCCGATGTTAGACTAGCCATAGACTAACCTTGCTTAACGGTAAGATAATCATTGAGACAGTTTTCGACAGACTTTTGGCTATTGCTGAGGTCAAGTACACGAAGCTGTTGTTGTTCTTCCAAAACTTTGGTCAAGAGTTGAGCGACCTCTGAAAATGATCTTGATTGACCATCAATTTCTAAACTGTATAGATTGATTAGCTTGAATGTCAAAATTTGATTGTTTCTTGAATTCAATAAGTTGGCTAGAAATTGGTACACCTTCGAGGTACTGGATGCGGTGCTTCTCTTTCCTTAAAATACCAAAAGAGTACACATGTACATTTGTTGTTGACTTGTTCGTACATAGACGCACATTTCCAACACTTTTTGTGTGACTTACCCCAAAAATCGAAATCGCCTGCTCTACATTCTGCACGAATGTGACGTAACGTTTTTCCAGTCATTTTCACAAACCTGATCGCCTTGTGGTCACTGCTTGTATCAAAAACAAAATCTCCGGACTGCCACACGGATGGCAATGATAGTGGACTGAGCCATGACTTGCAAGTTAGGGCGGCGTGGTACTTGTCGCTGTTGTTCAGATAAAGGAAGACTTTCACCAGGACCACGAACGGCAGGTGGCTCCAGTCAGGCTGAAATTGTGTTGTTTGTTAAATCTCTGAAAGTATGAAAGTCTAAACAATATGTGCCTAATGGTCTTCAACGTAAAAATGTCTCGCAGATTGCATTTAGAATCGTGTGATGTTTTCTAAGAGAACTAGGCATGCTGCCCAGCTTCGCTTAGGCTTTCAAAAACATTGAGAATTTGAATGCTTAATTAATTCGCCCGAGGGTCGGTCTACGACCTCAGGAGTTATGAAGAGGTTCCTACGTGGACAATTTTTTTTCGATTTATAGCTCATATAAGGCGCCGGTCAGTCGAGGTCTGTTTTCTTCTTTCTTCTTCTTCGTTCTTAATTATTAGTGTTGAAGGGGATCGAGATTTATCTGCCAGTGGGTTTGAACTCGAGACTTTATTCGAATTTATCAACCATGAACTTTTTGCCGACTCGACCACACCTCCAACACAATTAAGCGTTACGTGTCAACTGGTTATGCGCCATTGAGGCCATTGACTCCGATTTCAGCCTGCTTTTCTTTTTGGATTTGCTTCCATAGCCTTTGTCCAACCAAGAACTAACTACAAGGCAGCAGTTGTTTAATTTTGGAGTTGTCTCTCCTAGAAGAGTGGCTGTCCCCAGCTAACGAGCCTCATCTGCCCAAGGGTTCGAACTAGAGACTTTTCGGTTTAGCAACCATGAGCTTTACCGACTCGACCACGCCGACCCCGGGGTCTGTTTTGACCCTCTCTAGACATTTAGGGCAACCGGCACCGGCCCCCGTGTTCTGTCGCCCCAAGGCAAGATCCTGTCAAATTTGAAGCGACTGCGGCGCCGGGAAGTGCCCGATGACGGCCACCCAACAACTTTGCTTCATATATTATAGAGATTAGCAAATTGCATAGATAAACAAAGATTTTCAAAGTAGTTCATTTCTTTATAGTCTAAAATAGGAAGAGTTACATATAAAAAAAATAAAAATAAAAAAATAGGTTTGACTTGGTGTGTCTCGATCCAGCACCACCTGTCTGATATCAAGTACACTATCATCTCAGTTAATTAGGTACCTTTCAAAATATGGAGAATAAAAGAAGTGTTTAAAAAAATAACTTACACGAATATGCCTATTTTTTCAAATTATTTTTTTTACCCAAAATTAGCCAGTTTCATTGCTAAACAAACACAGATTTCTACAAAAAATTTAAGTCCTGAAAAAGTAGATAGAGTCTAAATCTAGATCTAGAATAGATCTTAGCGACGTAGCGTCTAAGTGTAGTTTTTGCGTAGATTTAGATCTAGTCTAGATCTAGAATCTCTAGATCTAGAATACAAATAGATAAAATCATTTTTTTAAGTTTAGGCCGAGAATATCGTATTGTGTAGTCTACATTTCATAGCGTACATAGCTCTAAATCATATTTGAATGAAATAGTTCATTTTTTAAAATTCTAAACTCGGAAGATGACGTCATCAGTTTCGTGCTCTTGTTTTAGTGTTTTAGTGTAAACAATAAGCGACGTCATTGTTAAATGCGTTCTTGTCCCAATTTTATACACTTTTCCGGTTGCATAAATAATACTGTTTCTCTACATTCGAATACGCATTTATTTTTTATTTTTCTTCTTTAAATAAAATTGTGGTTATACATTTAAAACATTTAACATATTATTTTGAACAAAAGTCCGTAAAAAGTTCTTCATATATCGCTGCAGTTTCTGAAGTGATGTCCGGCGAAAATATTTTGCGGACAGAGAGAGAGAGAGAGAGAAGTGCGCACATGGTCTATTATAGTATTAGATGTGATTATAAAATGTGATTTTAATGCTTATGTCGGACTTTTACTGAAGATTCGACGCATGTGCTCTTTTTAGAATTTTCGTTCACTCAACAAAACATTTTAAAAACCTAACACAATTATCTAAACAAAACATAGCATTGCTAGATCATATGTTTTTAAAAAGTTGAAAATTAATTAACAATCATTTATCGGCACAGATGTAAGTAAAACTCATTACAAAGGGTTTTTCAGAAATACTTAAACTATCACAGCCAACCAGTGTGTTTGTCTTACCAAAGTTAAACTTCGGGTTAAACATAGGCTCAATGAAAACATCAGTATTTTACGCATAATCATATTTTTAAAATCTGTTCATAATCATATTTTAAAATGATTCATAAAGCATTAAAGTTTCGTATTTTTTTACTGCTGTTTTAAGACACGATTGATATACTTTTAGCCGTGTAAAAATATAATGATCAAAGTGCTCTGATCAAAATTGGTAGTCACTTCAGTACCTGTTTATAAGGTGGAAGTTATGACTATGGCCAACCTACCAATGCATAAACTGTTAGTATGGGACATTATAGGACGTGAGTATACGACACTAGAGAACTTGTCTTTACCTGTTTAGCCAAACCGCCAACAAATACTGCAGCAGCTCTTTTGAGAAGTTTAAACAACGGCATGTCGCCCTGTAGGGCTGGGGCAGTTTCCTTTATTATTATATTATTTATATATAATCTAGATGTTAATAAGAACCAAGGTTCAAGGAAAGATAGACTAATAATAAAATACCCTACATACACGCCATATTGTTTACAGGATGTTGAAAGTGATGCGCTACACAATGTTTGATGACGTTTATCGAATTATTTAAATGTAAGCACTTTCGAATCTAAAACTTCAATTTGAATTCCTTAATGATTTTGGAGGTTATTAGATTAGGATAAAAATATGAGTTATATTTATTACATTTTTTAAAAAATCTATTTGTGTTTGATTATTATTCTTGTTTTTTTTCCCTTTACAATATAATTAACGGCTTCGGAGCTCTACGGGTCGTAGTTGACCAGCGACATGTTGACCACTTCTTTTACAACTATTGCATTCAACCTTGACACGTGGGTCAAGACTTGGTGACAATGCAATGTGACTTAAAATTGTTTGAATTAGATAAATTGATTAATTTTTATAGATTTAAATTACGTTTTCTGTGCAGTGGCGGAACTAGATAAATTGGGCTACCCCGCAAAAATTTATTTTGGGCCCAATATATATATATATATATATATATATATATTATAGGCCTTTTCCTATACACAAACAATGTATATCTTACAAAATACGAAAGTACAAACATAGAATACTCAATACGGGCTTGCTCGAAATTTGAAAAAATTATAAATTCTTAGATTTTATTTTTAATTAAAACATGTTACAACAACACATCATTTGTGTGAGTGCCATTAATTTTTTTTTTCTGACATAATTTTTGCTAAACTGTCGGTCAAAAGAATATGAAACATGAAAGCTTTGTATCTATAATGGTTTCTCGCCTTATGTTTATTTTAAAGGTTTTTTTTTGTATTTAGATTATTAGTTTTTAATACATTTCCTTTATACTATTATAAATTATTTATTATGTTTCTTTAAAATATTAATTAAGAGAAGTAATTGCTTTTTAATTTGTTCGGTGCAAATCTATTTAAAGTTTCTTAAGAACACACATATTTAACTATTTAAAGAAGGGAAATAAGTCATGGAAGTGGTTTGAACGTTTGCCTATCTTTCACACTACAACACATGTAGCCTATATACTTTTTACTTTCTCATATATACGTAGTATAGAGAAAGTATTGTAATCGTGCAAAAAATCGACGTTTTACACCTCACTGATACGGAAAAACATAATTTTGCAATCTTGTCCGTATGTCTGTGTATCTGTGTGTGTGTGTGTGTCTGTGTGTGTGTGTAAACACGATTACTTGAGTACCGTTACAGCTAGGTTGATGAAATTTCATATATAAGTATTTTATCAAAATCGTAGATCCGTATCAACTTTTGAGCGATTTCCGATAACCGAAGTGGTACTTTTTCTACTTTGAATTTTTCAAAAGCCTATAACTTGAGTACTATTTCAGATAGATAAATGAAATTTCACATGTAATTAAAAGATTTAATTCTCTGCCTTCTTTCAAATTGTAATTTCCGTAGACCGGAAGTAGTAATGTACGCTATTTCCGATTTCTCAAAAAACGCATGTGAATTTATAAAGTACTAATATCCCGCACTATTATACACATTTTATTTGGCGTTCACTTGTTGTTCAATTCCTTTTTCTACGATATTCTATTCTATAATAAAAAGTTTAAATAATTAAAAATTAATTTAAAATATTGTCTATATCCCGAGTTACCATCCCCCGTAGTGTTAAATATGAATATTCGAGAAAGTTTAGGGGAGATCACTCCCGGTTTTTTTTAAAATTTAAATAGTGACAAAATAGGGAGGTTTTTAAAAGCGGGCAACCCAGTTTCACAATGGTTAGTTGTAATCCATTTAACTACATACCATTTATAGTGTTACTAACCAGCTGTCATCTATTGCAGATCAAGCTTCAAACTATTTTAATAATTTAATCTTCTGATGCTTCCCTGTGTTGAACAAATTTTAATTTTATTTCTTATCTGGTGATGCTGAGGAGTGGCTTGAAGTAAGTTCCCGTTTTGAACCTGACGGTTCACGAGGCAAGCGAAGTAGAGTTCACCTGTTTCTGAGATCTCAGTATATGAGTAGATACTGTGGTCAGCACTAAGCCCAGCCGCCTTTACTTTCCCTAATGTGAGCTGGGTGAACTCAGGGACTATCTACTGCTTGAACCTCTATTCAAACTCAAAGTAAGCTTGAAGTAAACAGAGTCCATATTGATTAATGTGTAAATATGTTTTTCACACTTGTTATATGTCTGTGCGTTTCTACTATTAACCACATTTTGCTCAAGAATTTAATTAAATAACTTTGTTATTGATTAAAGAGATTAATATCGCTTATTTATTTATTCTTAAAGATAAAAAAAAACAGAAAACAAGTTTTACTTAATTTATCTTTTTTATTTATATTTTAAACTAATACTTTTTATTTTAACTATTTAATTGGTTCTTATTTCTGTTGTCATTGTTGTATTATTCCATCACTCGCTGATTCAGACGGTCTTGTGATTTCCTCACACGCCGATACAGCCTTGCTGAAGGAAGAGGTTCATCATTTCAAACACCCTCCCGGGCTGATCATGACCTGCGGAGTGTCCGGCGCCTTTAATGACAACCTGGCAGAGGTTGCCAACCCTGGAATAGAACCCGAACAGCTCGTCATTTCCATTGCCGCCCCACCAAACCGACCGCTTCGAGTCCTGGTATTCCTGCCGTCTGGACCACTTCATAGACAGCAAGGCTGCGTCTACCATCGCAGGGCTGATCAGAGCGTCCAAGTCACCGGTGTAGATCAAAACTTTGTACTTCTCCTCCAACAGAGTTGCCAGTTTGGATGTTGAACTGCTCATAAAATCTTGGACCAGGTAACTCCCTACAGGAGAATCGATGAATAAATACTCGCGGTCTCCGACGTGGACAAGGTTCCTCATGGGGATGCTGTTCATAAGTCCCTCGACTTCGGCAAACGTTTGGACCTGTGGTTCACCAGAATAGTAGTTGTTCGCGAAGTTGTAAAAAACCCGACCCTTATGAACAATTAAGCGTGGGTATAGCTCATCTGTTGATCTAAAGTTAAACTGATTTTGTTTGAACTCCTCAAACAATTCAACAACACGTCTTTTCTGTTCCGTAGCTTGTTTCTTTGAGATGGCCCCGGTCGCAAGCCAATAGTCTGTCGATGCTAAAGCTTGGTTGTGCAAATCAAAGCTTGGACCTCCAATATAAATACCTGCTAATCGAATTATCGATCTTCCTGCTTTGATTTCTAGATGCAGACGATGCGCAAATGCCAGGACGTAATTTCCAGCATAAGATTTACCACCGATGTACAAATCTCGGTTCAGATATTCGGGAAATAAAAGATAAAACTGTTCTATAAACTCATACAGATCTTTAGAATAGCCATCTTGGTCTTTTCGATACCCTGAGACCCCACTGTCTGAATAGCTGTAGCCGACGCCGACGGGGTTGTCTATATACAACATTGACATTGTCTGTGTCCATGAAATGATTCTGCTCGCGTACGAATCGTTCAAGGGTCGAATAGGCCCGTTTTCATTTAACAAACCCAACGAAGACGGATTTCCCGGTCCCCCATTCAGCCACACTACAAGCGGGGATTCGGGTCCGGAAGTTGAAGGAAAGAACCAGAAAAACAAATGGTTTCCGAGTTTCTCGTCCACAGTGATGAACCCTGCGTGGCTGTGAGGGATGAGATGTTTCTCGTCTTTTACCAGACTTTGTTCCTGGGCGAGCTGGATCTGGCCCTTGCAGATTAAAGGGGACAGCATCAGAGGCGGCGCCAGCGTGATTTGCTCTGGGTGGGTTAGAGCTGATGCGGGTGGGATCATCAGCAGTGCGACGTAGCTCAAGAGCTGGCGTCGAAACATTTTCTTCGCCTGAGAAGACATAGTAAAGATAGAAGTGATTGGTTTCTTTCTACGGCAACTGTCTTTATCAGATTTATTGTTTCAGTCATCTATCTTTGTATCAAATTTATTGTCTCAGTCATTTATCTTTGTATCAAATTTATTGTTTCAGTCATCTATCTTTGTATCAAATGTAATGTTTCAGTCATCTATCTTTGTATCAAATTTATTGCTCAGTCATCTATCTTTGTATCAAATTTATTGTTCAGTCATCTATCTTTGTATCAAATTTATTGTTCAGTCATCTATCTTTGTATCAAATTTATTGTTCAGTCATCTATCTTTGTATCAAATTTATTGTTCAGTCATCTATCTTTGTATCAAATGTAATGTTTCAGTCATCTATCTTTGTATCAAATTTATTGTTTCAGTCATCTATCTTTGTATCAAATTTATTGTTTCAGTTATCTATCTTTGTATCAAATTTATTGTATCAGTCCTCTATCTTTGTATCAAATTTATTGTTTCAGTTATCTATCTTTGTATCAAATTTATTGTTTCAGTTATCTATCTTTGTATCAAATTTATTGTTTCAGTCATCTATTTTTGTATCAAATGTAATGTTTCAGTCATCTATCTGTATATTAAATTTATTGTTTTAGTTTTTTTACAACTATCTTTATATCAAATTTATTCAGTCATCTATCTTTATATCGAATGTATTCAGTCATCTATCTTTATATCAAATTTATTATTTTAGTTTTCTTACTACTATCTTTATATAAAAAAAACAAGCCATTGTTCTACTCAGTTGAAACACCCTTTTGTATTTTACAAAAACAAATGTTTCACTTATATGACGCTTGTGAAACTATGGAATGTATACGGTCAAGAAATAAAGTAGCTTTCACCTTTCGAACAAGACGACCCATATGCAAGATGAAGAAGAGCTCGCCCGTTTTTATTACTACGGCATATGAAGGGATGGTGTGATCAGCACTATGCCTAACTGCTTTTACTTTCCATATTGTGAGTTAAGTACCCAATAGAACTGGGTTGACTCAGGGACATCCTACAGACTCAAGTCCGAGATCCAAACTCGAGTCTTTCGGGTCAGCCACCGTGCACTCTACCACACGACCACGCCAGTCCAGTCAAGAGCAGGCTAAAAACACACTGCGTTGTACAACAATTAAAAAAAAAACATAACTTACAAATCTGTCGCTCTTTTACGGTTATTTACGGCGACTTGCCAATCTATTCCTTCCTGTATCCAACTGAATGTTATCACGGTTTATATACACAATCCAAAAAAACGGCACGTGATTTGGTGTGTGCATTATGTCCACATATTGCACGAGCAATTATATACGAAACCGTAATTGTGGTAATCAAGCACATTTAGGACGATTATCTATTAACTGGGGGATCGTGCACATTTTATGTAACACTTAAATTGGCCACAGTGCTATAGGGCCACCCTTTACGAGTGTAACGGTAGAGGGTAGACCTTATACAAATACAACGCCCCATCATTTTTTAGGAACAATCTTCACATACATTGAAAACGAATGGGCTTAGGAAGTTTGTATTTATTCAGCAAAACAGATGCTACATGTGACCACAGTATTTGTTGTCTGTCGCAGAATGTAGTACACAAGTTATACAGAATAAGGTGTGTCATATACATATTAGTAGACCCTTATACTGATTAAACGGTAAGCATAATATTTAAATTAGTTTTAACAATATCTCACTTTTCATGATGTTTGAAAGTAGCCTATATTATAAGTAAAAAAAGACTTTTCATGAGCTACATTTTTAATGTTCGTCTATAGACAGTTGTGCTTTTTAACAATTTTAAAGAATTTAAATTCATCAGTTGGAGATATTAATTAAAAGAGCTTTGGTCCCGTCTTACTGTTCAAGGTCTTCACGAACAATCAGCTGTAATACTTTACTTTTTATTTATTGAACATTAGATTTCCTAATTAACATTCACATTAAAGTCAAGCCTAGCTGTCTAAAATATTTTTGAAGAAGAGGAGACTGGGGGGAGGGGGGGTGGAAGGAAGAAGGGATATTAGGGATGTTAGGGATATTAGGGCTGTTGATACACACGAGAGAGAGAGAGAGAGAGAGAGAGAGAAATTGGGAACGGAGTTGAGACGGTTAGGTATTTTTGTTGAGAAAGTTGATTTGGGGGAAGGGGTTGCTTGTGTGTAGTTTGTGATTTGTCAGTGCGAATGTCAATGGAAAAAAAAAACAATAATGCTTTATTACGTCATGTGATGGGGTAAAATATGTGATAAGCGCTGTGCCGGTACCCGTCTCGTAGACTCAGGGACGGCCTTCAAACTCTGTCACGTGATGTGAACTCAAGACTAAGTAGTTAGCAGTAAAAAAAATGCTTCAGAAGATACAACAACGCGTGATCAAGATTGGTAAATAACCGATGACTGCTAATCCAAAAATAAAAGAATTAAGTTTGCTTTATAGATAACATAATGTATAGTCCAGTTGTAATGCAGATGTGTGGAAACCCATTAAGATAGTGAAGATAGTTTATATGATAATTGGCTTGTTCTGTTTCCCTATTAAATCTAATTTAGCAGGTGCAGATTGGTGTGTACGTGATGCAGGCTAGTATTACAAAATCAGCTTTGCCTTACTGGTGAGGCGTAGGTTTTTTGTTAAAAGTCCCATAACTGGCTGCATGAGGATATATGAAAACGTGAAAATTAATTTTACAAATTTATCAAGGGACATAACCTTGAGCTCATTCCCATTGTTTTTATAAATACATATAAAAACTCAATAGTCATACAACAAAATAGAAATCTTTGTATTGTTTTAAAAATGTACTATTCAACACCAAACAAAATCATAAAATGTGACTATTGTTTATATTTTATGGAAATAATAATTATCATTAGACTCTAATTTAAATAACAAAGCTATAACTGTATTAAAAATATAATAAATAAGGCAAAGAAATTATCGACTTGCGATTTAATGGGTTTTTTTGTTGAATTTGTTTTCAATGCATGAGAACTTATTTTTAAAATAAATAGTAAAGTACCCAGTTGGAATAATTTTCTCCATAAGCAGCACCTCCTACATATGCATCTAGTTATTTCAGGAAAAAGCCTTTCCCTCTTTAATTATACTAACACAAATCATATCACATAACGGTCCCGTTCACCTTTCTCATACTCACTTTAATTCCCCCCCCCCCTCCGAACGTATAATAAAAAACTAAGGCTTCCAATTCGAAAACAGCAATAAAACGTTTTATTTTCTATGAACAAGGCGATATGAGAGAGGAAATAAAACAGCCCCAAATGTAAATCTGCACCAGTTCTCGCTATTATCTCAAATGATGAGCACATTAATATAATAGCAGGAGATTTCAGGGAAAGGCCAATAATCGCTTGTAAAATGTCATGTCTTAGGCGAATAGAAAACAATGAATGAACCGGGAGTAATCTCGCCTAAACTTTCTCGTTTATTCTTATATAACAGTAAGGAAGATTGCAGACAGACAGACGGACAGAGATACAGAGAGACAGAGAGACAGGGAAACAGGGAGACAGGGAGACAGGGAGACAGGGAGACAGGGTGATAGGAGACATAGACATAGACATAGACATGGACATGGACTTGGACATGGACATGGACATGGACATGGACATGGACATGGACATGGACATGGACATGGACATGGACATGGACATATACATTGACATTGACATTGACATTGACATGGACATAGACATAGACAGGGACATAGACATAGACATAGACATAGACATAGACATAGACACAGACACAGACACAGACACAGACACAGACACAGACACAGACACAGACACAGACACAGACACAGACACAGACACAGACACAGACACAGACACAGACACAGACACAGACACAGACACAGACACAGACACAGACACAGACACAGACACAGACACAGACATAGACATAGACACAGACATAGACATAGACATAGACATAGACATAGACATAGACATAGACATAGACATAGACATAGACATAGACATAGACATAGACATAGACATAGACATAGACATAGACATAGACATAGACATAGACATAGACATAGACATAGACATAGACATAGACATAGACATAGACATAGACATAGACATAGACATAGACATAGACATAGACATAGACATAGACATAGACATAGACATAGACATAGACATAGACATAGACATAGACATAGACAGGGACATAGACATAGACATAGACATAGACATAGACATAGACATAGACATAGACATAGACATAGACATAGACATAGACATAGACATATACATAGACATAGCCATAGACATAGACATAGACATAGACATAGACATAGACATAGACATAGACATAGACATAGACATAGACATAGACATAGACATAGACAAAGACATAGACATAGACATAGACATAGACAAAGACATAGACATAGACATAGACATAGACATAGACGTAGACGAAGACGTAGACGTAGACGTAGACGTAGACGTAGACGTAGACGTAGACGTAGACGTAAACATAGACATAGACATAGACATAGACATAGACATAGACATAGACATAGACATAGACATAGACATAGACATAGACATAGACATAGACATAGACATAGACATAGACATAGACATAGACATAGACATAGACATAGACATAGACATTGACATTGACATTGCCATTGCCATTGCCATTGCCATTGCCATTGCCATTGACATTGACATTGACATTGACATTGACATTGACATTGACATTGACATTGACATTGACATTGACATTGACATTGACATTGACATTGACATTGACATTGACATTGACATTGACATTGACATTGACATTGACATTGACATTGACATTGACATTGACATTGACATTGACATTGACATTGACATTGACATTGACATTGTAATTGACATTGACGGACCAACAAACAGACAGGCAGGCAGGTAGGCAGGGTGCGTACGGACTGGCGGACAAATTGATAGACTGAC